TGCAGAGTTGTTCATTCCTCTCTCATGAGTTGATGGTAGAGAGTGTCAGATTTCCAAAAAAAAACATAGGTAATCAAAGATTACGAAGCTCACCTCGACGAATGTTATCTACATGTAAGGCAAATTTCACATCATATTTTTTTCTAGTTAGGGTACATCCCAAGATCAATATCCATGCAAGTTTGATTTAATTATAGATCTGCTCAAAAAACTTTTGACCTGTTTAGTAATCAAGAAAATTTTGGTCAGTTCCAACATCCAAAGCAAGTCTGGAAGTTTTCATCCTTAGATGCACCATCTATGCAAGTTTAATCATAACAGGCCATAATATTATATAGCTACTCCAAAAAATTACCCTGGTCACTCATCTGGAAAATGTACGTCAGATTCAGAATCCAAGGCAAGTCTGGAAGTATCCATCCCTAGATACATCATCCATGCTAATTTGGTTAAAATATGGCTAAAATTCACTCATGTGGAAAATCTAGGTCAGACCCAGCATTCGAAGCAGGTTGGTTAGTGTACATCCCTAGATGCATCATCCATGCAAGTTTGGTCCAGGTAGGGCTTATAGTTACTTGGGAACGAGACTACTCCTAAATCTAAACCTGGTCTCACATGTGGAAAATCTAGGTCAGATCCAGCTTCCGAAGCAAGTGTGGTAGTGTCCATCCCTAGATGCATCATCCATGCAAGTTTGGTCCAGGTAGGGCTTACAGTTACTTGGGAATGGACCTGCTCCTAAAACTTTAACTTGGTACACATCTGGAAAATCTACATCAGATCCAGCATCCGAACTAAGTGTGGCCATGTCCATCCCCAGATGCATCATCCATGCAAGTTTGGTCAAGGTAGGGCTTATAGTTACTTGGGAATGGACTTGCTCCTAAAACTTTAACCTGGTCACTCATCTGGAAAATCTAGGTCAGATCCAGCATCCGAAGCAAGTGTGGTAGTGTCCATCCCTAGATGCATCATCCATGCAAGTTTGGTCCAGGTAGGGCTTATAGTTACTTGGGAATGGACTTGCTCCTAAAACTTTAACCTGGTCACTCATCCGGAAAATCTACACTAGATCCAGCATCCGAAGCAAGTGTGGTAGTGTCCATCCCTAGATGCATCATCCATGCAAGTTTGGTCCAGGTAGGGCTTATAGTTACTTGGGAATGGACCTGCTCCTAAAACTTTAACCTGGTCACTCATCTGGAAAATCTAGGTCAGATCCAGCATCCGAAGCAAGTGTGGTAGTGTCCATCCCTAGATGCATCATCCATGCAAGTTTAGTCCAGGTAGGGCTTATAGTTACTTGGGAATGGACCTGCTCCTAAAACTTTAACCTGGTCACTCATCTGGAAAATCTAGGTCAGATCCAGCATCCGAAGCAAGTGTGGTAGTGTCCATCCCTAGATGCATCATCCATGCAAGTTTGGTCCAGGTAGGGCTGATAGTTACTTGGGAATGGACTTGCTCCTAAAACTTTAACCTGGTCACTCATCTGGAAAATCTAGGTCAGATCCAGCATCCGAAGCAAGTGTGGTAATGTCCATCCCTAGATGCATCATCCATGCAAGTTTGGTCCAGGTAGGGCTTATAGTTACTTGGGAATGGACTTGCTCCTAAACTTTAACCTGGTCATTCATCTGGAAAATCTAGGTCAGATCCAGCATCCGAAACAAGTGTGGTAGTGTCCATCCCTAGATGCATCATCCATGCAAGTTTGGTCCAGGTAGGGCTTATAGTTACTTGGGAATGGACCTGCTCCTAAAACTTTAACTTGGTCACTCATCTGGAAAATCTAGGTCAGATCCAGCATCCGAAGCAAGTGTGGTAGTGTTCATCCCTAGATGCATCATCCATGCAAGTTTGGTCCAGGTAGGGCTTATAGTTACTTGGGAATGGGACTTGCTCCTAAAACTTTAACCTGGGACGCCGACGCTAACGCCGACGCCGACACCGACGCCGACGCCGACGCCGGGGGTATAGCATAAGCTCATCTCGACTTCGTCGAGGTGAGCTAAAAAGTCCCACTTCTTTTTTCCAAAATTCTGATTTTTCCTTGCTGTTTCCAAGTCAAAAATATTCAAGTCACTATCTGTCTTCCAATGAAGCTCTCTAAATTTACTTTGGGTTTTAGAAATGCCTCATCTGATTCCATGTCTGCTTATTATATCGAAAAGAAGCATCGGTTTCATGCTCACTAGTTCATGAATAAAATGGTGTTAGGTCCGGCTTTTGAATTGCGTCACTGTCGGATATATGAATGGGCTAGATGCTTATTGTATTATATTGTACCAGGGCAAAGTTTAATATATTAATGGGTCGATGTTTATTTGAGGTTCAAAGCGGGGATTTTTTTTTAAAGAAAGATAAATAATGAGATACATGTAGTGTTGAATAGTTTAGAGAAAACATCCTCTCCTCGGGCCTTCGACCCTAGGAAGGAATGTTTTCTCTAATGAAATATGAAGATAACGAACAGTAATCAAGATCAAAAGTCCATTGGAGCAATAAAAATTTGGAGCAGATCAAACACGGACCATTAAAAACATCAGATGTGGGATTAGGTGCCATAGAGGAGTAAGCATCCCATGTCGACCGCGGTCATACCTGCCCTGTGCTCCTTGTCATAATCGGGCAAACGGAAAAAAAATCCGTAAATTTACTGAATATGTACGGTATTGTGGCCTTTTGAACATTTAACTTGATCACTTTATAAGCATTATCTTTAAAAAAAATTAATACAACCCAGCAAAATTGCATTGACCATAGAATTTGCCAAATGTTGACTTTAAACGGAACTGTTGATATCCATTTATGATCAACTTATTTATCTATAGCTTGCCTCCTTTTAGAAATTGTTAGTATGTAGAACATGCTCTTGCGTATTGAATCAACTGGGAGACATAAACTCCATAAGCATTCAAGAGATAACGATATTGGTATTATATTGCTACATACATGTAAATAAGGGAAGATGACGGTAGAAAAAGTTGGTCATCACGTTTACCATAAAGTTTTGTTGTTAGGTTGCCTTTAATGTATATTCTAGTAAAACATCCAAATATGAAACAGATGCATCGGACTCTGTGGTGTCTTTTGTTTCGAGTTCAAAGGAATATATCAAATCAACATAGGAATGAAAATGCTTACTGTTAATTGATAAAACGTCGTCGATATATCTACATGATGTAAACGTCAAATTGAAGGCCACAGCAAGAGATCTTCTTTTCATATAGAAGTTTCTGAATGAATTCTGCTTCATAAACTATTCAACACTAACTATCTCATTATTTATCCATTAATTCTACCACCTCCAATTTTTTCAGTAAGGGACTGATTTACGTCGATATCTATTGAAACTGGCAGCATGCATTCGATTTTATATGGAATGGCATACTCAGTATACCAATGGTTTGTTTTCGACAATAGAAATTAGCAACTGAAACAAATGACCTTAGGTAATATAGATTTCTAATATAAATTCTATGTCAAAAATAGCTTAATATTTTTTTTTCTTTTTTGCCTCGGACTAGAATGACGCTCTCTCATTGTCATTGGTTATCGACAAAACAATACTTACTAGGGTTGATGGCTGCCCACAGAAATATGTCGGGTTGTTTCAATGGCAGGTTCGGTTTTTGCTTCGCCTTCCATGGGCTTCGCCTTGCCTTCCATGCACTTGAACCCAACATTTCTCCGTGGACAGTCAGTAACAAATAACTAATAGGTAACAATATTCTGTGGTTCTTTGAATACAGATTTCAATACTAAGTATGTTAAATCAGCTCGGCTGATGTATTTCAGTATTAGTGCACACAGTGGGGGAAATTTTCACCTCCGTTTTATTTTAGCCTCTTTCGTCCTCGTTTAAAATGGGCGAATTAAATTCACTCTTATGGTTGAATTAAAAATAGGGCAAAATTGTTTGCATATGTGAAAGGGCAAAAATAACCATGTATGCAGCATATCCATACATGTATTTGCATAATGATTTGTATTTGGTTATGTAAATACTTTTTCTGAGCTGTAAAGAATGATAAAAGTGAAGATAACCAGGGTTGAGTCCTCTTCAATCCAATATTAATTCTTTTGCATCCCTTAAGGCTTTTGTTGGTTTTAAAAATGAACATAGAGTCTGAGCATACAAAATTGCAAAAATGAGAATATGCACTAAAATTCTAAGTCATCATCAACTTAGTGAATAAATGCATTGTGCAGATGGTAATTATAGATAATGTGTAAATATTAATGTGAAATTTTAAAATAAAAATGCTATTTAGGGGAAAAAAGAGTAAAGAAAAAAATGTTTACAAAGATGCATAAAACTCACTTAGAAATAGATGAAGGTTTCACTATTTTTTACAAGAAAAGTTTGATAGTAAATAGATTTTAATGGTGGAAATTCGATCTCATTTAAAATTTTGTCATTCAATAATCTTTTTTTTTTATAGGAATAACTATATTGATAGTAAATCAGATGCGAAATCAGATAGTAAATCAGATGCGAAAGTTTCACTCGAATTGAAGTCCCCACACACTGTCCAAGCACATAGATTATATTTCTATTCATCTAGTTGATGATCATTTTTATTTTCTCCTCAATAAAATATTCTTTTTAAATTCTGTACATGTACCTTTACTGTACCTTCTTTTTTACAGAAATGCACATACGCATTTATGCCTTACTTAAATCAAATCATCACGGTTTTTAAAAAGGAAAAAAAAAACACCCAACTGATAAAAAGGCAAGCTTTCTTGATATTATTTAAGTACATTTAGTTGAGAATAATCAATAAATTCTGTTATAACGAAAAAGGTGAAGATAACAAACAATATTCGGTCTCAGAAAACAACCTACAAACAATGTGTACAAATCTGTGAAGACTCGGAATAAACAGGTATAAGTATCTCTTTACGATGTATAACAAAAACATTCAACACGATATAATAAGAAGTAGCATTCAGCTAACAATCCCTAATAATGAGGAAAAACGAACACATCACAGTCTCGCATTCATTAAACAATCTTCAACAGGCAGTGAGGTGTCTGCATAAATGTACATGTGACTTCATTACCACTGCTAAAAATGGTATCCTTAGTTGTCAACTTACTTAAGTTCTATAAATGATTTCTGAAAAAATTCTGTACCTTGTCTGATATCTAAATGGTACATGAACGACATAACTAAATACAGAGCAAACATTTCGCTAAATCATTAAACGGCAGCTCCGGATAGGGATTGTAAATGATAAATTTTATTCTGAATAGGAAGTTTGATTGAAGAAACTCTGGACAAAATAAAGTCACCGCGAATAAAACCAGATTTATACTTTTCAAAAGGTGCCCCTTAGTCACAATTAACCAAGATACATATCTGACAACTTACAGAGCATGCAACCCACCACATTTCAGTCATTCAAGATTGTTAAATACAGAGATTAAAACAATTTCATATAAAATGTTGTCCCGCTGCTTTCTTCATTGCCTCCTGTACCATAGCAATGTTTGCATGGTTCCTCGTCCAGCGAGTCATTTTAGAGAGGGTCGCCAACCAGAGTTTCTCTATTCCCCCATCATCCCACGCGAGGACACCGACATGTAGGAGTGGACCACTCCCATTATATTCTTCGAGTCCTGACTTTAAATTCAAAGTAAGCGCACTTGCAATGTCTTCATAATGTACATCTTTTACTTGTCCGAGCAACATTCCAAAGAGATAAGCATCGTCCACGGAAAAGTATGGTGACGTAAATGAGTATTTATAAAGCTCGGGTACGAGATCCGAAGAAAAGAGAACAAAAAATCCACCACAGAATTTTGGGTAATATTTTTGGCCTTTGTATATATAATCCGGAACATACCATTTACTGCTGCGGTCTCTTACGATAACACTAGTCATGTTCTCTTTCAGTGAACACATAATCACTTTACTCTTGTGAAAGATTTGGGACACAAGAAATTCGGTCATGGCGAAGATGTTAATGAACATATCGTCGTCAGCTTTGACAATGTATTTGGCATGTAAACAGTTGTCATTTATCCATTGCATGGCTTGCATACTTTTAAGTGTCAGATTTCCTTGAGTATCTTCAAAATTACCTTGCACAATATCCCGAGTATTCAAATTTTCATTCACTATCATTAACTGCTCCTCCTTGGTTGGTGGTTTCCCCAGAATGAAAATTGTTCTCACTTTGATGTCTGAAAACACGTTCTTGTTGGCCCAGGACTCGCGAAGCATTCTACGGTGTTCGAAATGACTCCATAAACTATGAAAATAAATTAAGATATCTACTTCCGTTGAGTTACATATATGAGTATTAGATATGATCGGTGTAGTGAGATTAGGATGGGGGCCTACTGGTATGAATTTTTTGGCAGTACTCCTATTAAACCATTCTCTCGTATGGTCAGGGTAAATATCATTTGTTTGTGGTTGCTCTTTCATATCTTCTTGTTTAGTGTTCTTAGTTCCCCGCAATAAAGAGAACAAAAATGATTCTCTTTCTTGTCTTAAAACATTTGGGTTTCTGCTCGTATGCAATGTTTTGCGTTTGGAAGATGCTGTCATTGTCGTTATTACCGTGAACACGCATGCTCCTATCACAAAGGCGGCGAATGTACTTTCGATATACCGAGATATGTACAGCTTCTTTGGTTTCATTCTTTCGTAGTGGACACTATCTCCAAAGCAAGGCAATCACAAAGAACATGCGAACTCTATACAAGTCTTCATCTGAAAATGGTAAAAAGAGGCTGCTAGCTTCTCAATTCTCAGTCAGTCTTTATGTAAAATCATATGAAATGATGAACAACAATCCAAGTTATATAATAGAGTCTTTCTTCTGTGTATGGCCATCACCAGTGTGGTTAGAACGCAAATTCTCACATTCTAAATAGCCATACCATTCTTAATAAATCAGGTATATAATTGACAATGTCACACATCAATAGAGCATACTCTAGGCCAGTCAGTCAGGAACCTGATACAAACAGTGCTAAATGAATCGTGTATTTCAGAAGGGTTAGGGTTGTTACATGAAGGATGCCACTGTGCTCGAGATACAAGTATAACATTTAAGCAACCATTGCGATAAAGAAACAACAGACACATACGTCACAGAATAAGGAAACCGATGTGTTACGCAACTTAATGACAGTGGTCCGTTTACATATTGACGATGAACATTAGTTGCGAACAAATCAAAATGGATTAAATAAAAACCGCTTTCCAAAGCACATAACTTAAAAATTACTTTTACCTTAATACACTTGGTTCATGTGTCGATACTTATTATTTTTATTTATTAGGATAAGCTACAATGGAGTGGGACACAATATGGAAGACAATAAAGAGCTAAATACATGTAAACGTATTTACAAAATTTTATGAGTTTAAAAGTATTATGTGTGTTTTAGTCAATATAACCCTTGTCAATGAAAGTTTAGGAGTTATGTATAATAAAAAACTTTCTTCAGCACATAATATAGTCTCAAAAATTAGCAGCCATAATCTCTGATCCAAAAGGTCATGAATTTTATGATTTTGGTGGGGGGCTAGATGCTTATTATCCTCTAAATACTCTTGCAAACACTTTTAAATTACTACTAACATGTCCACATTTTCCAATAGGCTGAATCTATGACATTCAGAAATTTTGCCAGCTTTCATCTATAGAAGTTACATAAAAAAATTGCCTGAAATTGTCTCGACCGTTTCAGAGAAGATGCCAAAAATGTTCGACGACGGACCGGAAGGAATAACAATTTGTCACCTGAGTAACTGATGATCAGGTGACCTAAGAAAGTAAAAAAAAAAAAAAAGATCTTCAATTAAATACACTACGAAAAACGATCTCATCAATTATTCCATGATTTCATTGAAATATTCATTTAAACAACAAACAATCAATCATTTATACACTTTGCAAGGTCCTGAGAATTTTTTTTAAACATTTCTAAAACCTTTCAACAATTATACTGAACTGTATAACTACATTTTCCAACTTTTCACCAATTTTTGTGGATTAGGCAAATAGTTTAATTAAACAGGTATCACTAGTTTAGTGGGAGAGGCACCTATTTATTACTGGGGAGGGGGTATCTTTAAATAAAAACGTATAAACCAAAAAAAAAAAATCAAAAGAAAATGTTATTTCTGTGTTGACAGTCCGTTTTACATGTCAAACTTCAAGGCCATTATATCATAAAAATGAAAAATTGTGTTTTGTATGAAGACCCTTCTGTTTCAACAACTTGAACGCACACTACCGATTTAGTTATTTCAAGTGTTTGAAAATGCATTTCAAAACCAAAACTAGGTTGCAACCACTACTGAAATAACGTCCACTATTTAAAGTTATTTTATTAATGCACTCTCAACCACTCTTGAATAATAATTTCAATTTCATTAGTGGTTGAAACACACCTCTTCATAAGCTGTGGGTAAAAGAATGGCTTTTTTTCCATTGGAGTACCTATTTTTGGTGAACCCTATTTTTCAACAAGATTTAAGAATTAGACTTGTCTTTAGCGTCCGCGGACGAATTGGTTTTGAATATCGGCACCGTGTAATTCATGGACTGGAGGCTTGGAGTGGAGTTATGGAGTGGAGTTTGGAGTGGAGTTTGGAGTCAAATTTTGGAGTCTGATTTTTTTTTAATGAGTTTAAGTTTTGTTATCAAGCACCAGCTAGTGCAATATTTAACGTGACTCTTAAGGCTAAATTTAGTTAGTCTTGTTGAATCGCCTTAAAATCTGCTAAAAAACAGACAAATAATTTTTTTTCCTATTTTATGTTAAATCGTAAAGGGGGGAAGGTTTCTCATTTCCGTTTCATACTCCATAATCTATTCCAGCATTCCAGGTTATTTTCTATTCTTGATTGCAATACCCAAAAATAAGAGCTACTGATGAATGCGTGATCTTTACATTGACAACTGCTCAATCATGGTATAAATATTTTCAAATTTGATTTGTCTTATTTACGTATGAAATTAAGATACAAAATTTATCAGATGACAACTCTACACTTTTATTATATTCCCATGTTGCTACTGAAGGTGACGCATGTGTTCCTTGAAACAGTGTAGTGTATATCCCTATATGAATCGAGTTATGTCCAAGACACGATGTAGTTACGATATCAACAGATTACTTCTTTATAGTTTGCTACATTATTTCTTTTTACTTATATGTATATTACTTCGAAGTTTTCCTTTCTGTCACGATATCATATCGGATCATAATTGTTCAATGGATTATGGTCCCAACCCGCAACCCCCAAAAATGCTGTTGCTTTTTAATATGTGAGTAACTTGAATTCAATCACTTCATGAAGTTTTCCTAATAGTGTCGATATCGACGATATTGCTTCGATATCAAATCATGTACACTCATCCCTTGGTACCGTAGTTGTCATGGTATATGTGTGTCTATGTTTACTTTGCATTCAGGAAAATTTTAATTCCAATCGATATCGTTGATATCGACGATATCAACTCATTTTTGTCATTGCTCTTGTTTTTTTTTTTCTTTATGCAAGACTTGTGCTTGTGTACTTTCTAAATACTAAGTTTGTCCTGCTGTCCATATCGTCGATATCGTATCTTTATCGAATCATGATTGTTAAAGACATGTTTTATCAACCTTCACCCTAACCTTAATCTAAAACCTTACCCTAACCTTAACCTGACAATAACAACCCCTCATCCTGTATTTATTTACATATTAATATCAAAAATGAATCAATATCCACATCGCTTTTGGTCTTTTATAATTATGTTATACATTAACTTGAAAAAAAATTGACAGATCAGGATCAATATCGTCATGATATTGTCGATATCGAAGATATCAACATGGAATTCATTCTTGGACATGTCTGCATAATTAAAAAAAAATGTTATGAAGGATTTTACTAGTATGCAGTTTTTTTGTTTGTTTGTTTGTTTGTTTTTTTTAATCTATAATTGAATTACTTGTAAATATCATTTTTGATAATGACATCTTTTACAATGATTAATGTTAATGATTATAAATTTCTTTGTTGCATCAATTAGAGTTATTCACAACCAAATCTATACTTATATTATGAAAGACATAGTATCAGTCATATATTTGAAAGCTTGTCCTAGGAGTTAAGATAAAACCAGATATTCATTTAAAATGATGATAGTTTAAAGAAGTCGGGTGTAGATCAAATTATCTATTACCTAAATCTCAGGTAGATATTATATTTATTAGTTTATTATTATTTTTTTTTTTGTTTTGGACAGGTTAATCTTCTGGTCAACTTTACAAAGTTACTCTTTTTCCTCAAAAATGTATAACCCAAAATATTGTACTTTAATGAATAACATGTTGATGTGAATAAATGGGTCTGTTATAATCACAACGCACTGCCTGCTCTTGTATAAATAACTCTTGACAGATTCTGATTAACTGAATATGTGGGACATACAGTGGCTGCATCAATTTCCTGCACATTCTTTCAGATTGGGTCATGGGTATAAATTTCACTTTCATTGTCAATTAGTGTGTTATCTAAAACAGTGACAGTTCATTCTATGTTTTAATTTAGGAATGACTCTAATTCTTGGCCAAATTATTCGAGTATAACCTGGTTTGAGTCAGTTTACGCTTTATAATCCGCGAAGCGGATTATAAAACAGCGTAAACTGACCCAAACCAGGTTATACTCGAATAATTTGGCCAAGAATTAGAGTCATTCCTTATAATTTAATTTTAAAATCATTAAATAACTATGGGTGTAAAATTTCGTTGCTTTTTATTAGTTCAAATTTGCCGCTCAATAATACAACCGTAGTAACGGAAGTAACGGAAGTGATGGGAAGCGAGGGGAGGTAAAAACTGATACATAGGCCTAGCAGCTTGTTTACATGTGGTTAGATCGAATTATTGTTTGAAGTTAAAGGTACATTTATTAAATCTGGAATTTTCCATGAATCCCGAGGACTGGAAATGAGAGGATTGTATGGATACTGATGATTCAGCTGGTTGTCAGGGGGGTGTGTCCCCATACCAAACCAGGTTATACAGAAATAATTTGTTTTCCTTTTTGGATATTAACCAATCAGGGGCTAGAATACAAACAAAATTAAATTATTCAAATTTAACTGTTACATAAATAATGACCACAATTGCTTTCAACACATAATTAGATAATGGTGATAAAAAACCCTTAACTAAATTTTATCTTTCTGTCAAATCTTTGTTATTTCTGCTAAAACTTTATAGGTTTTTGACCACATAGGTGTATAAACAATGTAGGTTAAAAAATTGTTACAAGGTTGTTTGATTTTACATAGTTACTTCCATGTACGCATATGTACTTCCATGTAATCCATATTAGAATAAGACTATTCAATGATTTTTCTCTATATATAATTTACTTTGATTTGCACACATCAACTTAGTTTCTTAACATGTGACTTGAAAAAAGATGATCAATTCACATAAATTTACTTAAAAAAATAAATTATGTTATGATATTGTAATATGCATACAATATATTGGTGACTCACACTTTTATCAATTTAGAAGTATATGGAAAGGGATGCACTATGATGCCAGTTAAAGGATCATGATATCTGTACTTACTCTGAAAGAATGCAATGATCTTAACACATGCATGCTGTTCTGTGGAGAACTAAATTAATTCAACACTAAGTCACATACACCAAAATTAAATGGTCATCGTTCACAGTTTAATCAGCATCTCGGAAATTGGGTGCATGTGAGGATTCTGGCCTTTCACTAATTAGGAAATATTTCTATGAGCCAATGTAATCTTACAAAGCTTTCACTATCAATTAGAAAACTGACAGTTTATTTAATGATTAATAAAAATAAACTGAGCACTACAAAACAATAAAACTTTGCTTTCTTTTTGAAGTGTGATATGAATTAACATTTGTTGTTTTCAGATGTCTGCAGCATTTTAAATGAAGATATTTCACATTGCATCTGTCTTTTAGAGTTATTAATTATTGCCAGACAATTTAAGTTAGTATTTGCAGACTGGATTAGATGATTTGATTTAGTTGGTGCATAGTAGGTATGATTGCTTTCATACTCTATAAACACCACAGCATGTATAAATCTTAAAGGAGACAGTGAAAGAGTGATAAGGGCAATAGTGTGAGTAAGCAAAGATGACAACACCAGGAGAGAATACAAACAGAATGAGAATGTGAGGGTGCAAATTTCTGAGAATGGGGGAGCGACAACCCAAGGAAAAGAGAGGGATTGTTATGGCTGTCGCTATAATGCTCTTAATGCAAGGAAGTGAGGGAGTAAGTTGACCTTTTAGTACACCATATACATGTGTATAGAGGTATAAAGTGTGTAACTTAATTAATTTAAAACTAATTATTATTTTTTGAAATTTTACATGGTAGGCATATTGGGTAATGAATAGTTGAGTGTATAATACTGAAAAACTGCCTTCTTATAAATTGATATCAATTCTGAACCTAATAATTCTTGAAATTGTTAAATGTCCAATCAAACCATATCGGTTGATTAATTATATTCAACATAATTTCCAAACATTTTGAAAGAAAAAGGGTTATCTTGTCAGCATCATGTCTGTTTATTCACTACTGATGTAATTTTCTGAAGTTCCAAATACCAGAAAAATACCAGTGTCAGAAACTCGCAAATTTTAACTGGGTCATAGCACCTATATATGAATTGCCAACCTTTATACCAAAAAAATGAGACTTTGATACTAGGCAATTTCTTTAACTTCTTTTTTCCATTATTGTATAAAAAAAATTCCAGACTCCAAAAATTGACTCCAAACTCCACTCCAAAATCCACTCCATAACTCCACTCCAAGCCTCCAGTCCATGAATTACACGGTGCCTTGAATATCCAGGCAAACACTCATTCTGTCACTTGATTTTAAATCTACTGGGTTCGACATACCAATCTCCATATTCTTTTAAAGTTTTTGGTGAAAGATTGATATTTGCGTAGATTTTTTTTTTACATAATATAAAAATCTCGAATGATCATAATTAACTCTATCATTATCCTTGCACGTTTTTTTCTGTTGATCTGTGCTTTTCTTCCTGAAAGATAAGGTTTTGATTTATGGGTGGACACTTAACATTAAAAAGAACCCATTTGGAAATGGCCTTTAGGATACGCTTCCTCGTTAGCATTTCTTAACACTGTGTGTGTGTAAAACAATTGATATTCTCATGCACAACAAACTTTATAGACAGATCACATGTCAATGAATCTATTACCCAAGCACTAGTAAGCGCGTATACCAGAACACTAATGAAGTGTAAGATTTCATGTGTCTAATCTCAATTAAAATATAATAGGAAGTTATGACAGAAAAGTGTATCTATTTACCTTTGCACTCATCAAGATTCTGTAGGTACCTACAACAGCAAATAAACTTAAATGTATTACGAAAAAAAATTTAAAATATACTGAAAGACATAAATTCTTTTACCAGAGATGCTGAATTCATACTCTATCAGATTATCTAACTACAGAAAAATGAAACTGGCATCTTATTCCTTTAGAAATGTTTGAAATATGTTCACCGACTTTCTTAATGCTGTAACTTTTGAACAGAGAAATCAGCAATAATAGAATTAATATGGTGAAATAGATTAGAAACACATGTCAGATAGATTGTAATGTATAAAACTTAGTCTCGACATAACTTTGACGTGTTTTTGGTGAATGTCGCTCTACGCGTGGCTCGGTTTAGATTTTTATCAAGTCATTGAAACATGTAGTTTATATGATTTTTATGGCAGTAACACAGTGAAGTAACACATAATAAATATAAAATGCTCAGAAATTCAAATTTATTAAATAGAAGAGTCGAACTTTGGTAAGGATACTTGTTCATTGTTTCCTATAATAGTCCATATACATAAAGCATACTTTCTTTGACTATATATAAAAGGAGAGACTCACACGACAGACATTATAAATATATACCAGCAAACCGAATTTAAATTACAAAAGAACCAGCGCTCGCTTCGTAATCGGGAGACCTGGGTTCGATTCTCGTTCGGTGCGCCACGTCTAACCTATGACGTAAACATAGGCAGTGATTGTTCCTTCGTCAAGCGCCGAAGTGAAAGTCACAGGTCCATCGGATGAGACCTTAAAAACCGAGGTCACGGTAGGCGTTTGCACGATAAAGAATCCTCAGTGTTCAATAGCCCTAAGTTCAGAGTATATGTCTAAATTTGAAGCCCTTCACCAGCATACGGTGACCTCTCTATATGAGTGAAAAGTTCTCGAATGGGACGTTAAACAACCTACAATCAATCAGAAGAGTCCTGATGAAAAATTAGAAATCAGACAGTGTCGAGTAATTAAATCGGGGTAGAACCTCTTCCTGGTCAACACAATAAAAGTACATGTATAACCTTAGGTGTTAAAGGTTCCAACTTTCGACATTTCTTTTTTTTTTTTTTTTTTGGAATACAAGATAAATTTCTTGAATACATTACAATGGGAGGATTTGACTATACTGCAACAAAAAGTTGGGTTGGGTTGGGGGCACCAGCTTTCAATACTAAATTAACAGTAAAAGATAAGTTTCAGACCCCCCCCCCCCCGATACTACAAAACAGGACAATTGTTACACTTTGTAGTGAATCCTGAGACATAAATAGATAGACTTGTTATGATAAACTTGACTATTATGAGTATAATCTCCAAACATTAAAAAGTTATCACCACTTGGTGAAAAAAATGAAATAAATTAATGTCCGACTTTTTTATATCCTTTGATAAGTTTTCTCTGAATCCTTGTTGCAGGAGGGGACCGAAGTTAAGGGGAAAAAAACCATGAAATGAGCGAGTAATGTTAGGATATTATGCTTATAAATAAATTCTAGATCACATGATACTGTCTATTTAAAATTTAAAAAAATACCATGCAACAGGAACTATGGAGAACCCAGAATAGCTTTATTCAAATTTCTTAATTTTATCAAGAATTTAAACATGTAAATTCCCATGAACTGATGGTACCAATAATCCATTTAAAAGTCTACTAGGTCACGATTGACCAACTCTTCCAAAGCGGATTAAAATCATGTGTACAACTTCCCTGTATTATTTACATGTGGTCTTTAGATGCTATACATATTCTAAAAATGACTAAATCACTCAAAGCAGTTTGAACTATGTCATGATTGTGTTTTAAGGACTCCGTCTTACAGAGAAAGCCAATCTATATTTACCATAGTCAATACATGGCATCCAAATAGGTATCTTCTTTTGTTTACAACTGACTGAGAATCCGTTACAAACTTACCTAGATTAAAGTCCTGAGGTTATAAAATCACACAGCTCATTATTCGAACTATTCTTGTGTTTTCTTATTTTAAGTTGGCCCGAAGTTAGAATGGTGAAATTGTTGAAGAAAAAAGGAGATTGAGAAATTCCACCTACCTGTACATTCTCATGTACTCAGTTATTGGTTAGCATCGATCAATATTTCTCCATGAATTAATTAACATTTCTAGAGGTTCCACCTTTATCGTTATACTTTCTACCACTAATCACACCTCGTCACCGCCTTATCGTACCACCGTTCACAGTATTCTACAGAGGTAGACGAGCCAGTCTTCATGTTTAAATGTCTTGAGTGATACGGTTGACGAAACCTTTTGTCGCTGATTCACCAACCATTACACCCGGCACAACCTGTTATATATATATACGCTGCATACAAATACTATACACGATCAATGCATTTCCTGTGCGACACACCCTTCTCTATATGTTTATCCTTAAATTTGAAGGTGTGTTTTTATCTTTTAATACTATGTGCTCGGACAGACTATATCTCTACAGTGTAATCAGTTCATGAATTTCTTCTCATTAGCATGTTAACATGTTAACACTGACTCGCAGAGAGATAGTGTGTGTACACAGAACAATTGAGACCCTAAGGCTTCAACCACACGCGCATGAGGACCGGATCCCCACCCCTTCCCCTTTCGACTAATTTTTCCCTTATAAATTACCTTTTACTGACATATTTGTAACCTTTACTATATCATCAGTTCGGAAAATTAGTAAACCTAAAACAAATATTTTATAAAAACTTCTACCCCACTTACGACTGTGCTCACCTTTGCCCTCAACGCTTAACAAAATCCTCCTTGTCTTCCTGTCAAATTCATTTTTACCTGTGTACAAGTCTATATTTTTATACACGTAAATATTTTTTTTAATAAGTTTATCTAAATAAAAGCACTAATTGTCATCCCCTAATTAAGAACCGCGGTTTTACAGTAGCTATTAAGGACATACGCAACGTAGTTTGAACTTTATTGTCTTTTTCCCTGGAGTTGAAGAGTTCCAATACTTAAAGGAACTGTGTGCTACATTTTTATGTCTATATATGCTGTTGTACACTTCTTCTAAAACAAGTTTGGATAAACAAATTATCTAGAATATATGTTTAGTTATTTTTGTGTATTTTTCTTTGAATTATATGAGAATTTTCATCAATTGATATCTTTTCAAAACCCCTGGTAATGCATGCTGATTTTTTGTCTACGAACATCTGATGACACTATAATCTTAAATTAAAAATATCTCGAAAAATTATCAGTAGGTAAGGTACGTTGCGTATGTCCTTAAGGATTGTTGGTAATTTTATAAATCACTGTCTTCTTATTCCTCCAGATGTCTGATTTTTTCTGTGGTTTGATAATATTTTATTATCTATATTTTTTTGTAAGAAGAATTGTGCAAAAGTTCTTCAAACTTAGTATACCCTTTCCTTGAGCATTAATTATTGCATCCATTTTCTTTAAAATATACGGATCACAGTTTAAAATGAAATGATATAAAGGATCACAATAATCACCGAATGAATTATTTCTATCAGTTATGTATATGACTCTCAAATTTTGTTAGAACTCAATATAAATATTGCATCAATTAATACGATGTCTTTTAAATGAATACTAATCTGCAACAGTTAAGACACCCCCCCCCCCCCCGTTTTAGGAGAAAAAAAAATATAGATTTTTTCCCTATGTATTCATTTTACATATCAATCATAAAAACTAACCTGATTCTACAAAACAGGCTTTTTGCAATATAAAGTAATTGATAGTAACACTGATGGATATTCCATCAAAATTTTATACCCAAAATAGAATTTAACACTGCACTGTATCATAACTTTTCAATCGATTACTGAACATGAAAACAAACTACCCAAATATTGAAAAAAGTTAAATCTTTAATAGCTATAGATAGGCTTGTTTTCATTTCTGTCAAAAAGATTACCTAAGATCATCTGAATAAGATAAGTGCCAGATATTTTTTCTTTCAAACCTTTTCAGGAATTACGACATTCTTGCATATTTCTTATACCTTATGAAGATTCCATTGGTGTTAGACATTATAAAATCATTCACCCTGTTATCATTGCATATTGTTAGATGGGATTACTTCATAAAATACCTTACATCGTCTCATATAAACTATTAGGAATTTATTTTAGGCTATACTCGAAAGTTTCATTACCCATCTCTAGGTGAAGGGTCAAGGTCAATTCCGATGGCCGTATTCAACATAACTTTGAACATTATTTAACGTACAGGGTCAATCCAAAATAAGAAGGTTAAATATGCAACTTCGAGTTCAGTAATCAACAGAGAAGCTCGGTAGTCTGATATCTTCATTGTATATATAACAAAATTAAAAGAATAATTATTGACAAGTATTTTAAGGGAATTATGTCTATAGTCTTGTGTTTTCTCCTCTGTTATTAAATAAAATACTCGAGGTTTTTTTTCCACAGGTAAGGTTCGATAACTGGAATAGGTAGAGAAGAAATATTACAATACAGATTATGTTTGTTGCAGGTCCTTTTTAAGCCACAAAATTAATCTGCCACGGATTATGTACAACAGTTACTGTGGCAACTATTCCCAAAGTCCTGCAGCACTGGTAGTTGTCAAAGAGCGTAAGTTAAAAGTGCTGTCATTTACTGATTTTTATTAGAAAATTAAAATAAGTACACGACTATATATAGTCGTGTATATACTTATTTTAATTTTCAAATAAAAATCAGTAAACGACAGGGCCGTAAAAATTGTCATGGTGCACATTAAAATAGCCACTGAAAGTTAAATCGAAAGTAAGCGATTTTAAGAAATTGGTCAAACCGAAAGTTGTTCAGAAGCAAAAGGTATGAACATAGAGATAACTATTATTAGTGCTGATAAAGAAACTTTATACGAGGGTATAATATTTGTTTTGTCAGTGAGGTTTTCATCAGAAATTGTATTTACATCAACTAGGATGTTTTCTTTTATTTAAAAAAAGGAGAAAAAAGAAGAAGAAAATGTTCGTGTTGTGATTTGAAGTTTTTCTTGATTTGTACTTTCGGTTTGATAAGATGGCAGCCGGTCATGGAAATATTAAAATCATAGACAGCGACAGCGAGAATGGCAGCGATAGTGAGGAAAATAATGTCGTACAAAGGACAGAAGACACAAGTAACGAAATAGACGACGAGGAAACCTTGTATGAAGAAGTTATCATTACAAGACAACAAGACAACACCTTACCAGAACAACATAACAACACAACAGAGAAAATCATTAAATGTAAAACTAAACATCACTGCCTTTTAATGAAAATGGCATCCGTTGGGTCAGATGTTTCCAACTTGAGAGTGAGTTTCAGCGAGGAAAACTGTGCAATAACGCTTCAAGGTCCTAAAGAACTCGTTCTGGAACGCAACGTATATTATCTGCAACGTCTAAACCTTGTATGTACTTCGTCGGAGCCAGTGAGTGCGAACAGACTTACCATACTTCAGCGGGATGGTTGTATTGAGAAACTCAGGCAAAGGGGCATGGTAGCCGGTCAGACTTTCTGTGTATTCATAGAAGAAAACCAAAATCCCACCGATCCAGCGTTACACTGTCTGGCCTTTTCAGAGAAAGAAGCGAAAGAAGCCCTGCAAAATAGCCTGGGTTGTTTCCAAAAAATAAATGTACCTTTCGCTTCCCACAATGTAGAACTATTCATGACCAGAACATGGGATGAGGAGACGCAGTCTCTCCAGAAATCACTAATGGTTGTGATCGAGATCGTTCACACTCAGTCAGTAGTGGAGGTAGAGGGTCTCACAGAAGATGTCCACAAAGCCGCTGACAAACTGAGAGACGTGTTCGAAGCCCACAGACCCGTACGCAATATTATACTTCGTGGCGCCAAGGCCAGATTGATCTGCAAGACTCACAATTTAAAGGAAGAGTTGACACGATTGAAAGAGGAAGCAAAGTAAGCTGTTGTTTATCACGATAATTAAGCTAACCTATCAAATAATGAAAATTTTATAAATGCATATCCATTGTGATTATATTAAATTGTTCTTTAAAAGACTACTTGCTTACCTTTTCACACAATTCGAAAAGTTCCTCACAAAATTATTTTCGCTATTCACATATTTTAACACTTAGCATATGTATATTAAATACCTTATCACAGACAGAAACAGGAGACGATAGATGTAACGGAAACACATGCTGACCATGAGGACACTCTCACAATCAAGTTCACGGATGACCACTCTCTGAGAACACGGATACAGAAACTAATAGATCAGATCAAGGATCTGGAACTGACCTTAGCTGACCTTAACAAGAATGGTTAGTTATACATGTATATACTTTTTTGGTGTCAATAAATAACATACAAGTATATATAACTTTAATTTCGTAGTCTTTGAAAATAAATGCTTAAAAAGTATGATAACGAAGTAGTAAGAAAATAAATAATGAACGGTATTCTGTTTATAAGTTATGTACGCCACTACGCCTTTCTTCAGTGCTTGAAGTGTTTCAGATTCTGGTCAAGTTTAGCAACGGTAATATCCAGTATTTTTCAAAAATATTTTTTTCTGTCTCATTTTTTTTTAAATTTCTGTTTTACTAAAAACATAAGGCGGTTAGAAATATCTCATTTTTCTTTTAAAATTGTGTGTATATCAGAAAGTCTGTTATAAGGATTTGTTTATATGTAAAATACATTGTAACAACTTTAAATTGACAGAAGTATGAGTTTTTTTTTTCTTTGATACATCAGATTGTGTGTTTTCTTATTCGAAATTTCATCATATTATAAACACTTGCGTTACAGATCAAGGCATTATCACAAGATGTCTAAATTCTGAGAGGGGAAAACGTGAATTAAGAAACTTAGAGGAAAAATATGATGTCTTCATTGATATCGTCGACAGCGATAAAACAATTGAAGTCAGATACATTGAAGACAATTCTTCTAGGTAATATCCTTCGTTTTATATATACTAGATGAAATACTGCTCATGCGCGGGGAATATAATTTTTATCACCGGTGAAGGAACAATACGAGGAATTATTAATATATCTGATAGTTTCTATTGACAGATGAATAACAGTCCTATAGCTGGCAGAAATGCTTTGTTAAAAATCCTGCAGCTACTGTAGACAGGACTTAAATATATGTCACTCATGCTCCCCCTTTTTGTTTCCCCCCCCCTTTTTTTTTATAAAAAATTGAAAAATGCCAGTTTTATTGACATTTTCTCTTTACATTTTAAAACGTTATTATTTTTTTTATCCTATTGTATATATATTGTACTCCGGGTGCTCCGTTTTCATTCCATTAAGGATATTTAAGAAGTCAATATGCGCATTTTGATAACTCGAGTCCTCGGGTATCTCGAAGTTTTTTCTCGGTACCATTGAGCTCGAGATAACGAGGTTTGACTCGTATATAATATATATATATAATATACAACAACATCATCATTATAATAATAATTTATTTGGCAACTAGACAGTTGAAAGTACATAATCACAGTTCAACTATTTAAAAAAATTATGTGGATCAAATATTTATAAAATAAATAACATATTACCAAAGAAACACCTAAAATTATTTACACTAAAAGTTTAGAATATGTTAAATATTAAAAATGATTACATCTTAAAAGTTATTGCACACTGACTATTAATGCTTGTTTAGTTTTTTGGCACACCATGGAAAAAAAACTGTTTTTGCATCGATTGATCTTGTAATTTGGTATTTTTGTAAGCGGGCTCTTTTCGAAGGTTGTATTTAGTTTCACTGGATGCTGGTAAAGGGCAATGTAATCGGTCAGAGAGGTTTTCCAACTTCTTGAAAAATGACAGGCACTGATTTTCACGTCTTTCCTCGAGGAATTCTAGATGACGATCTTTAACGGCAGCTTCATAGTCACATAAAGGTTTGATTATTATCATAGCCCTCTTTTGAATAGCTTCGATATTATGGATAAGGTGTTTTGGTTGGTGAATTGACCACACCGGTCACGCATACTCAGATTGGTCTCACTAGCGCTTTGTGAACTCGAACCAGATTAATTTCATCAAGCCTGCGCGTTTAAAAAATTGGCGAAGATAAATAAAGTCGTTTGGAGGCTTTTTCTACAATGTAACTTACATGCGCATCCCATGTTAGGTTATCGCTAATAATTACGCCTAATTGGTTTCTTTTACTTGTTCTATTTCTTCACCCTCCATGATCAGACGAGGAATCTCCTGCTTCTTTCCAAATGAGAATCAGATCACAAGTTTTTGTTTTGTTTTTTGAAGTATTCATGTAGAGATAATTTTTCTTGGACCACTCTATGATCTTATCTGCTGTTTTTTTGTAATTCTGATGGTTGTAGTTAGGCATAGCTTTGAAAATTTCGATGCTCGAAAGCTGTTCTTCCACTTCATCTGGTGTAATAATGAATTTGTCTGTGATTGGGTCGATCATGGTCCTGCCTCCATCTGACTTTGAGCTGTTCCAGATCCTTTAACACTGATGCGAATGCGCTGTTTATTTCATCTGCAAGCTTCACGATGTTTCCTTCAAATCAGTTGTTAGCTAGATTCTGTAAAATGTCGTTTTACTTTCCTACTCCCAAGAATGACTGTTTGCCACCTCTGTTTGTTGGCTGTTCTGCACATCTCGTCTACAGATCTTCTGTAGAAGTCTGACCTCAGGGCTTTATATTTATATATATATATATATTCCAATTTATGCCTAGGATGTATTTGCATAATTTTAAAAAATAATCCAACACTTGATATTAAAAATAAACTGTAAGAAATAAGAATGTACTGATTTTATTTAAGTCTGTCGGCCATGACCAGATCGAAGTCATTATCAAATTTGTCGGAGGAGAAGAAGAGTTTGACAGTCGGCTCCACTGAACTATTGGTTAAAGATGGCAGCGTGGTCAAAGAAAAGGTTAAGAAAAAATAATAACTTGTGATACACATGTCTGACAAAGGAGAAAAACCCAAGACCAAACTCTTTTCAAGATATTTCATGACTGATTAAATTGGACATTTTCCCCTCGGTGTTATTATAAAAATCTTATGCCTGTCATTCTAGTATACTGTGCTATAAATGAACGAATAGAAAGTCGCGCGTTTGTTTAAAAGAAATGGATTTTTTAATCTGATTCACTAATGTCTAACGAATTTACCCCACGAACGAACTTCCATTTTACTAATAAAACATTCTTTTCTGTAGGCTTCAGTTCTGGTAAATGTTCTCCGTAAATCTTCAATGTGGAAATATGGAAGGTTACCTCGCATGTTTTCCTCGGCTTCTCGACAGTTAAGAGACGTAAGTGGATTAAAATTTCCTAGAATATAAAGCTATAACAAACTAAACTGCATTCACTGTTTTTAAAATGACAAAAATGTGCAACAACTGAAAAAAGTAGCCTAAATGCAAGTTGGTATTTTTCATACATATATTTAAATATGACCTTAATTCAGAGATCGGAAGTATTCTGTGGTAAATGAAATATCATCATCTATGCTTCTTTGAAAGGATTTTGAAGAAGATTATGATGGAGAAGAAAATGTTATTCTGATACAGAGCTCTGAGAGGCTCACACACCTGTGTGATTTTGTCTGTAACATAGTACTGGAAGACTGGAATAGAAACGACAGCAAAAGCCATGAACAGGTAGATTGTGGAATGACGTCATGAACAGATAGGTTGCAGAATGATGTCATGAACTGGTAGGTTGCAGAATGATATCATGAACGGGTAGGTTGCAGAATGATGTCATGAACAGGTAGGTTGCAGAATGATGTCATGAACGGGTAGGTTGCAGAATGATGTCAGTGAGACATCTAAAATAATACAATCTACAATAACAGCAAGTTGTGAAACAGTTTGCAATTTCGTGTTGTTTATTTAGAATGTTGGTGATTGTATGAAATACTTGTCACATTCCAGAGGTTAAGGGAAGTTATTAAAAAATGTCTTCGTCATTGTGAGGACAATCAGGTGGATAGTATCGCATTCCCTCCCGTCGGCACTGGAAAACTGCTCAAGTTCCCGGATGATATGGTGGCCAAAATCATGATGGAAGAATGTGTTAATTGGACTAAAGGCAGAACTAGACTCAGGGTATGTTGATTTATTTAGTTCGTTTATTTCTTAACAGAAATGTACAAACAAATAATGCTTTTTGTTTTGTTTTTTCAGAAAATCGTCTTTGTAATTCACGACACAGGCGAAAGACAGTCATTTGAAGAGGAACTTGGGCGTTTTCATGGGATTTTGTCCAAAAAATCTAAACTCCAGAGGCTAGGAACACTTCTGCCTGTTTTCCGTACGTCTTCCTGTTGGTTTGATTTCAGATTGTTGTCTTTTTGTGTTGATATTCATAAAAAAGATAGTCCGTTTTGTACATTATAGGTAGGAGGGGTTCACCGACATCCCAACAGGAAGCAAAACAAAGTGAAAGTGTACAAAGTGTTACTTTGTCCTTACCTTACCTTCTACTTTCTGGGGAAAACTCACAGAGACTGAATGACTCCAGAAAGAAAATAACTGAAGAAATGGAACGCTTATTTCTCTCCAAGGAAATCATACAAAATAAAGGCTTAAACAAAATTTCTTGGGACGATAAACAAGATATTTTCGAGTTAGTGAGGACAATGGATGTTATCCTGATAATAGACTCTGGTAATTATCACCATCCATCATTTTCTTCGCTTAGTACTGTAGATTAGATACATCTTGAAGAAATGAAATAGTGTTTTAATTACTAGTGTCTCGTTTTATGTCTAAATAAATTGCTTTTATTTTTTTTTTATTACGAGTGAATCTAAGACCATACTTGTATATACAGTCTCATTTTAAAAATCTTTTTCTAGATAAATACGTCATCAGTGGACACCGAGATGACGTCCAGGCTTTAGCCAATAAAATCAGGGCTTTGTTATTAGACAGCTTCTCTGTAGAGTCTTTAGAGTCATCCAGTCAAACGAAACCAAAGCGATGGATGGGACCACGATCCAAGAAAGGCACGGAAGATTACTGGAGAGAGGTATTAGAACACCAAAAGACCCCCCTCTACTGGAAAGAGTTCAGAGGGGGTTATGATATCAAATATTATTTAAAACAACACAAAAAGGACTATTGCAGGGTCAATCCGGTCGACAGTGATACCTTTAAAGCTATCAGCGAAATGGTCGAACAGACATGGGATCAAACGCTCGTCGGACATGGTGCTGATGCTAGAAGTTTGAGTCACCAAGGCATTAAAGTGACCAATATCGAAAGAGTTGAGAGCATAGAACTGTTTTCACATTACTCACAACAGAGAGAACGGATTATTCGGCAGATGTTAAGAAGTGGTTTGAATAGTTATCCAAGAATTGAAACAGTAACCCAGAAAGGTGGCCTTTTAACTACGCTGAAAATGCCCAAACTTCTTAACACCAGTCTTTATTTAGATATAAATGAACATTATCTTTTTCATGGTACCAAATCGTCCTTCATAGAGAATATTACCAAAAAGGGCATTGACCCAAGGAAATCTTCCGACAGGTTGCTGTTTGGGCAGGGCATTTACTGTGGTGAAAGTTCTACAAAAGCCGACCAATACACAGGTATTCAATTTAAATATGCGATTCCTTTTATCAGGTTGTAAAATTACTTCATTTGAATCTTTATAACAATAAAAGCAATTTGTGAAACAGCTTAAAAACCAAAACTTCAATTATTCTTAAGGATCACTGACCCTCTGACAACATTCACTCGGATAAATGACTGTTTTTCCTTTATTAAGAGCCATTCTCTGAAATGACTTGAACTTTTATAAAGGAGCTGTGGCACGCACAGTCTCAGAATTTTTCCAAAGTCTAATAAAAATCTTTGATACCGTTCACTCAAATCAGGCAAAAGTTGGTTGCTATGTGTCACGGCTACTATGGCAACATGACCTAAAGTTTGAAAAATGGCATTTTTGATCATGTTCAAGGCTCCATAATTAACGTTTGCAGAAATGCAGACAAGTGACAATAACTGTTTCCAAAAGTTGAAGGCTTGATGTTTTAAATGCATGATAAACAGGATTACTATTACATACGTTACTATGGAAATAAAGTATTTTATTCATTTTAATAACATCATACACTCAAAAATAAAAGCATAAGTTGAAATGCGACCAAATAGTAGAGATCCATGTAACATATTCCAAGGAAGAAATATGATATTTCTTTTTGTTTGGCAATGGTTGCTACGGTTTAAATACCGCAAAGGGATTTCAAATTTTCCCTCTGTATGTTTTAGTCTAATCCTACCTTTTTCAAAGAGCACATTTTATATGACACCCAACACAATCTCTTACTGAATGCAAGAAGCTACCAAGTAGGGTTAATATTTCTTTAGAGTTAACGAAATTGATTATTTCCCTTCTTGGTTACCATAGCAACGTTATTAAAACGTTATTAATGTATGATATTCAACTTAAACTCTGTAAGATAAGTACAATTCAAGATGAGTCAAATAATGTATTTCTTGATTAAAAGGTTAATTCCTAAAGTAGGAAAAATTGACTTTAAAACACTGGTACATTGTTTCTATGGTTACACTACAGTGTAGCAATTAATCCCAATTTTTCTTATGTTTTCTTTGTTACAAGGTCCTAACAATGTATATTTGCCAGTTTTGAATTTCCTGTTTTTCCTTAAGGTAGCAGCATTAACCAAAACTTAGCAACAAATTTTGTGTGGCTACTTTCTGTTACCATGGCAACCATGAAAGTTATCTTAGAATAATATTGCTAATACCTCATTACTTATTGTCAGATAATTTTTTAATTTTTTTTTTTGTGTTGTTGATCGAGTTTGATTATGTAACACCTATCATTAGTGAATATTGAGCGTTTTTCACAGCATTTAAAATGTATTCCAAATGTATCCATGGTTACCACTTACTTCTTAATAGTTTTCAACATAAACGGCAACAAGTTGTAATGTTTTTATTTTTATGAGAGTGGTTTGTTTGATTTTCTTAGTCTTTTAAAGGCACAATAAAGATTCAAAGTAGCTGAAAGTCTTTCGAACTTTTCTGGCTGTTTCCATGACAAGACACATAGCAACCAAATTTTATTTGATACTATCATATGTTTCGGGTGTTAATTGTAATAATGGGCAAAGTTTTGTCAAAATCGGTGACCATGCTAGCCCAAAAAAAGTTTAAGTGGGTACAAAGAATAGCTCTTAAAATGTCACAAAACCAATTATGAAATTTTTTTTCCCGAAAGGTATGTTGGAATTGTGTGTATTTTATTAAAATACATAAATCACATTTCTTGTGAAAAATCACCAGCTTTACAGAAAATGAGTGATCAAAGGAACGACAAACCTGAAGATTTACACAAGGTTTTGAGCTTCATGACTTGTATTGCTTACTTGTTTCAGATGACAAAACTAATCGTCAACAGACGAATCTGAAGATGCTGATGGTCCGGCTGTTGATTGGTAACCCGTTTGTATCGGGAAAAGAACACCCTTACAAACACCCTCCTTGCTCCAGCTGTAAGACCACTAACTGCTTAGTTGGGGAACATTGTCATTACGACTCTATCATTGTAGAAGGGAGGTGGATTTTCCGAGAATTTGTTGTTTATGAACCTAATCAGTGCTACCCAGAGTATATCATCACCTATGACAGAGTTTAACACATACAAATGATCAAATTAGTGGCATTTAGAGTATATCATCGCCTATGACAAGATGTTAACACATTAGTGCTATCCAGAGTATATAGATCTTCACCTGTAACAGAGTTTAACACATACGAATCAATGTACATCTAAGACAAAGTTTATCAAAAGTCAAGATTAATGTTTCATTCAAGGAGTCAAATCAGTATTATCCCGATTATATCATTAAATATATGATCAAATTCAGTTGAATCTTCAACTTCTATAAATACATGTACGGAATTTTGATATGATTACAAAAATATAAAATCGAACATTTAAGGTTTATTACAGTTATATGTAAGTTTAGATTAAGTTTGCTGTTGGTCCAGTTACCCAAGGATTTAGGGGTACTATTGAACAAGGACATTTATCCAATGCAGTTTGCTTTATTGACTTGGGAATAAATATCTCAAAGGTCAAAGTGTATTATGATAATGATTTTTTTTTATTTCAAAACCCTCAAATTAGGAATTGTTGCGTTTAAAGGCTTTTATTCTTCATTTTATTTAATACAAGGTTGAAATTGTTTTGTCGGTAATAGAATTTGAAATGTTAATTTTTTTAAAAATGTAAACATGAATATTTCACTTTCTACTGCTTAACATAGTAAAATGTTCTGTAAAAAAATGCGTATAAGATCGTTAAAATACATTTCCCTTTTCCCTGTTATATAATTGTTGTGACTTTAATCGACTTTATACTTTCATTCAACAATTTGAGTTAACCTTCTTTTTCCCTATCTGTTTGCACAAATACTGTGACTACACTGAAGAAAATTGTGTTCTATCTCATCATGTGTTATCATTAAGTGCTTTCTTCTTTACCGAGGTTTGTATGTTTAAAGTATACATGTATATTCTGTGATATGATCTTAATAATAAATGTTTTCTGTTTTATTTTTATAAACGGAAATAAAATCACATCTTACCTGCAATAGAGGATGGAAGATGAGGATGTTGAATTTGCTCTAGATTTAGTTCTTTTCTTTGGAGTTCAACTTCGATTATCTTCATCTCCGTTTCAATATTGGGTAATTGGAACTTCAGAAATAAATATATTTTTAACTGTTCTGTTTAGCAGACCTTGAAAGTTGAAGATTAAAGCTGAATACGACTCGTAAGTAGGTATACGCCATTTTAGTTTTCCTATCTATATCAGCACGGGGGTATATAAACCCTTCGCATCCGTTGCAACAGATTGCTCTTAGCTGGTAGCTGTGGCGTACAGTACATGTAAATCTTGCGATGTCCTTTTTATTTCATTAAACGTGCATTTGAGTTTATTTCACTTTGTAATTGCATTGATATTGAGTATCTTTGGTAACTTTTTCCTGACGTGGCTGAGGCATACAGAAGTCATTTTGTCGCTCACAAGTATTTCACGATAACAATATAGGAGACGTCTGCTCAGATAAAATCGGTGAAGCGAAATATATTGAACTGTGACCAAAGCTGGGGCTTATACAGGGGCTAGAGAGGTCCGAGATAGAAAAGAGAAATATGGCGGACAAAGGTTATTCTCCTCCTTTTACGAATCGTGTTCGGCTTTAAGTAGGAAACATATCTTTTAAGTTTAAAAGAGATTATTTAAAAGTGCCCGTTTTTACAATTTTCTGCACTTTTTTCTCGAACAACATAATTTGAAAGGGGATTAATTAGGGTGATGCCTTCATGTATCTCCTTCTCAAATACACTTATATCCATTATGTATGTGTGAGTAGTTTTGTTTCTTTTTGTTGTTTTTTAAAACATACCGGTATATTTTGTTTGCGATCGTGACCTTTGTTCGATAAGCTGTTTATTTTAAAGATTTCAATTATATAGCATCTCAAGACAATACTTTAATTGGAATAAACGTCAGAAGTGGAAATAACCAGCAAAAAGATATTTAGAGGTACTTTACCACGCACAAGGTAGAAGTACGTTATTCCAATTACTGATAAAAAAGTTGCCCGATTGGTCCGATTCAGACACGCATACATTTGTATTTCTTACACAATTAATGTACAGGTATACATATTATACATGTATGTATAAATTAATGGTACTATGCTTTATTTTTGCACTTACTAATACTAATACTTTCTAATACTAGAAAGTTTTGTATGATGACATAAGCTGTAAAGAAAGTAACCAATCCTGCATCTTCACATAAATGTCTATCAAATCTTTGTTTTTGAAGATGTACATATTTCATATGAAAACAAATCCCCACTAATAAAAACCCCTTTAACATTGCTGAAAGTTGAAAGCATAATCTAGGGATTATCTCAGACTGATCTCTTTAATAAAACACTACTTTGAAACGATCTAAACATCCTTTAGAAGAATGTGCTCTTTGAAGCGGGGAATCTCCTAGAACAAACGTACTTTTCACCTGACAGAAAAACGGATATTCTGAATAAAGTAAAAATGTAACCGAATGGAACAAGCCCTGGAATAGGACAGAAAATTGGTAATGTAGAGCAGGACAGAGGGAGAAGCCTGCCTTATATATACAGCTAAGAAAAATTCACCCAATTTTTTGCGTTAGTTAACAATTTAATGAAATGCATATTTAGGAAGGAAATGTATTGCTTCTACACAAAAAATACGCAAACGAAAGACATAATGAATTATGAAATTTTGTTATAGTTTTTATAACCATGATTGATGTTTAACAGCCTAGTATTTACTTACTCCTCTGTTCAAGAATGCTACTAATGTGTCTGAGGAAACCTCTTATGCTCAGAAAGAGATAATGAGATTGACTGATGTGTACCTGCTTATTTTTTCTACGAAATTTGTATTCCCAATTTAACCCCGCGCCATAGCTCAATTATCCATAACCTCTGTGGCCCAGAGCCCGGAAACAGTCTAGAATTTAAACTCATATGAATACATTTTGCTCGAATAAAAAAGACCACAAGGCACTCTAGCAGGAATCGTGCTCAAAAGGCGCAAGGGGGGGGGGGGGTAACTAAATACTAGAGAGTAAAATATCAACCATGTATACAAAACTATTTACAGAATTGCAAAATTCATAATATTTTTTACTCCTTTGCGTCTTTTTTTTAAAAAGTAGCAATGCATTTATTTTTCTTTCCAAAATGTGCATTTAATTTAAAGCTACACAATTTAGGTTAAAAAAAAATTAAGCTATAAGAATTACAGATGCTAACCCTAAATTTTCATTTTATATTAAAAAAAAAACACATTGGTTTATTACAGATTGTAACCATACAGGATAGGAATCCTGCATTATTATGAAACATAATGGTAACCAGACATTGGTGTAGGATAGAATGGTTACCACATTTTTGTACATGTATATTATATTTCAGAATGGTGAGATCACATACAGATAGTAACCATGCATTGATTAAGGACAAGTTGGTCACAAAATGGTATGGAATAAAGATGAATCCACAAAACTCAAAAGACAGATAACAAACTAGCTAAGTGAAGGACAACGTCATGGGTCCAGAGTAAACACGCTGCCGTTCAAAAGGCAACATCTTTACTCAGGACCCCTGCCGTTCAAACGGCAATTACGTCTTGACTCAGGACCCCTGTCGTTCAAACGGCAGTGTGTTGACTCAGGACCCCTGCCGTTCAAACGGCAATTACGTCTTGACTCAGGACCCCTGCCGTTTAAACAACGTGTTGACTCAGGACTTCTGCCGTTCAAACGGCAATTACGTCTTGACTCAGGACCCCTGCCGTTTAAACAACGTGTTGACTCAGGACTTCTGCCGTTCAAACGGCAACGTGATGAATCAGGACCCCTGTCGTTCAAACGGCAAAGTGTTGACTCAGGACCCCTGTCGTTCAAACGGCAACGTGTTGACTCAGCCTGACATTGTGAGGAATGAGTGAAGGAATAATCCTTGAAACTGAGCACGAACACACATTCAAGATGTTGTACGAGGAAGGTTTAGATACTGTATGAGGAAGGCTGATTTAAGGATCTGTATCATTTATTGTGTAATTTTTCGTACTTATATTATCAGAAATAAACTCCATCATTTAGTAGAATACATGAAAAACAAACAGTAAAAACATATGCAATAGTTTCACACATGATACTGATAAAAATAGCCTCTAAAACAGAATGAAATGAGGAAATAATCTGTTAGGATTACGCACATGGTTTCCCAGATAGGAATATCATCTCATTTAGTCAATTTGTTGAGGAAGTGGAAAATTCAAAGCCAGCAACAATAACTATTTATGGAAAAACAAGGACGGATGTTTTTTACATTTCTAAATTAAAGAAAACCATTTTAGAAACTTTTCAAAGAAGATTTGAGCGTAAGCCAACCTACTTCGTTTTCATTTTTAGTCACACATTCTCCATTTAACTCCATATTTGTAAATGTAAGTAAATTTATATCTTTTCAGTATAGAGTTATTTACATAAAGAATCTCTTATTTCAAGAACTTACCCAGAGTAAAAGGCGATGTCCGACTCGAGCTCTAGCGAGGATGAAGGTGACTTCTGTACGTCACGACCAGGAGGTCAGTTAGGTCAATGGTCAGCAATACCAAATGGCCATGTCGGCTCTCCATCCCGGGGGAAAGCTAGCAAGGGTGGCAACGTGAACTCGGAAAGATTAGACTTATCTACAATCTGCAGAGATGGTAGGTAATATGTAAAATTATACGTACAGCAGGATTGTAAAACGTTTAATGCTTCAAATTACCAATCTTAAAAATTAATCAGGATAAATTTGCAAGGTTGTACTAATGATGTGATCATAAAGTGTAAGGCTACGATAGAAAGCGGAGAGAGCTATCCTTAAATTCCATGTTTAATCCTATAATTACAGCAGGTCATTAACTCTTCAGTGCAACACTAATTACAGATTAATTTCTCGATGTATTTTTTTTTATCTATAGAGGAGGATACTCGCCTATTGGCTAGATTATTGAAATGTAACAAAGGAAAAGAGGTGGTTGCTGAATTAGAGGAAAAACTCTGCTGTAAATTACACATTAAATACAAAACAAGGCCTAAACGTCGCTTAGTAACAAAACGTCCAAGATCACGCCGATGTCAATCACCACAAGTGTATGTAACCAACTTATAGCAATTTTATAAGACTACTCACCGAATTTCCTCTGCATTTCCATAAAAAGAAAAAAATCTTTATTACACAGGGTATGTCAATCCTCACCTCGACTCTTTTTCGGAGGAAGAAGTATATCAATGTCAGAAACCCCAGAATACAGGTCAACGTCCTCAATCATTAATAATGTAGAGGTCAAGGTCAAACAAGGTGACATCGCCAAAGAAACGGTATTTAAATTATCTGATCAATGACATAATATTTGCATACATTATAATATATATTTAATTGAATGAACTCTTTGATCTGAAACAGGCAGACGTCATTGTCAATGTGGTTGGACCAGATCTCGATTTTCAGAAGAGCCTCATTTCTAAATCACTTTGTAAGGCTGGAGGAAGTACCCTGATTAAGGTAGACTTAACCGCCGCGTAACCCTATCTGTCCTAGATATTTGTCTCCTCTCGAAGATAATCAGTATAAAATAGTCATTCAGTCATTCTAAGTTACATGTTATGTTCATTCTATCAAATCTTGTTAGCTTTACTGAAGCTCTAGTTCAAGGCAGTGACATCTTTTGCTTGCTTGTGCATTTTCTTTAATGGAAAAATCTGCCATGACAGAAAATTGTTTCTCTGAAGAATGACCCCTACTAAAAATCCTTCATTTGTGTTTTTCTTGAAATAGACATCTACTAATAACAACAAGACAAAGATTTCGTTTCAAAGCAATGGTTGTAAAGATTGCTAACAAAACGCAGCTATTGTAACGTATTCAATGAATTGTCATGACTAACATTGAATATTGTTAAGACATCGTCAGTCTCAGAGTGTCCTGAACTATCCATTGTGTTAACTTGATAAAATGAACCTTTCAATCTTTTTTTTTTTTGGAGACCCCCCCCCCCCCCGGGAAAATTTGGTCAAGTAATAGCTCATCATTATTAAAATTAACCCCAATTAATCAACCATTTGAAATTCTTTAATAGAAGGGATACATTTCTTTCTGTTAATATAATATTTGAGAGTCCTGAGAGTAACGTAGAAGTATTTCCATACCTGAGTGTTTCTGCTTACTCCAGCACATGGATGGGTGACCTATATAAGCTTCCTACAATGTTTGCTACAATGTAGAACCAGTTTAACTTCCTTTACACTTTATAGCCATCATACAAAGTTATTTTTGAATTATATGCCAGTTTTCTGTTTCTTATGACATACATATGTATATGTACCTATATAAGTATAAAATTGGGTATCAGCCAGATCGTGGTATTTTGCATAGCTGCATTCCTAAATATATTTGCAAAGTCGTAAACATTACACACTTTGTCAATAAGCAGCATGCTAGCAAAAATGCTGATCTGAACACATTGAAAATTAATCTTACTTACACCTGGTTAACAGCATGCTTACACCTGTTTCACAGTTTACGTTGCTTACACCTGTTTGACAGCTCACCTTGATTGCACCTGTTTGACAGCTTGCTTACACATGTTTGACAGTTTATCTTGCTTACACCTGTTTGACAGCTTATCTTGATTGCACCTGTTTAACAGCTTCCCCCGCATACACGTTTTACAGTTTATCTTGCTTGCACCTGTGCCATTATTATTTCTTCACAGCTCTTTATATTTTTTTTCTTCAGGCTCTGAAGGATTCTAAATCAAAGCTTGGCAGCTCCCGCATCATTACAACAGTTGGCGGAAACTTGAATTGTCAATTTGTGTTTACACTAGTACTTCATCCTTGGACAGACGTAAACGCCCAAAAGGTACAGAATGCAGGACATACTATGAATATAATGAGCAGAACTTTTCTTGCACTGTTATCTATTCGTTCTTTTTTAAGGAATTTCCGCAGATCATGGATGAATGCTTTCAGTTGTGTATCCAAAGTGGCATGACATCCATATCACTACCGCTGTTAGGCTGTGGCCGGATGTTGCAGTATCCATTACAAACGGCAGCAGACATCATGGTGCAGAGCGCCTGTAAAGCTTTATCCAAAGGCGGGCTCCAGGTAAAGTTATAATTTCTAATGATGGTAGCCTTACGTAAATCTGTCAAAATTTTAGTTACGCCTGCTGGAGATTCTATTAATTTTTTATTCTTCATACTCCAGGGAATAACGTTCGTTCAATATAGTCCACCAGAATATGACGCCATGACACAAGCACTACGTCAGAATAGTGGCGCCACAGGTGGCACGGCGGCTGCCAATGGTGGTATGTTATGGGTTTTTTTCAACAAATCATACTTTATATGATTTATTTTTTTTTTTTTGATTTTGCAGCACTTTAGAATATTTTATCTTAGAAGGTGACAGCGACGATGTGGATGCCATTGGTTGCTCTATAACTGTGTCGACGTTTTCTAAAACGAGACCAAACGTTGTGTCTCGGATTCTCTCAGGAATAAAAGACAGATTACTGTGTACTGATAATATTCAAAATCCCCAAAATAAATGTTTACCTCTTCGAATCAAGGGGCGTATTCACGAGGTCGCTTCAAAAAAAGGACAGCGACATATAAGACTCGACATAGGTAATGCATTCCATTTTGTTTAATACGGGTTATTCCAAGTGATAAGAGTTTACAATTAAAAATCCGAAAATCTAAGAAACAACAATAAACAAACAAACATCTTTCTCTCTTCAATTTCAGATCAGAAGACTGGCAATATAGAGTTAAGAGGTGAAAGGGATCACATTAAAAAGTGCAAATATGAAATAATACCTCTACTTTCTGGTACTGTGAACACTTCTGACCAGCTTAAATGTTCACCCGAGTTTTGGTCAAGTCTTGCACATGAGTACACTCAAACGCCGCCCTATTGGTCACACTTTCCTAGGTGTCGCCCAATGCCAGAGGTATTTAAATTATTCCAGGCCAATCGTCAGCCGATGGTAGTGCCTGTGGATAGAGATACTGACGCTGCTGTAAGGAGCCTCGTTCACAGCACATGGCAGAAAGAAAATGTAGGTCAAGGACGAGATGCTGTCGGCTTGTCTCACACATCCCTCAAGATTCACAAGGTAGAAAGAATAGAAAATCTCGGACTGTTCGCAAAATATGCCATCAAACGTCAGGAATTCTTCCGTGCTCTCTCAGATGACGAAACATACCATCTTCCTAAAATTGAGGATGTTCTGCCTTCAGGAATGCCGATGCAGTGTAGAGGACCAATAGATACCTATGCAAAGTTAACAAAACCGTTAAAAGAAGAAATTTTCCCAGAAATTAATGAACATTATCTTTTTCATGGAACCAAACCAGAGGTTTTACAGACCATCATTCATCAAGGTCTGGACTTTAGAATGAGCAGTGATAAAGCAATGTTTGGAATGGGAATTTATGGCGCTGAAAGTTCTACAAAAGCGGATCAATACGTGGGTGAGTTCAATTAGGACAATAAAGCATGAGCTTAATAAATATATTCAGTAATACTTCAACAAAATATAAACCCTTTGTTTCCTACCAATTTTAAGATCTTTGTTTTAATACTGAATTTGACTACGGAATGTTCCGTATACTTGATCAGTACAAAGGGCTAACGGCGGGTGTGACCAGTCAACAGGGGATGCTTACTCCTCTTAGGCACCCGATCACACCTCCGGAATTTCCAGGGCTCCGTGTTTATGCACTATTCACAGATTTGTATTGTTTGAAGTTTTTATGAGATCGATCACTTTTCGTTATCTTCATCCTTTTCCATTAATGCTGAAATCACATCTATAGTACTTAATCTTGAAAGCGTTTTGCAATGAAAAAACAATTGTTAATCTTCTCTTCATCGGTTTTTATGAAAACCCAACCAAAATCATTTACATGTATATACATGTATACATAAATGTGTAGGTAGTTTTAATTTTTTTTTTTTTTTTTTTTTTTGCAAAATGCAAGATGTGGAACGAGTAATTATAACTTAAGTTCTTTTTAAAAGAAATAGATAGAAAGTAATTATAGTAAGTAGAGTGTAAGTCAGCTGTAAATTATCCTTTTTCTTAAATTGCAAAAAGCAAATACAATGTATACTACACTTATGCTTTCAGACGTAAAGAAATGGATAGAAAATAATTTTAGTATTAAAGTAGAGCAGATAAGTCAACTGTAAATTGTTCTTAAATTGCAAAAAGCCAATGTGCTACACTCTTATTTGCAGACGCCAAAACCAACAGAACTCCTGGAACGAAGAAAATGCTTTTGATGCGGATGTTGCTGGGAAAATCGTATCTTTGTCTGGACCCAAACCCCAAAAAGTACAGACGACCTCCATGCACTAGTTCCGGTTGTCGGCGTGACGATTGTGTTGATATGCATGACCGATTCGATAGCGTCATTGGAGACGGACAGTGGTTATTCCGGGAATTCGTAGTGTATGCCGTTGATCAATGTTATCCGGAATATATTATCACTTACGAAAGAAAATAACCTTGTATCCTGTTCCATTACAAATCACGAGACTTAAAACTGAAGTGTACGGTGGTCGATTACGGAACGACAATTTCGAACGTACAGTACATGATGAATGACAGCCCTGAACTAACAGATATATCTGCTATGCTGATATGCTAGTATCTAACCATGGTCCATGTTGTTAGTTTATTTGAGCCAAATGACTTAATTAAATTGGTTTAATCAGCAAACCAAACAATAAATCAGTCACATTAATTAATTGTATTCAATAAAAACTATCTGTAAATATTTCACAGATGCTACTGTTCAATCGAATTTTAATTTTTACGTGGAAAAAAGATGCATATGAATTACACTCTGTGTAAAACGTACCAAAATCTAATCAAAATTAAAGCCACATTAGAATTTTTCCACTCTTTCTTCCGCATGCTGAGATTTTTAATACTCCAGTATTTTTTCCCTTCAAAACACTCACTTCGAACTTCATCATTGTAGAATCAATCAGGAAATCTGTATTTTTATGGTGTTTGCTGTAGGGAAGAAACAGTTATATTTTTCAATGACTTAATTTCTAACCACTTGTGTCAAGTTGTGTGTTTTCTACCCCTGGGAATTTAAAAACACAGGAGTTATTTGAAAAAAAAATCACAGTCAATCTAAGTTCAACTCCCTTAGATTTCAAATATTTGCTATGTTATCCAAAATTGTCCTTACCAATCACCATAACTTATTGTTATATCTTTATAAATTTGTTCCTATATAAATCAATACTAATAAAGTCTAACATTTCCAATGTTTTACTCAGCGGGCATAAAAAAATCGATGTTTGACCCTGGAGTGAGGTATGGGACCTGTCGATGAGATGTTGGACCGCTACATCACACAATGGGCGGGGTCAGCTAAATCTCATTTGCATTCGTTGGTGTTCGACATACATATATGTCAAAAATAATAATAATAAAATAAATAAATAAATAAAAGGTATAACAAAACTTTTATTGACTGTGTTCTCCGGCAAAATGCGTTTTGTCGACCCTCGAATCAAACTGCTTGGTTCTTGGGTCCGACAAAACGGATGTTGCCCTCGAACCCAGTCAATAAATGTATATTATTTCCCCAAACGGATTCAATTTCTTTTGCAGGAAAGGTATACGTAATTGATAATAAAGAAAATACATGTAATTTCATAATCCACTCTATTACCCATCAGACAGAAACAGTAATTATAAGAAATTTATTGACGCAAGTCTCAGTGAACTATGCAAGTATATGCATATATTTGTCCACATAATAATCGAATTTAATAAAATATTTATCAAAATATGCGCATATACTATAGTAATTTATGAATTGGAAATCGGAAACAACTTAGACTTATGTCGATATCTGTACATTGCCCCCCCCCCCCCCCCCGAAAATGCTTTTCTATATGGAAATCATCAGGGAAAAGTTGCACCTGAAATGAGTTTCACTAAACTATTGTAAAATCTTAAGATCTCCCTGTTTCATCTGAAGATCTGACTAATGACAGTCATAAGATATACAAAGTCATCTAAGTAGTAAAAGTCTTGAAACACGTCCAAAACAGAAATATGCTTGCTCAAAGTGACAGCTTTTCTTCCTTTTTAATATTTCTAGTTCACCTGAGCTCTGAAAGCTCAACTAACCTTTTCTGGTCTCCCGTTGTCCAGCGTCCGTCCGTCACGCTGTAAACTCCTCACACCTTCAACTTCTTAAAAAACACTAGGCCAATTTTATGATAAACGTGATGACTTCAACTTTTCTATCGTCAGCTTCCTGTCATATTGTAATTTTTGAATTTACCGGGTGGTAGTAAATACAAAAAATTTTGTATTTACTACCACCCGGTAAATTCAAAAATTACAATATGACATTCCCTTATTTATGTAAATATACACTTATCACCTGAATATGGAGTTTATCTCTCCCAGTTGATTCGATACGCAAGAGCATGCCCTACGTACGAACAATTTCTAAAAACGAGGCAAACTATTGACAAACAAGTTGATGAAACAAGAATATCAATAGTTTCGTTTGAAGTCATCATTTTGCAAGTTATATGGTCGATACAATGACTTTGTGAGCAAATACAATCTATCATTAAGTCAAATGCTGACTGATGTTTTTCATAGTAATTGTTAAGCCATTATTTAAACACTGATTTTTTTTTTTTTTACTGATTTTTCCTTTGTCCGATCATGACAAGGAGCACACGGCAGGTGTAACCGGTTATCTCCATATTTCACTTCAATCAAAGCTGATACAATGCATTCTGGGTAAAGGGAATTCTAAAGTGTTAAAATGAAGAGCTAAACCCCTTTCCAAGGGGAGATTATCAAGGAAAGGCAAAAATAGGGTGGGATCATTTTAAAATTTTCTCAAGAACCAATGGATCAGAAACGATAAAGCTACCTGAGATAATGTAGATTACTAGTAGAATTGTTCAAATCATGTCCCACGGGTGTAGGGTGGGGCAACAATAGGGAATCAGAGACTGATATAGGAATAGATATGAAAAAAATATTCTAAAATCTTCTCAAGGACAGCAAAGCCATGATTAGTCATATTAACAGAAACATCTCATGTAGTGTAGATTCAAGTTTGTTCAAACCATGACCCCGGTAGTAAGGTGAAGCCACAATAGGCAATCTAAGTTTTACACAGAATTATATAGGGAAAAATCTTTAAAACTTCTCTCAAGAACAGCAAAGGCATGATGAATCATTACTGTGGAAGAATCCTAAGGTAGTGTAGATTCCAGTTTGTTGAAATCTTGAACTCCAGGGGTAGGGTCAGCCACAATAAATGAACATAGTTTTAGATGGAAATTTATAGGAAAAGATTTTAAAAACCTTAAAAGCTTCTCAAGAAAGCAAAGCCATGATTAGTCAAATTTATTTGGAAACATCCTCTGGTAATGTAGATTTAATTTTGTTAAAATCATAGCTTATGTGTATAGGGTGGGGCCAAAAAAGGCGATCAAAATTTAAGATAGGAATACACATGATTATTGGGGGGGGGGGTCTGATAAAGAACAGTAGGACCAAATTGACTCAGGTGAGCGTTGTGGCCTATGGGCCTCGTGTTTAAAATAATAGTGAATCTTGAATAATTCTGTTGGAGTTTTAAGCCAAAAATAAATTTTGAATGCACCAGCCACAAGGATAATTTTTTTCTGGTTTTATTTTTCCTTTTCGGGAAGGGAGGGGGGGGGGGCTAAATTACTTTCGAAGATGTAAATAAGATGAACTTGTAGATCAAATGTGGTATTTACTGTGGTAAATACAACAGATTACGTCCGGTAGGGTGGGGGTGAGGAAAACTTCTTGTGCATGAACAGAAGCAGAAAAATACAGGGGAGGATTCTTACCATTCAGGACCACCATAATTGTAGGTGTTTATATGCATATAGACATCCCTACGGACTAGGAAAGGGGTGGAGTATCTATTAAAGCTAATTCATGTTATCAAATTATTTGGTGAATACTAAAAGGCAAGTTATTTTTACGATGAAAATTCATCAAAATGTAATAAAATTAACGTAAATTGTCTTATAAATGCAGGTGCGGATACAGAACTAAAAAAAGAGGAGGAGAGACAAGCAAAAAAAAAAAATTAAAAAAAAAATAAAATAAACATAAACTAAATAACTTGGACTTGGAAACTTTGAATGGACAAACCGCTTTCCTTCATGTTTGTGGAAGATGCTCTTCTTACCAACTTTTTAGGGGTATGTGTTTCCTAGTGGGAGCCCAAGTTCACTCTTTGGTTACTTGATTATTCAAACAGATAACTTTGAAAATCCTCAAAGGGGGGAGGGGGGGGGGTCCGAACTCTCTGACCCACCAGCTCGATCTTCTACTGTAAATCATTCATATAGTCCAAGAAGCTTTTCCTCTCTCTAAATACATGTAACCATTATTCTTTTAGGTGCCGTCTGTTTTGAACCCCAAAATGTAGGCTACCATCTTAACATAGATACCTGTATTTGGTTATCTTGAGATTTTCATCAATGACAGTTTTGTGAAACAGCTACATGGTGCAATATCATGACAATTTTCAGTTTTAAGACAGATCTAAGTCATAAGGTAGTTTTAACAAGAGGCCCATGAGACACAATGCTCACCTGAGTCTCTATGGCTCTTAGACTACTGTTCTTCATCAGCATATTTTTTTCCAATATATTTTTATGTAAAACTTTGATTGCCTATTGTGGCCACACCCTACCCCCAGGGGTCATGATTTGAAAAAACTTGAATCTTCACTATGTAATGAAGCTTTCATATATCAAGTTTAATTACGTCTGGCCCAGTTGTTCTTCATCAAAAGATTTTTTAAAAGATGTCATTAAGTTTTCACTAATTCTTAATTATCTCCCCTTGAAAGAGGGTGTGGCCCTTCATATAGATAAACTTGGATTCCTTTCACCCAAGAATGCTTTTTGGCAAGTTTGGTTGAAATGACCTGGTAGTTCTTGAGAGGAAGTCAAAAACAGATGACACAAGACAGACAGATGCCCCACACCCTTCAATCAGAAAAGGTCGCAGTGATTACAGTGTTTGTTCAAGAGTCGTGTTGTAAGGAATTTATCCTTACGTAGCGAGTTCGATTCCCACTGCTGGAAACCAGTCCTTCAGATGAGACCGTGATCCCGTGTCGTGGTAGGTGCTGGCACAAAAAAGATCCCTCAATGCTCAAAGGCCGCAAGTGCCGTGTACAGATCTTAATTTGCAGCACTCCACCAGCAAGTGGTGACTCTCAAAATGAGTGAAAAATTTGCACTTCCTGAGGATGCTTTTGAATTAATATGACACATAATGGCTTTGCTGTTCTTAAGATGATAATTTTGTTGATATACTAGTATCCTTTATATTCCTTTGCATAACTATGATCCCCTGTTATGGCTCCTCTATTCTCCTTGGGGGTCATGATTTGAACGAACTTGAATCTACACTACCCGAGGATACATCCATAGAAATATGACCAATCACAGCTTTGCTGTTCTCGAGAAGATTTATTTTCTTCTATGTATTCCTATGTAAAACTTGGATCACCCATTGAGGCCCAACTCTACCCCCGGAGGTCATAATTTGAACAAACTTGAATCTACACTACCTGAGGATACTTCCATATAAATATGACTAATCATGGCTTTGCTGTTGTTGAGAAGACGATTTTTTAAAGGTTTTTCCTATGTATTCCTGTGTAAAACTTTGATCGCCCATTGTGGCCCCACCCTACCCCCGGGGGTCATGATTCGAACAAACTTGAATCCACACTACCCGAGGATGCTTCCATATAAATATGACCAATCAAGGCTTTTATGTTCTTGAGAAGATCTTTAAAGATTTTTCCTATGTATTCCTATATAAAACTTTGATCCCCCATTGTGGCCCTACCCTACCCCTGGGGGTCATGATTTTAACAAACTTGAATCTACACTTCTTGAGAATGCTTCCATAAAAATATGACTAATCATGGCTTTGCTGTTCTTGAGAAGATTTTTAAAGGTTTTCCCTATGTATTCATATGTAAAACTTTGATTGCCCATTGTAACCCCACCCTACCCACGGGGTCATTATTTGAAAAACACTTGAATCTACATTACCTGAGGATACTACCATATAAATATGGCCAATCACAGCTTTGCTGTTCTTGAGAAGAAGATTTTTAAAGATTTTTCTCATATGTATTCCTACGTAAACTTTGATCCCCGATTTTAGCCCCACCCTACCCCTGGGGTCATGATTTGAACAAATTTGAATCTACATTACCTCATAATGATTCCACATAAGTTTCATATTTCAAGCACAGCGGTTTTTGAGAAGAAGATTTTTAAATGTTGCCATTTATTTTTTACGAAATCATAATTATCTCCCCTTGGAAGAAGACGTGGCCCTTCGTTTAAATAAACATGAATCCCCTTTACCCAAGGATACTTTGTGGCAAGTTTGATTGAAATTTGGCCCCGTGGTTGTGAAAAAAATGTGAAAAGTTTAGGACGACGACAGACAAGCTCACTTGAGCATTCGGCTCAGGTGAGCTAAAATCGGGCCCAAGATGTGCCACTACAAATTTTGAGTTACAGTTCATATTAAATAAGCATCTTACAGAAGACTGAAATCTGGACTTAAGTCCAAGTCTCTTACATGGCCTTGGTACCAGGTTGCTTTCTGTGTCTTTATGATGTTACAAATTACAGAGATAACATGTAAAAAAAAAAAAAAAAAGCACAATCTTTGTCACATTTCATACAGCGCAATCTGGAATCTGGGAATTTTAGGACAAAAACGGATATTATTGGAGGAAGTTTTTTTTCTTTACGGTCTTCTTTAAATAGAATCAAAACACATTCTTAAGTAGGTAACCCTGATATTTGTTCTGTTTAGTTTACGTGTTTTCCTCCATTTTGGTGGATTTTTTTTTAACTCTTGGGGGAAAAAAACTAAGAACCACTAAAATGAATACGTCGACTCTACCCTTCTTGTTAGAGGTGACAAAGGTGAAGATAACGGTGATCAATCTCAAAAATACTCTACAAATCAAATAGTCAATATGTACATTGATCACGTTACAACGTGCATTGATTTAAAATTTCTATAATCAATAAAAACATAAAGATAATTTATTGAAGGTAATGCCAGCTGATCTCAATAGATAAAGAAAACGTCAATGTTAGGTTTACAGAACAATTCTGTATGAGAAAGGACGAACTGGCTGTGCTTCGTAGCTATGAACCCTTTCTGTTCAATCATTATGTCAAATAAATTTTGAATTGACCGGGTGACAGTAAATACAAATTTTACAACATAACTTCGTATTTACTGCCACAAGACTATTAATTCGTCCATACAAGTAGCAAAACTTGGTTTGTTTTGCCTATATTAATTGAGTAAAAACCGACATATTATTGATAGTGTTATTTCAGTAGTGTATAGAATTCCACATCATTGGTTTAAAATAACAATACAGACATAAATGTCATTTCCAACATACAGGACGCACATGATAAAGGTCCAGTCCATGATTACGTAATAACAAGGTAGTCCTTCAACTGCAGATAAAACGTTCTTGTTTTATAAATCATTTTAGTTTTGGTGTCACCTAAAACTGCAGTGTACTTGTGAAAACAAAACGAGAGAAAATTTTTGTTTTACACTCATAAAACTTCGTAACAGATAAAATGAAATAAACATTGTTTATCATATACACTCCATATGAATAACTCAAGTAACGGAAAGAAAATTCCAATACATCTAAAAATATACTATTGTATCAATTTTACCCAAAGTTTTCCAGGTCCCAGGGTCATACAATACGTCAAAACTCCAGTCTTCTGCACGATGCTTATTAACTATGTGCTAAAACTAAAAATTTGCAGACAGTAGCACCCTGATAATTTCATCTTGAATTTTTATCTTGGATTACAAGTTTTGACCACTTGAAGGGCAATACACATAATCTAACTTAAGTCTAAGCTGTTTTATGATCTCCGGGAATTTGCAGAGTTATTAAATATACATAGTAAAGTGCATAAAAAATGCCCCCCCCTCCCGGAAAACACGGACCCTGTTAAGTTGGTAGGAAGAGTATTACATATGAAGCGTGAAGGAAAGTGGCTCAACTCCTACACCCCCCCCCCCCCATACCTCACGAAAATAAGTTTTTTTCACGTTTTGAAAAGACGTTAACTTTTTTTTCGTTTGTTTTTTCTTTCGTTTTTGATTGCCAACGCCCCCCCCCCCTCCCCTCCCGGAAAATTTCTGAATCCGCTCCTGATAGCTGATAATTCACTAGATCATTTTTATTACTCTTTCAAATCAATGTTCGACATCCACAGTTGACCAAATTTTGCTTTTAATGTGGAGTCTCTGGTGCCTGTAGAAAGTACAGACGTTAGGGAAATCGTAACAATTAGTCACTGTAGATCAACATTATAGTTGATCTAGTATTAAATGATTGTCTTTTTCTTTTGGAAATACGTAAGGCAATAATCGTTAGATGTGGATACCGGGAGGTGTATACTGCCCGACACAGAGTCCGATTCCCCACCTGTCACCTCCTTAAACACGTTAGGTTCACCAAATATACACCTCAGTCCTAAAAAGGCAAACACCAGCGCTTCTTTAAAACAGATTGTGTCTTTATCAGATGAATTCAGGTGCATTTTGAGTTTCTCTAGCTTTCCTCTGAAAATCTTCACCAGAGTTTTGTTGAAGGCGCCACCTCCCGTCAGTAAGACCGTCATCTTTTTGGCCGAAGGTTGCTTGTTCGGCATAAGCTGCGCTGATTGGCATGCCTCCACCAGTTTACAAGCCACGTGTTCCACAAATGTTCTCATCAGGTCTGGAATTTTGTAGGTCATCGTCTGGAAGTTAAAAAAATCATGTTCATGATATGTGCCTCATACACAGAAAAATATTTTTTTAAATATGGAAAGAGAAGAAATGCTCTTTAATTAACAGAAATTGTAAGTCTTTGAAATATATAAGAAAAGTATTGCTATTGAATGGCTTTAACTAGAACAGTTTAACATATGTTATATCGCTGTGATATTATCCTGAAGACCAGATAAGGGACAGTTATATTATTCTACAATTGTCACTAAATGTACTTGCATCTAAAATGGGAAGGACATTTTCTTCTATCCATTCCGCGCCAAGTGACTTTGGAGGTGGTTGCAAATAAAACGGCAGTGAATCCAATTTCTCCAACACGTTTTTCAGCACTTGACCTTGACTTGCAATCCTTCCATCTGGGTCAAAAGTCAAGGAAGGATCATAATCACTTGCTAATTTATTCAACACATAGTTGCAGGGTGAAATATCATAACCTTTACTGCCATGTACGCCAATGTTCGCAATTCCACCAAGATTTATACAGATATCATAGGCCTGGAAAAGATATTTCTCTCCACACGGTACAAAAGGCGCCCCCTGACCGCCAAACGCCACGTCCTTGTTCCTGAAGTTACAGACAAACGGACAATCTAAATACCGAGACACTGTTTCCCCGTCTCCTAGCTGAAATGTGTAATTCTGTGCCGGATTGTGAAAAATTGTATGTCCATGAGAAGAAACAAACTCCACATCAAGATCGTTTTCATCAATGTATTTCTTGATAGATTTCCCGAGTAGGTGCCCATATTCAACATGAAGTCGTATCAATGCCTCGCCATTCAGATCTCGCGCACCGGCGAGTCGTGAAGTCCATTCTCGGTCATACGGCAAAGTGTCCGCCTTCACGATACGATAGCCCCAAACGTCAGTGTCTCGATCCCCCGTAAACTCCACACAACAAATGTCCAATCCATCCATGGAGGACCCAGACATGCATCCTATCCCCACATAACTAGCCATGATTTCACTCGTTATCTTCACACATCGTATGTTTAAACAAGCTTATCTTTTAAAAAAGATAGGTGAGCTAGCGCTGTAGCTATCATAAACCACAGAATTAGATATCTGAATTATTGGATTAATTTGCTGAATCGATTAAGGGGACGACCATTTGATTCTGAGGAGGGGGGGGGGGTCTGGCAAAATCTTTCGAATCAGATTATTTATTTTCATGCCAGTCAAGGACAGATTATTTATTTTCTTCTTCACTGAAAAAGTTAGACAAAAACAAAGTTCAAAGAGGGACCGGGGGGGGGGGGGGGGGGGTTAAGTAGCAATAGTCAATGACAGATTATTTATTTTCTTGCCGGTCGTGGAAAGACAGTTATTTATTTTCAACTTTTTTGAGGACATTATTTATTTCCAAAATCTGCCAGCCCCCCCCCCCCCCCTTCAGAATCAACTGGTCGTCCCTTATTATTAATAGGAATACACAGTGGTACACCGGAGGTAGTGTTGGGGGGATGTGTCTTAATTCAGAATGGCGAATGTATCAGCTATTCAGTGTTTAATACAGAATATTCATCAGACTATTATAAAAAAACATATCCGAGGTTGTTATTCCGAGCTTGCCGGAAAGATCCAGGAAGATAGTTAAAAAATAGCTATTTTTTTAAATTATGAATTTAGAAATTATAACTGATCTGTACAGTTTTGACATTTACTGTTACCTTTTGTACATTTATTTAAGGTTAGGCAACAAAACGCGAAACTTCAGATCACATGTATTTTTTTCAGATTAAAAAACGAAATTGACATGGTACAGTTTATCTACAGTAGTATTCACAGAATGCCCTACCACGAAGTTGAGCATACGTATTCCAGTAAAAAAGACTAACGTAGTTGCTAGCGCTCGAGAGCGCTAGCAATAACAATCGGATCATTACTCAGGCTTTTCCGTCAAAAAAGGAAAAATGAAAAATTAAAGAATAACAATTATATCAGTGCTACTGCATTGTATCAATCGCTTCTCGTGTCTTTCCGACAAACTCTGAAAGATTTCCTGGGGGGTGGGGGGTGGGGGGTCTGAGCTTGCCGGAATCATGTAGTATACATGGTTAGCTTTAAGGAAAGCTAGGTTTTACCAGTTGATCTCTACAATCTTGGCATTATATGACCCAAATTTTCTTGTACTTTTAGTCTTAGGTTAGACAATAAATTAAGAAATCCAGAATTCGTATCATATCAATTTTTTATGATAAAACGAAATTATCATCGTACAGTCTATCTTCAGTAGTTTTCCCAGAATGCCCGACCGTGAAGTCGAGCATGCGTATTCCAGAAATATAGACTAACGTAGTTGCTAGCGCTCGAGAGCGCTAGCAATTAGGTCAAGTTACGAGACACCGCGGGACGTCATGCATAGCGGACTAAATATTATTTTTTAACAGCTGATCAATAAATTGATAAACAGATGATAATCACTACAGAAAAATGTAAGACAGAAAGCATATACTCAGTATATACATGTATCACATATTTATATATCAGAAGCTGATAAGTCCGGCCTTGAACATATTATCATCAGCTAGAGTACATCGTGTTTGACAGGTAATAAAAGTAAAAAGTGCTGAGAAAAACAACTATATGCATTCTTTTTCAACATCTTTATACCAATATACATGGTTTTACGGGAACAGTTGAAAATAATCTTTTTATAAAGTGCAAAAGACTTGCGAGCAATATACATTCAAATGCATTTAAAACTTCTAATGACGATTTCTTACACAACCTCCACATATCGACCTATCGAACATTCGTTGTTTGAATCATGAGATCATTATCTATACGTAATCAATAATCTGGTAAGAACGACGTGCAGTTCTGCACTTTTGAGATGTCACTTGTTCTTTAACTTCTGACAAATGATTCAGACAATCTCTAGAATTTAACTTTCGTTTGACTAATGTTTCAGACAACATCGATCTTTAGAGAATTATTTTCTTTTACGTAAAATAAAAATATGGATAAAACTCTTTCCCTCTCTCTCTCCCTTTACATATCTATATACCCCCCCCCCCCCCCAATGGATATAATTAAAACAGTGAACAAACATTTGTGCATCTGATATACTTGATAAATACATTCTCTCTCTCTCTCTCTCTCAAGGATTTTTTTTTATGCTGATTTGATTTCTACCATGGAAAACCTCTTTAAAGACAAAATTAAATGATCGACTTTTTCTTTCGAAAATACGTAAGGCAATAATCGTTAGATGTGGATACCGGGAGGTGTATACTGCCCGACACAGAGTCCGATTCCCCACCCGTCACCTCCTTAAACACGTTAGGTTCACCAAATATACACTTCAGTCCCAAAAAGGCAAATATCAAGGCGTCCTTGAAACAGACTGTGTCTTTATCCGATGACACCAGGTGGGTGCCGAGTTTTTCTAACTTCCTTCTGAACACATCTACCAGTGTTTTGTTGAAGGCCCCACCCCCAGTCAGTAAGACGGTCATCTTTTTGGCCGACGTTTGTTTGTCCGGAATAGATTGGACTTCTTGACAAGCCTCCACAAGTTTACAAGCCACATGCTCCACAAATGTTCTCATCAAATCTGGAATTTTGTACGACGTCGTCTAAAAAGAGAAGGTCATAAAATCGTATTTAACTGAAAGGTGAAAACTATTACGTTCAGTAATTGCTCGATTTTTTTTTAAAAAGAAGTATAAAAATCGTCTTGTAAAGTCGGTGAATCATCCACGGCCTTCACTGAGAAGATCGACATCTCTGATGTATGTCAGTGAATAAGGAACTGAGAATACAGTACTGTACTTACATCTAAAATAGGCAGAATGTTTTTATCTATCCATTTCGCACTGAGTGACTTGGGAGGAGGTTTTCTGTAAAAAGGCAGTAAATCTAGTTTTTCTAACACATTTTTCAGCACACGACCTTGCCTTGCAATTCTCCCATCTGGGTCATAGTTCAAGGACACATCGTGGTTGGATGCTAATTTGTTCAACACATAGTTGCACGCTGAAATATCATAACCTTTACTGCCATGTAGGCCAATGTTTGCAATTCCACCAAGATTTATACAGATATCATAGGCCTGGAAAAGATATTTCTCTCCACATGGTACAAAAGGCGCCCCCTGACCGCCAAATGCCACGTCCTTGCTCCTGAAGTTGCAGACAAACGGGCAATCTAAGTACCGAGACACTGTTTCCCCGACTCCTAGCTGAAATGTGTAATTCTGTGCCGGATTGTGAAAAATTGTATGTCCATGACAGGAGACGAACTCCACATCAATATCATTTTCTTCTATAAATTTTTTGATTATTTTCCCTATAAGATGTCCATATTCAACATGAAGTCGTATCAATGCCTCGCCACTCACGTCTCGCGCACCGGCTAGTCGTGAAGTCCATTCCCGGTCATACGGTAGAGTGTCAGCTTTAACGATGCGGTAACCCCAAACATCCGTGTCTCGATCTCCAGTAAATTCCACACAGCAAAGGTCTAATCCGTCCAGGGATGACCCAGACTTGCAACCGACCCCAACATAACTAGCCATGCTAATTCATATACCACTACACACTGCTTTTTTAAAATTAACTGGGTTACCAGACTGGTTAGTAAACCTACTAGAAATATCGCGCAGCTTGTTTAGTGTGACATAACACGTCCAAAAATGGAAGAAATAGGAGTAACATCGTGTGTATTATAAAAGAGGTGCATTTCTAAAATTAAAAATATACAATTTGGGGTGATATATATATATATATATATATATATATATATATATATATATATATATATATATATATATATATACAACTTTATTAACCTGTGCATACACAAAGAATGTAGGTCAATATACAGGTTATATCACTTTATGTTTAAACAAGAGCTCCATGGGCCACATCGCTCACCCGTGTACTTTGGCTAGGGAAAAGCAGAATCAGATTTGAACACACTTGAATCCTCACTACCTGAGGATGCTTCTGAATTACATTTGTAATATGACTAATCATGGCCTTGCTGTTCTTGAGAAGAAGCTAGATTTTTAAAGATTTTCCCTATGTATTCCTATGTAAAACTTTGATCCCCCATTGTGGCCCCACCCTACCCCTGATTTGAATTAATTCTAATCTACACTACCTATAGATGTATCCGAAAGGGCTCTGGGACCACTTTTTGGGAATGGAGCCGTAAAGATTGGGAAAATAGTGACCTTTTGAGAAAATTTGGGATAACCATTATACTTTAAAATCATAATCTTTGTTATCAACTAAATTTTTGTTTTACAAGAGGAATATGTGTTGCAAGTTTAGTTATTATACATCCAACTATATTTTCTTTAATATTTGGGAGAAATTACTATCGGGAAAATTAACACATTCAATTAAGAAAAAAAGGTACCTTCTAAAAATATGGAATAGGGCCCTAGAATGGCCCAGCTAGTGGGCAATTATAGACAACCGACAGACCTGATTCCATATAAATATGACTAATCATGGCTGTACTGTTCTTGAGAAGATTTTTAAACAATCTTTCCCTATATATTCCTATGTATAAAACTTTGATCCCCATTGTGGTCTCACTTTACACCCAGGGGGCATGATTTGAACAAATTTCATCTACACTACCTGAGGATGCTTCCATATAAATATGATTTAATATGGCTTTGCTGTTCTTGGTAAGATGATTTAGAAGATTTTTTTTTATATTCCTATGTAAAACTTTAACCCCCCCCATTGTGGCCCTCCCTACCCCCGGGGGTCATGATTTGAACAAATCTGAATCTACACTGTGTAAAGAAGGTTTCACATAAATTCAACTTTTTTGGCCTAGTGGTTCTTGAGAGGAAGATTCTTAAAAGATAAAATCAAATTTTCACTATTTCTTAATTACACAAATCTCCCCTTGAAAGAGGGTGTGGCCCTTTATTTGAACAAACTTGAATCCCCTTCACCCAAGGATGGTGAAGCTTTGTGGCAAGTTTGGTTGAAATTGACCCAGAGGTTCTGGAGAAAAAGTCAAAAATGTGAAGTTTACAGACGGACGACAGACAAAATGTGATCAGAGAAGCTCGCTTGAGCTTTGAGTTCAGATGAGCTAAAAAGTCCTGAATATTCATGACGCATGTTGTTACATAACATCATTCAATGGTTGTGTATCAAAGAATCAATGTATTTGGTCAGCAGAGAATTCTTGTGTAATAAAAATGTAAAATTTTATTTTGAACGGACATTCACAATTCATCTGTATTACTCAAGTTGCTCGGTAGTTTAAGGAAACTAAAAAGCACAGTTGCATTCATGAATCTTTCGCTATTAATACATCAACTTTAATTTATACTGAAGGAAATAGCAATAATAAGCACAACTCTGTTATATTTGTACCCAGAGCAATTACTGACTTGTCTACAAATGTCTGGGACTTTAGGCTGTAACTTTATTACACTGGGGGCTCTTGCAAGAAATATTGCCACCTTGAAACTAGCATTTCAATGTGTGACTTGGTCATTTCAACAAGTATTTGAGCAAATTCATTATAGGAAATACATGCCATTCCTTTGGGGCTACAAATTAGAGAATAGCTCACAATACATAGGGCTAAGGCATGGTCATAAACCTAACTCAAGGTAACTGTGAGCAGATGAGGTCATAAAATGTGTATATGGGTGAATTCAAAAAAAATGACCAAACACATATTTATCAACCCACACTAAAAATACAGGCAATAAAAATAGATTTCTATGTCTCAGCATATGTCTTTAGATAGTGTCTAAATACCTGCCAAATATCTCGTTGATATCTCAATTAACAAAAAAGTCATGCCCAAAAATGATGCTAAAATTGTCAGGAGTGCAACACCTTTTTGTGACATTTTGAAATTTCAATATTTTTTGGAGATCTGTGAAATAAAAAACAATGCTTCATGTTGAAAATAAAGACTTTCCTGATAATATTCAAAGTATTGAGCTTTAAATGTAGACTGTCATAACTTTTGTTTAATCAAGTTGTGGTCATGACTGATGTTTAAAAAAATGTTATACCATGTCAGGAGTGCAACAGAAAAAATGTAGTGTTGCCAAAAAAACATCAATTGTAAAATTCTGATAGAAAATTAAGACAAAAAAGAATTTTGGAAGTGTAAAATAATAACTGATATACATTTTAAAACTTAAAAATGTTATATAAATCACAAGCAGCATTAATGAGAGTCAAGTATATGTGCATACCCAAAAATGTCAGGAGTGCAACATTTGATGTTTTGCTCCCAAGCATGAAAAAACTATTATCATTATATGATTTTCTGATTTTTATTTTGGAAAATAAAGACACAAAGAACATTTTTACCAAATAGATTTATCAATTACAGGATCTGTCTGTGCTTCAGATCTATATTTCTATGGTCAGGAGTGCAACACATTTTTTTAAAGATTCAAGTTGTGTGTCGAAAAGACTTCTATTCATGCTTAGAGGTATCCATTAATTAATAATGATCTTTTTGTATAATTTAATGCTAAATTATTGATAGTTTTGTTATTAAAATCCTTCCTTTTTCAATTTTATCAATTCAGATGTGTTTTTATCTTTTTGTGATTTTTTTAATGAACGTTAAAAATAAACACACTAAAACATTGTCGTTAAATTCAAGTAATTCCTCCTCAACTTCACTGAAACAACAGAACAATTTCTTATGTAATTTTCACTTCACAATTCTACTTTAAAGGCCCCAATGCTTTTGGTCAGGAGTGCAACAAATATGTTAGAATTATAAATCATCCACTAAGAATAAAAATAAAGAAAAAATGATGAGTACAATTTTTCTGGTGGGTTACTGTGTTTGTCCCCTTAAGGAAAGTATGCTTTAAAATATATTTTATCTTCTAAATATACATTTAAGCTAGTTTTTTGGCATAAAATAGGGTATAATTCCAGATAAAATGCGAATTTTAAATACTTTCATCTGTTTTAATTATGAAGTATTGGACTATAAGTATTGCACAATTTCATTACCACTTGATGTTGCCAACACTTTATGAATTTTTGTGTTCTATGGTTTTAATTTTAAACTTTACTGCAGTCAGGAGTGCAACAAAACTGCTTCATAATTACCGATGCCTTTTAACTATCTTTACTAAAAAATAAGTTGAAAAAAATGCTTGATACTATTTGATGTTCAAAACACTATGTCTATCAACAAATTACAGAAATTTTACAGTCAATTCAGGGAATAGTTTTCATCATTTCACATATATTTTAAATAAAATTTATATATATTACACTTTGCAAATAATCATGTTTTAAGGTCTTCAAAATATGAAAAACCTTCTGTAAACGATGAAAAATATCAACACGACAAATTGATTTACAAAGTAAGAGTGGGTTATTGTGTTTTATAATTTTTAAAACAATGTTAAATAAAATACATATCAGATGTCAGGAGTGCAACACAATAATGCAACATAGGGTCACTTCAAAATCTAGTACTTTTTGTAAGAGAACTCATATATAACAATTCTTTTTTGGCTTAGATTTAAAGAATTGACTTGAACGGACAAAAAAGTGAATTTTGGGGAATTTTATTGCTTCATATTTTTTTCATATTAAAACTTTTCAAACCAGAATTGAAAAAATAATGTAAAATAACAATCAAAAAGCCAATTTTTTGTCACATGTACAAGAGAAGATACTCATTCAAGGTCTAGATTTAATCATTTATACCCCTTTTACCATTTTGAAGCATAATTAAATATAATTTCTTGTAATTATGTATTTTAGAAAGTCTTTTAAGGTGTAATGATATTTTATTTTTTCAAAAGAAATTTTACTCATAAAAATTCTGAAACTATTTAATCCAATTGTCTATTCTATTGCCACTTCAGGATTTTAAACTAGAATGCATTTGCAATATGATGATATAAGTGAAAAATATGTTATAAGTAGTTGAATTTTGCCAAAAAAATTCAGTTTGGTGGTCATTTTTTTTTTAATTCACCCACATAGGAGAAAAACATGGAGCTTCTAAGATCAGTGGGTTATGCAGTGTTTGAAATAACCGTGCGCCCGACCGTCCGAGACGCACAAATTTTGCCGCGGACAACAGATTTGCACGTATCAACGCCCGGCTGGACGTGTTAAAATTTGCCATGAATTAAAATTCATATATTTGATAAATATCTCTCAAATCAACTGATAGTATCGGTAGCTAAGTGTAACAAGCAAAGGGGTAGAATTCTACAGCCTGTAGATTCGGGATGGAAGTATGGTGATCGTGCACCATTCACCTGTTCACATTATCGCTAAAACATTAATAAAAGACTTTTATTTTCTCGGGCTAGTCGAGTTTTGGCTGGGCTGACAACTTTCACTAGCAGTCAGCCCTGTATGTCTATCTAATTCTATCGTGAGTTTCAAACACTGGGGTTATGCAATGGATGTCTGAGGAAAAGAACTCAAACTCGAAAAAGAATACTCAAATGAACATTACACTAATTAATGCTTGTTTATTGTGAAAAAGTACGCATTTAATGTCGATAAAAACATCCATGACTTTTATTTCAAGGACTGTTTAGCAGAGTACCATTCCTCTATAAAACCCTGTGATGGTACGGCCACAATAGAGGGTAATTTTACATTGAAATATATAAGAAAAATCTTTAAAAATCTTCTACTCAAGAACCAATGGGCCAGAAAAGTTGAAACTTATGTAAAAGCTTCATTATAATGTGTAGATTCAATTTTGTTCACATCATGACCCCCAAGGGTAGGGTGAGACAATAGGTGATCAAATTTTTACATAGGAATATTCATGAAAAAATCTTTCAAAATCTTCTTCTCAAGACCACTAGACCAGGCTCTGGGGCCATAAAACTTAGACGAGCTCACTTTTGATCTCAATCTCACTTTTACTAAAGGAATGTATAAGGGAAAAGTGAGACTGAGATCAAAAGTGAGATCATCTAAGTTTTATGGCCCGGAGCCAGAAGAGTTGATACATATGTGAAAGTTTCATAACATACTGACATAGTGTACATTTAAGTTTGTTCAAATCATGACCCCAGGGGTAGGGAAGGGCCACAATAGGCAATCAAAGTTTTCATAGGAATATATACAACAATATTTTAAAAACTTTTCAGGAACAGCAAGCTCTTGATTTATATGGAAGTATCCTCAGGTAGTGTGGATTCAAGTTTGTTGTAAGTCAAAGTTCCTCTGTATAGGGTGGGGCCACAAAAGGCAATCAAATTTTTACATAAAAATATACAGGAAAATTCTTTAAAAATCTTGAGAACAGCAAGCAATGATTAGTCATATTTATATGGAAACATTGTCAGATATTGTAATGCCACATCAAGCAGTACATATTGCCGTGGGCAACAATATCAAAAAGACAGCAATATGTACTGTGACAAATTGCACTACATAAAATATAGCATATGAGACATGTCAGTGTGATTTACACACCAATTACCGGTACATTCACAAAACTGCTAAAAATGTCTTTAAGGAACAATATCTGTGGGGTGACAATATGTGCAGTGAAGGTAGGGTACATAATGTTGCCAGCAACAATATGTACATGTGTAACTTTTCAGCCAGTGACAATGTACCTATGGACGACAATATGTACAGTGAGAGTAGGTACATATTGTCGCCAACGACAATATGTACAGAACGACATATGTACTGTCAGCCCCCCCCCCAAAAAAAAGGCAAAAACAAATTATGTTATGGCAGTTTAGTTTGTGCAAAGGTACAACAGGAAAACAATTAGAGTACTTGAAAATTTAATTTGTAACATCAGGAAGAGAAACATTCCTTTAACAAAAACATACAGGAACTTAACATTAATAAATTAGGAACTCAAACATCAATGATAAATAGGGTTCAATTTAGATTCAAAAATTATACTTCATTGTATGTAGGACACTGAGTAAAACAAAAAGCTTGTAATTTATGTATGTAGAGTAAATATCATTCACAGCAGCAAATCTTTATCATAGATTCTTGATTCTTTCCATTAAAAAAAAAAAAGGATTTCAGTATGCATGTACAACTTCAAGAGTATTTAAATAATAAAAATAAATTAAAACATTCAATAATATCAAGATTCAGATGTAAATTCTTCCAGGTTACACTAACAAATTCTTCCAACATTTAAAAATCTTGTACATTCTGATTCTTATACTAGTATAAAACCCAGTTGGAAATGCATATCTATTTCCTAAGCATCACGGTAAAAAGTGGTATTGTGGCTGACTATGGTGTTTATACAGCTAACTTCATCCCCTGATGATCCGTATTTAAATCACTTCCTTAATAAATATTTATATATAGATAATAATCGATGTTCCTAACCACATGTTTAATATCAATGGCTTGATCATGACATAACTATATATAATTTATATCAATGTTTAATATATTTGTTTAAATTCAACTTCTTTTATAAATATTCACATCATATCTAGACAGTAAAACATTCTCTGATAGCATGATGTGCCATGAAAATATACTGTTAAACATAATAAACCATTCATAAAATAATAACAGATAAACAATATAAAATGGATTTAAATAAAACGGTACACAAGAGAGAAAAAATCAAAACAAATAAAAAGTACCCCTCAAAAAGGATTGGTGGTTGACTAATCAATGTAAAATGCACACATGAAAAACCATTTGTAAGACTTAGGTTAATACTGCACAGGGATAACAGAATACCTTATATATCAGTGTCTAATGGTTGCGTAGCTTGAAATCTCCTGTTTTGCATAACTTAAATATATCACAATAAAATACATTAACACTAAACACAGAAAATGTATTTGGGAAAAAAAAATTATAACATAGGTAGTTGGTTTTTTAAAAGAAAAATAAAAAGTAAAAAAAAAAAAAAAAAAAAAAAACATCAAAGAATATATAATATCTATAACAAAACATTTAACATTTGGTGATCTGAAATATTAAACAAAACTAAGGTGTTAAAAAATCTTCAGATGACAGATCCAAGCTTGATGATCTCAAACATGGAATGCTCCATTTAACAGTGCAGTTCATAGAATATGCAATCAAAAACAAGACAAAATCACTGTACCTCAGAAGATTGTGATATGATAGATACTATGAACTCTTACTTTCCTGTAGCTGTAACAGCTAACCTATGCTGCTGATATGTTTTATTTTATCACTTCTTCTATGTACTGAATAAAATAAGATATATTATTTGCCAATGCATTTCTATTAAGCTGAACAATTATTTCCCTTTTTTGGCCCTGTGGCAATTTTCTTCACGGATTTCTTAGAATAACTTTTTTTCTCCACGGATTTCGTAGAATAAAGTTTTAGTGATGGCTACACATTCTGCTTCCTAATACATGCACGTTTTAAACTAACAGCCAAAAGCTATAAAACATGACAAAATGAACATCTTTCATCATGTTTGTGAATTTGAAATGTGATAGTAATTTTTGTCCCTTTAACAGGACATAGTAGTCATAGAGGATTCTTTATCCTCTGTGTAAATCCTGCCTGATAATAAACTATATGCTGTCACCGTCCATTTTGTTTTTGGTTCTGTAGATTATAATTCTCTATTTCTGCATTAGCTTCCTCTTCTTCCAATGCCAATATCTGGTCGTAACTCATCTGCTCACAGCTCCCACCTCTCCGTATCTTAATTAGGGCGCAGATCTTCTCCCAGTGTCTTCGATTGTCTACGACAGTGTCCCTCACAATCTCTGAGGCAGGAAACAAATCGGCCAACAGCCTAAATAGTGAAAAATTCGCTTTTTGTAACCAAGGGTTCTGACATGTTGAATATTATAATTCACCAAGTGATTTTACCTTAGGTAACTCTGTGAATACTAAATTCTGTCACGTGACTTGTAAGATAGCATGTTTTGTGCTAACTAGGACATCATGTTCAAGCAGATTAAATTGATTTAAAATCTTTTTCACTTACATGGACATGCTCATATTGTCAATTTCATTTTGAAACCTTTGTAAATAGTGTACTGGTGCCATACAGAATAAAGAGGGATATGAGTGATCACAATTTTTTTTTCAAACATGACATGTCATTGTTATTTATTTAGTATGCTAATTTTAGACCCATACTTATAATGTTAGCTCCACCTCTAATGCATACCTATGTTCAATCAAGGGCAGGTAAGTAAAAATTATATTTGGAAAGCAGTAAGGACAAACAACAGAATTATTTAATTATATCACAGTCTAAAATCATTTTAAGATTCAAATTTGGTGCCAAATTGACAAATTCTTTCATATAAATATACAAAAGTGAAATTAGTTTAAGATATAATACCAACATTGGAAATATGATGTAATCATAACTTTGTATATGATATCATTTTTTACTGACTTGTACACAGGGAGAGCTATGTGATCCAAGAAGCCAATCTGAAGATCTGGAATTCTGGCTCGTTCTCTATCCATCATTTCTGCTGGCTTCTGGCCAAGAGACTTCTCCATATCTCCCTGGGAGAAAAACTCCCTGTAGATCAAAGCCTGTGATGGGTAAAATATTTTAAAACAATTAGGACAGTGACATAATGGCATAAGCTGTTTGTACTTATTTCAATCATCTTTAAAATGCTTCTCAACTAGGAAGTGAAACTTAAAATCTGAATAAAAAACACTCTTGTGACCCCTAGCTTTTTTAAAAACATTTTTATTCTGGACTGCTTCATCTCTAACATTTTCAGAGCAATATGACTTCAGTCTAAACTGTTTCATGATCCTGGGACCAAGTATGCTCATCAAAATAAAAACTATTTCTTGAAAACTCATCTTCCTTTTTAATAATGTAAAATGTTTACAGACAGCACATGAAAAATAACAGAAAAAAAGATTCTAGACATTTTTGGTCAGTAAAGCTCACTTGAGCCTCTGTTTATGAGAGCTAAAATCTCTTAACTTACTGCTACATGTTTAGTATTGTCCCATGGCTTGGTTTGGTCAGACAAATCAGATGCAGTCATAAGTAAACATAGCAGCAAAGAGTGATGCCTCTCATTCTTATTATCATAGCCAACTACAATGAAAAAGAAAGTTACATCAATCAATATACCAAGATTTCCCTCCCTCACTTCCATCCAATACTGCTTCAAAAATCCAACAAAATTGGAGATTAAATCTTTCTATCCTCAAGGTCACTAGACAAAGCCAATTTGCTGAGACCATTCATGATTTTTGGGTGGAAAAAGAGAGAGATTATTATAATTCCCCATCTCTTTGAGACCATTCATAATTTTTAGATGGAGGCAAATTTTCACTGGTCTTTAGTGCATTTTTCATTAATATACATAACAAATTTCAAACAGACTTTTACCCAAATAAACAAAATATGTGTTTTTTTTAATTTATGTGTGGTATTGCCTTATGGTGCACGGATGATAACGCCAAAGTGTTTAAAGCAACATCAAATTTCATCTTTGCTAAAAAGCCTACTTCAATTCGGGAATTTCACAATTGAGTTCCCCTTCATTCCTCTATAAACGGTTAAGGGACCGACAAATCTCACACACACACACACAGGGCTCTCTGAAGATTTATTATTAAGTTATGGACATGTGAGTACTCTCACTATCATTGAACTAAATAGGAAATCTTTTGACAGTCTGCAGTGTAAGCTTTTTTTCTCTAGTGCCAGTAGCTTTTTGTCTGTATGTTTTGTTTTACCTGGGGCCTTGATCAAAAAGCTTCCACTAGAAAAGAAACCTCTCACTTCACTTGTATACTAAGGATCTAGTGATATTTTATATCTTTATAATTATTTTTTTTTTTCATCTGTAATCATTTTAGGTCTCTTAACTAAGGCATCATTACTACATCTGCATCAAACTGAACTGCTCTCAGGTGCACCATAATTCTCATCTAACACTGCAATTTTTTGTGTGTTGTTCTCGTTTCAAATGCTCAGGAAACTGTCAAAAATTTAGCAAATGCCTTGAACTTTTCCAAATGAAGACACAAGAGATAGTGAATTAAAAATATGATAATTTTTACCCCAGCCTTATTTATTTGATACATTTATTTCGAAAGTGACAAGGGGGGGGGGGGGGGGATAAAAACGCTTTGTCCACGATTTTATCAGACAACCCTCCTCTATTTACCTTTAGCCATGTCTTTGAGACTGTTCATGATCTTTAAATGGTGGGAGAGGTCTGTAGCCAGAATGATGTCCCTGACAAGATCTAACACTGATGTGTAATCCTTGCTACTCAGGTTCTCAAATATATTACAACCCTCTGTATTCACTATACACATAGTCTGTGCAAAATGGTGTCTCTGAAAAATCATTTAACAGATTTATCAATTTTAGGTTCTGTGATAGCTAATACTTCAAATCAACCCCAATAGCTGAAGAGATCTACATAATGAGACAGAATTCTTATTGAGCCATGTTTTAACTGATTCTTTAATCAATCCAAAGAAAACTTTTCTACCTCCATTACAGATCCTTCGGAGCTATACAGGGCAGCTAGCACAGATTTCTAAAATGAATAAATATATTTCATGAAACAATACAACCATATAATTTATACATAAAACACATTCTAGATTTGGATAATTAAATGGAGAATATAGTTCTGAAAGAGAACTATTTAAAACTATTTTATATATATTCAACTAAGTATAAACAGTTTTCATCATCAGAACTTTCTCTAATAAACACAAATATGTGTAATACATATAATATTCATTGTTTTACATCCTTTAGTTTCTGTAATTACAAGCAACAATGTTATCAACACTTCAGAATACAAATTTAACGTCAAAACAGATTTTTTTTTTTACACAAAAATAACATTTACCACAATACATGAAACTGCTTTCTCAACAATTTTCAATTAAAAGACATTAAACTAATCCATTTCCTTAATGTCAATTTTAAGGAATCAAACTTCAACATCAATGTACATCACTCAATTGTAATGGAACATAAATATATATTACTGTAACAGTAACTTGACCCTAAGAGCCATATCACGTCGAGTTGACAAGCAAGGCTCAAGATCAAACGAGACAGGGAGTTTGATCTAATGACCCACTCCTGTCAAGGAGACGTGATGCAGCTCCTTAGATTAAGTTGCTGTTATAAAGATAAATTTATTATATACCACTATATTATTAGCTAAATATAATAAACTTTTGGGACCAATTATACAATCTTTATCTATTTAACAACAAACTTTTTCAAGAAATATTTTTGATATGCAAGAAAATAACACCCTGTAAATTTTGTACAGGTACGTCATCAGTTTCAGCGAGAGGTGATACAGATTCAGAAAACCCGTGTGGTGATCCAGAGAATCACACCGTCACATGATTGTATCAAATCAACAGTAAAATTGAGTGATACACAGTTGGGTATATAATAAATATACTTAACACATACATGTGTTTACCCCTTTATCCAGTGGATATCACTCATTGGATATTTTTTCATATCCCACACTTTGTACTCCAATGCCTTGCAATATCACATAAACAAATACACACGTGTGCATTTGGAAACATGGAATATCAAGGTAAAACTCCAAATAATATAATAAATCAAATCTTTAAAAAATTTAACTTCATATAAAAAATCATCTTTTTTTTCTTTATTTCATTATGAACTATTTTTTGTGACAAGAAAGGGATAAACCTTAAAAATAAATAAAAGATAAAGATATGTAATAATAAGAACCTCCAATGATTTGTGATTGGATTTGATTTTTATCCAAAGAGTTGTGTGTTTTCTATCCCTTGCCAAAGGCTCTGAAGTAGAAAACACACAACTTACTGGATAAAAATCATATCCAATCACAAACCATAGGAAAATGCTATATACATAAAACTCCGAATAGCAGGCTATATACAAAGAGCATTGCATGGAAACCTTTTAGTTAGATTACCTGGCATACTAAGATGTGACCTATGACATTTACATACATATACATGCTTTAACTGAGACACCATTTCAATACTTCCTCAATACAGTGTTACTTACTGAAGCGACCTGATACTGATTATTTGTACCCCGATGATCCAAATCATGACACAAGCAAGACACAAATAATGCTAACAGCTCTATATCACTGAAAGAGGTAAAACAATTTATTACAACACACATCTCATTCCACAGTCTACCAACAGCAAATCATATGGTCATGTGACTTTAGAAAATCATGCTTCTTTTTCCCATTGGCCTAAAATTGAAATATCTCAGAAGCTTAGAACATTTAAGTTTAAACTTCTATAAATATATATACATACATGACACATATGATTTGCCTTTTTTTGATGGTCCATGCCCGGTTGGATGGTATTACTTACGGATGACATTTGGTACTGATTATTTGTACCTCTGTGGTCTAAATCATGTCCAAGACTGGACACAAATAGAGCTAGCAATTCCATATCACTGAAAGATCAACTCTTCAACACTAAACATGTAGGAATTATTTTATAACTTCAAGGCTTTTCTCTTCAAAATTCAATATGGTACATTCAATAATATTTAACATTTTTTCTCCACAAACAAAGTTAATAGAAAGCTTTTAATCAACAGAACATAATTGATACTTATCTAGAATTTTGTCATAAAATTTAAATTATTTTCTGATATGAGTACATATAAGTCCCATGAGCCTTGGGTTTCCAGATAACAAAAAGTTCAAAATTTTCATTGCCTCAATATAAAATAAGCATGAAATATTCAGTGGTTAAGAGAGTATTCATTCTCTATAAGTTTCTCAAACCAGATCTATAACAGATATGCAACAGTTACTTACTCTAGACTCTGTTGAAGACTCAAGTTCTTGACACAGAGGTAACAGAAATGTGCGACAGCAAAGGCATGGGTCCAGTTGTGATATGGAGGATTCCTATAGCCTTTCTTCACCATCAACACAAATCTGAATAACATATTAAAAACAAATGTCATGTCTATTACAACGGAATTAGATAAAGGGTTTCACTTTCTTTGCCTTAACATAAATCTAAATGAGGGGTCCTGGACTCAAGCAGTCAATGCTTTACTCTAGCATTTGGAAATTCACTTTTCATGATACAACACAATACAGAGACTTTTACCGAACTAGAGTATCTTTTCTTATTCTCCATCGAGAATTAAAGCCAAGATCTTCAAACATGGCCAAAACACACTGCAAAGAAAAAAAAGTTATTTAAAACTAGGAACAGGAAGTTTTTTAATGCACCTTAAATTGAAATAATAAACACAGAACTAACCAGTGGTGTGTCAGGGTCCGGTATCTCCCTGGGAGGAAAGGGGAATTTATCAAATTCCTCTCCCCACAAAGTGACAGAGGGGATATCTCTATGGAGCAGCTTTTCTACATCATCTGGAGAAATCTGAAATATAAAGTTTGTCATTCCTTCATTACAAGATAAAAGTGTTTTCTCTCCTGTCACATGAAAATAAAGTTGACCAACTTTTTTTAAAACAATTTTATGAACATTATTTTGTCTTTGTAATTAATAATCTTAAATAGCATGAAAAGTGTGACACTCTCTGTGATGTACATGTATGTAACATGTAGAGTCAATAGAAATGGTGACATCAGAATTCATCAGATGTTAGCGTCATTATTCTAAATAGAGAATGAGAAAGTTGCCTTTAATTTTCTTGCAAGAAAATAACTTTTAATACTGGATACACAGAAAAATATGAATACATGTACTTAAGAGTATATTATATATATATGTATAATCTGTATAGAACATCTGCTTTAGTAATAGGTTCAAGCTTTTGTCTTTATTAGGTATTAAAGAAAGAAACTAGATGTGTATTAACTTTGTTTGCACTTTCAGCACTTCAAACATATATCTAAAAAAAACTTTGCATTAATGCAGCACCATTTTAAAACATTAATGGTGTTCCAGGGGATATGTGTCACCCGTAGAAGGAACATTAAGGACATACTGATAACTAAACAGGGGTAGGTCAACAAGTCAGGACATACTGATAACTACACAGGGGTAGGTCAACAAGTCACCTGAAGATGTACAATTCTTATTTATCTCCTGTCCTTTAAAATAAACATAACAAATACATATATATCAAAGTATGTTACAGAAATATGAAAGCATGGTAACTTTTATGTTACTTTAAAAACTGTCAATTTTAAAGGTCATTTTGAGTAGTTAACCGTTATATAATCATAGAGGGAACTGTCGTATGGGATAAGTATGCTAATCATCTACATGTATATGCTTGCATAATTATCAATTTGACCAATTGTGGCCCTGCTTTTTTTTTTCCCAACGAGTTTAAGTGTGTTTTCCTATATATTCCATGTAAAACATAGACCCCATGAAGCTGATTCTTGCACCAAGGGATCTGATTTAAACAAATATGCATACTCTTTATGGGATCGCTTAACTACGAGAGCCATTCAAATATTATGCAGACTTGTTGCATAGAATAAATATTTGGCAACATAATCAAGCAAAAAGTAACGCATAATTTAAAAGAATCTTTACTTATATGGTTATCAAAATTTTGTATTAAAATATTGTAAATTGATATCAATTTTGGGTGATTGAACATGACATCATAAAGTCATGGTGCAGTAAAATCTTCGACGTCACAGGCATTATAAAAAATTATAAATGATGTGAGCTTTCGTTTTCTCCACATTTTTCCTTATTATTTGAGATACTATACAGTTTGGGTTACATTGACCACTCAGCATAAACATTCATATACCATTTCTGGTCCAGCTTGAAAACTTAAAAATAGTCAAATATGTACTAGTCTGTTCTAAACCCCAAAACTGCAGATACATGTATTTCTGAAACATTGTGTGACTTCAGTCGCTCAATCGTATTCTTAACTTTCCAGATCAAGTTTTTCTTGATGATCTTCTTCCTTCCCCTGCCAGATTGTCTTTTACTGAGGTCTAACTGTCAAAAATTTTCTTCTGCTATTTGTAGACAGATGTCGGGAATACCACTGGTTTACATGTTTCATCCAGCATATTTTGTTGGCTTTTCCCCTGAGCATTACACTTTAAAATTTGATAAAAGTGCAATTCTCTGTCAAATCATAAAACATCATTTTTGCAGTTGTTTTCATTAGGGATCACATCAGAGAAAATCAATATTTCTGTTAGAACTTCAAATATTACGTAAGAAATCTAAATACATATTAATTAATATAACAATAAAAAAAGAAACAAGTTAAAATTGTCTAATGTTATCCTGAATTATAGAAAATAGATGTGTAAAATTTTGGTTTGTGTTTCAAAATTATTGCCATGCTCAGTACATCACTATCAGCAATATCAAATAGCAACAATTAATCAAAATCAAAAAAATTTAATTCAAAATTTAATGGAATCTTGAAAAAACGTTTTTGTAAAATTTCAATATTTCACGTCTGAAAGAGTGAATAATAGTAGAGTCCGCATATTTTTTGAACAGCCCTCGTATTGCTTTCACAAGTAATGGACCTGTTTCTGAAAAAAGCTTTAGAAAGATTTTCCCCTATATATTTTAATGTAAAACTTTGACCACTCTCTCCCCCTTGTGGCACCACTTCAGCCCCTAGGCCAACTCAATCTACACTACAGGGAGATGCATGTACCTATGCACTGACATGAATAATCATGGCTTTTTCTTCGATTTTCAAACGTTTTTCACATATATCATTATGCATAACTTTGACCCTTTACATGTATTACAGCCCATCCTACCCCAAAGGGTCTTTGAATTGACACTATGCCATTCCAAGTTTCTTCTCTGTTTAGCGTCCACCCATCTTTCAAAAACCTACCTACCTATTCGCAAAAAAAAAAAAAAAAACCCACACAACCCCAAAAAATAAAACACAGACTCTATAGTCTTAAAAATGATACCATTCAAAGCATTTGATTTTTTGTTAATCTAATTTTCTGGAAGAAAGCTCTATTCTTCAGCAAAATCAACATATTAAATGCTTAAATATGATTTATTGTAGACAAATACTTACAGAAATTGATATAATTAAAAGAATTTAAAAGATTTTGACCAGATTAATCAATTTTAGGGCTCCTGATTTTGTTTGTTTTTTCTGATATGGGGTGTCAAAAACCAAGGCATACGAGGGTGCTAAACATAGAAAAAACTTGGAATGGCCCTACATGAGCATGCTTGCATATCAATATGATTCATTGTGACCCTGCTATACTAGCTTGACAAGAAGTTTTCCCTAAAAATTCCAATGAAAGACAATTATTGTGGCCCTACTCTAACCCCATCGGTTGAGATCTGAAGAAACCTGATTCTACACTATATGTAGATGCTAGAATATCAATACAATGAATTATGGCCCTGCTGTCAGTTAGAAGATTTTCAAAGCATTTTATTAGGATATATATTACAATATGAAAATTGACCTTTGATTGTGGACTTTCTTTACGAGGGGGTCATCCAAATATCAAAGTACTAGCTTTCACGATTCAAAAGATACATACAGTTTAACTTTGTATCTTGAACACTGATATCTCGAATACCATGGATATGACGAAGTGATTTGGAAGTCCCAATTCCTTATTCTTTAAGTATTTTACCCTGGATATCTAGAATCCTCATATATCTCGAAATTTTTTCTCGGTCCCATTGAGTTTGAGATAATGAGGTTTGGCTGTAATTGTATTGAAAAAGTCAATTGTCTATGAAAAGGTTATGTGGTCAGTCTCTTCAATACTGTTGAAATGTGAAAAGGCAATCCACTTGTAGTACTATATCTTAATGTTCTAAATATAGGGTTTGAAGATAGACGATGACATATTTTAAGTGATCCCCACCTTGCTCTTGCTTGCTAGCAACATATAAACCCCATATGCATATATTTCATATTAGTAAAATTCAAATTAGAAGAATTTAAATGTTTTCATATTGTACCGATTATCCATATTAATTCAATATTATGCAGAGTTATTTGTGGTGCAAATACATTAAATATTTATCATCTTCTTATGTAAAAGAAAGGTTTATTTGTTTATATATATGATGTGTTTCAATCCCATGCATGTTTGTGCCAAATGCAGTAATAGTGGTCTCAGGTGTACAAAAGTGTCTAATTAAAAGTAAAAACTTATAAAAAATACACAAGAAATAAAAATCATTCCATGTCCAATAAAATCAAAAGAAAGTAATCTTTTATAGGAAGGATCAAATTTATAAAGGTGGTGGTGGTAAAAATATATAAACTGATCTGAGGGCATGCAATATATGTTACAGTTTTATTATATTGACTGAATTGAAGAAATTATATTGCATCTTTACCCCTCCTTTTTTACTTTAAGAATGAAGAAGACCAACCTGCATATGATATATCATAAGTTCATTTGCTAATCTATTTCTGTGTTGTGAATCTTGAAGCTTCTTGTACATAAGACACTGCAAAAGGAAAATAGTGTTCCCCATCATTGTAAAAGTCAGTCCCCAAGTGCCTCTATCCACCTTAACTAATACTTAATACCCTAAAATGGCACACTTTCCTTAATAGTACAGCCATCCTGTCTGAAATAGAGTGTCAGTAGAGAGCTACCAGGGGAGATAATACAAGAGCTACCCAATGTTAACAGAAAAGCTCAAGCAAAAACAGCTGGAAAATAAAATAAAAGGTGTTATAGAAAATAAAACAACTAAATACTGGAGGGTACACCATTTTAGTGCTACAATATTGATACGACACTGCAATCTACCCAGTTACCTTCATATGGTACATCATTAATTCATTGGCTAAACTGTTACGATACTGTGCAGCTAAAACATTCTGGTACATCAGCGACTGGAATTTAGTTTGAAAAAGTAAAGCTTAATCAGCAGCTACTGGAACTTTATACATCTAATGATGTTAATACTCAATACAAGTCTCAATAATGCTATTATTAAAGACAAAAGCTATATATACAATATATATATATATATATATATATATATATATATATATATATATATATATATATATATATATATATATATATATATGTATATATGTATATATATATATATATATATATATATATATATATATATATATATAAACGAGCCCATTTGGGAGAAAAACAAATGCAATTTTCACTAATGTATTAATTGGTTTAAGCAACTTAACCTGTAGAGCTGAATTTCAATATTACATACATGTATAATGAATAAAGTTTATAGGAATGCTCTCTATTAATAACAAGTAAGCATAGCTTTTTAAATGCTGGCAAATCCAAGAAAGACAGGAATGGTAAATTCTGGCTTTAAAAAACATGATAAAATGAACTACAATTTTTGTTAGTCCTGCAGGGAAGATAAAGCCTAGACATTCTAGATACCCTCTGCAAACAATATTCAAACTGATCTGAAATTAATTTGGTTAATGTAAACATATCCTTAATACATCATTACTAAATATAATTCAAACATTTATTTTTACATGATTTACATGTACAGTGTACTAATCAGAGAAAATTAAAATTATCAATAATGGTTGTAAATATTATATACATGTATTTTCATTTTAGCCTTTGGTAATTTTGCACATTAATACTTCAAAATAGTAAAATAAATGAAAGTGAAAGAGAAGACGTACATGGCTGATGCTTATACAGCAGTAGACAGCGAATGCTGAGGCTAGATCCTCGTCAAACTCTGTGAAGTGCTGTCCTGTCTTCTTATTACAGAGTTGAGCTACGCCCAGAACATCTCCTGTACCCCAAATAAAACATCACTTCATCCTTTCTTCAATTACAAACTAATTACTCATTTTAAATTATAGATATTACTAATAGATATTTAAACATTATTATAACCTCATCTTGTTTACCCTTATATGCAGGGCTAGTATTGCTTTATATCAGTATTCATTAAAAAAAGAGCAGCTTCCCCAATACTACTCAAGGAAAGAGCTAGGTTCACTTTATGCATAAAATGGCCCTGTCCTTATATCAATTAATTGACTATCACCCTCTGTCCCATCTCATATATCAAAATAAAGTAGAGACTTAGTGCTTTCATTTCCTATAACAATTTTTTTTTTGAAAATCCAGGTATTGGAAAACAGGCTTTGAGAACATGCAATGTTCTTGAATTTTGCAGAAAACAAGTGTATTTGACTACCTTCAGCAAAGAAATAAAATATGAGCACAGCCTACGATCCAAAAATTAAAACATGTTTTGTGATCTTCAGAAACACATCTTTCATTATTTAATTGCATATTTTGGATCAGAGGTTGTGCTCTGTATGAAATATTGAAAAAATACCTCAACTTTTGGCAATTTCTAAGGGAATTTAGAGGAAATTGGGAAAATGACGCATTTTATGATGTCATAATGCATTGACTAGAGAGAAAATTACGTCATGTTCAATAGATACACGGTCACCAAGGGTCCAAGTTATAAATACTGCATTTTCAACCAAAACTCAGCAGTTTCGATTTTTCAGAAATTCTCAGGGCCAAAAAAGGCCCTAAGTGGCTCTTGCTCTTTGTACGTAAGTTGAGCTAGTGATATCCTACAGACTTACCCTTTTCATTCTTGATAGGAAAACACAGTATATTTCTGCAAAATAAAATTTGTGCAAGAATTAAACCTTAATATTGACTACATAAATTTTACTGCTCTATCTCAATCCACATACAGTGTATTAACAAAAACCTTACCTAGTTCTAAACCCTGTAGAATCATCAATGCCTCTGTAGAACATTGGATGGGAGTAAGCATCTTTAATGTTCAGCAATTTGCCTTGAATTGAAAAGATATATGATACTCTAAATTAAGATTTACATCAGTTAAAGGTCATAGGAGACAATTACCTGAACATATTGAGTTGCATACGGGAATAAGTTCATCTGAGCTGGTAAAATAAGACTGAAATTGTTTTTTGGATTTTTTACTCAAGATAGCTACAGCACAGTCGATCAAAATTACTCAGTCGTGAAAATTCACTTTGACTAACGTTGCTTATCTCCCTTAGCATATGACATCAGAAAGGCCCAGTCGCTGTTCAAAGCAATGCAATGTTTACAAACTATCATGTCATTTTGCAGCTTAATTTTAAAGAATATCATAATCATGGCTAAAACCTTGTGTAAATATACGATCTTCAAACAGGCTAGTATTCCTTTTTAAAAATTCCATTGCATATTTGCAAGATGTTTGCATGTTTTATCAGTCAAAATGTGATCATTTTCATGATTTTACACTTCGATCTATTGAGAGAAAAATAAAGCGGTCAGAAGAGAGAAAGAAGGGAGAGTGAGAATGAATTCATTTTTCATAACCAGTGCAGTTGTTTTACTGAAATCATTTATTTACAACCTAGTTTTACTTTCACACAGAGTCCAACACGTACTGTCAGTATGACACTTTTCTTGACAAACGATACGAACCTGCTATGTAATATCACATGGCTTTAAAAAAAAAAACAAGAAAAAAATTTCTTGTGTTACTGTTTTATACAATTTTATCAATTCTTATCATTTGACACTGTCTTTATATTCACTTACTCATGAACAACATCACCACCAATACCCGAACTCTGCACCCCCCCCCCCCCCCCCTTATTATTTCTTTCTTTTAGTAATTGAAAGTTCTTAATCGTGTCATTTACACACACTGCAGATGGGTTAAAAACAACTCTGGCAAGAACTATACGTAAACTTGTATTTATATGCGAGTTAGTACAAACGCCGTTTAAACATGTAGACCTATGTATTAAAAATAGGCAGCTCTAACATGTGGAAATATTTCTATGAAGACTCTACCAAATGCAGATATTGAATGAATTAGAAATCGATATATATATATTTTTTTTTTAGTAAAATTTAATACATAAAATACCAGAAAAAAAGGTAGGTATTTTTCCCGTCAATTTGTTAAAATATTTATCAAAGATCAGTACTTATATTCGTATACAAACCTATTTATTTTTCCAGTGTGTATTATATTTACGTTTTTTTTTGTAAAGGATATAATTTCAAAAGTTTTATTACCTGTTAAAAAGAACATTAATATTAAAATTGTAGTCTTGCAAATGATGGATGGATTTGCAAACTGATCACAGACTGTACTGTTTACTATACCGAGTAATTTCAAAAATCGATATTATCGAGTCAAACTGTGACTGCACAAAGTATTGGCATCGTAACAATCTCATTTGATTTGGGCTCAATATTTCTTCTTTATATATATATATATATCCACGGGATAAAGGGGTAAACAAGGGATAATATATATATATATATATATATATATATATATATATATATATATATATATATATATATATATATATATATTACAAGAATACGATCATGTCATAAACTCAGGGATTCTATTGCTATATTGTTTTTATAGTAATACGGGGAAAGCGAAACTTCAAAGACGCTGACAATTTTAGTGGTTCGCGCTTATCATGGACTTCAATACCACTGGCCCCCCATGTTTATTTTGGGGATTCACGTTAGGGATATTCCCCGCATACGTGTCATATATCTTTCTTTAACATAATATTATAGGCTTAATCAAAACGTTTATTCTAAGCAGAAAAGGTCCCTTTTAATAAATTGCTCTATTCTATGTTGCAGTATGCGATTTTTCTTGGAATAAAAAACGACTTAATGACTGACTTTTTTTTAATGACGATGAAATCATCTTGGTATGTCGTATAAGTGTATTAAACAGGGAAATATCTTTTTGTTTCTAAAGGTTTGATGTAGAGTAAGTTAATCGGAAGTTGTAGCTTAATTTAAGCGTAATTTTATATAGGATATTCATCAGGATCATCCTCCGATAAAAAGCTCCAGTTTTGAGTTGCCGTGCCTTATTAACGACTCGCTCAAACTGAATTGACTGAACTACGAAATCCGATAACTCACCTGAAAACATAGACACATTTATATTTACAAAAATAGTTTAAATTAATTAGATAAAATATGGTAGAAATACATTAGTCTAATGCTCTGTTTACATCAGTGGGCTCTTGTGACGTCATAAAACCACAAAATCAAGAACGATAAGCGAGTAAGAAAAGTAACAAGTGGAAAAGTTTTCACTTTCATTTTTCAGTTGAACAAGGGCCAAAAAATATTACTACTCGTAATTTAACATTCTTTCATATATAGCTTGAGGTTTAAAAAGTGAAATCCTCGTGTTAAGAATCGTTTCCTATGACCTTTAAATAAACAAGAGGCCTATGAAACACAATGCTCACCTGAATCATTCTATGGCCCTGCTGTTCTTTATCATAAGATTAATTCACTATATATTATTTTGATAGCCTATTGTGGCCCCACCCTATCGCAGAGGTCATGATTTGAACAAACCTGAATTTACAATACCTATGTATGCTTCAATATGACTAATCATGCCTTTGTGTTCTTGAATAGAAGATTTTTAAAGATAAATTCCTAAATTTCTTATGTAAAATTTTGAGATTGTCCACTGTGGCCCACCCTATCCCCAGGGGTTGAAATTGGTCGAGCGGTTTTGAAGAAGTTGGAAATGTGAAAAGTTTACAATGACAACAACAGAGAGCAGACAATTTTAGTCAGAAAAGTTCACTTGAGCCTTTGGCTCAGGTGAACTAAAAATAAATCATTCCTGAATTCATGAGAATTAATAGAATCATTGCATATTTAGCTGTAAAGCACCTGTAGCACTTGTACACAAATCTACATATGGGCTTACCTGTAGTGGCGACATGGCCCGCTATTCCCTGAGTAATTGGCATTCTAATTTCATTATACTCCTACAAAATGAATGATTCCTAATTTACAACTGCCGCAAACTATGGAACTAAAACAATTGATACTCATCCTCTACACATTGTACAGTACCTCTTTATTATTAGTTGATATTCCATCAAACACTTCTGCAACAAGCTCTTTGGTTTCTTTGTCAATCAAAAATACTGAGCATCTGTAAAAATCCGAGATAAAATTCATTACCAATAATTTTTTTCTCAAAGTTTATAATACTTATATTAATACTTCTCAGGAAGGATAGGTCACACCTTTCAGCCTGTGTCAGGTTCCTTGCCTCTTGCATAATTTCTCGGAGAAGTTTGGTTAAATCATCTGTCAATAAAGATTACTCTGTTAGAATTTAAGAAGAATAGAAATTCTATAGATTTTATTAATTACTTAGTTACTGTAAGAATTATAAATCTAACTGCTCTTCTTTTTTTAATGCCAATAATTTTCTATATTCTAAAAATTTTCTTTATCAATCATTTGTCATGTTTAAAACTAACATTAGGTTTAAACTAAACATTTCAATTAAAACTGAGAAGATAAATTAATTAAATCAACAGTAACAGTGACAAACATGAAACAAATTTTAACAAAGATTTTGAATAAATGTTTTGAATCACATACATATGGCATGTGTTTAATTCTTAAAAACTCCAATTGAAGGGAAAACAGGAAAAACAAACTTAAATGTTTGAATCAGCGTGATCAGTAAACTTAAAACCTGTTAGTAGAAACTAGGAAAGGGTCAACATAACTGTTTAGTGAAAAACAAAAGGCCTACTTATTGTGACATTGAGAGTATCAGTGGTAGGGGGCTGCTGCTGCTTTATATACTCCAGATCTCTGTCAAACTTCTCAAAGCTACAACCTGAACCTCTCTTGGAAAAACTGTCCAGAGAGGAGTGGCCAGAAAGATTGGGTACATTTTGATGTGAAAAACAATGGGTTTCATGAGAAGTAGTGTTCTCCACAACAATCTTAATGCTTTTTGTGGGAGATGAAGATGAAGGTATTAAACCTAGACCCTCTATTACAGAATCCAGATCACTGGACCTCATACTCAGAGGGTCAGTGAAAGGTTCCATATCTTCAACAAAGGCATAATTTAGACTAGGTCTGCTTTCCATGTATTCTAACCTTATCACAGACTCTTTAGATATAATTGGGTCACTTTTGGACAGTCTTACTTTTCTGGTTTTCAGCTCTGGGGATAGAGTAGGTGACTCCAGCATACTCCTGTCCAGGAGAGAATTATACAGTCCCTGTTCTGACATAGAACTGACAATACTCCGTTCAGTAAAAGTATCATAAAACACGTCCATTTTCTCATCTGAATCATCCATGTCAATCTCCTGATCAGAAGCTGCTACTGATTCCACGGATATTGTGTCCAGAGTCTCATCTTTAGCAGTATGGAAAGATTTTAAAGTTATTTGTTCTGAAGGCACTTTTAGAGTATCTATTTCTAAACTGTCTAATAAGTCATTATGTTTCATTCCAATTTTGTCCGTATTGTTTGTCACAGCAGTCTTTAATGGTGACATGGATGCTGGAACAGAGTCATTGAAATTATTGTCACTTTCTGATTCAATAACAGCCATTTCTTCTTTGACAGATTCAATCATCCTAATACTGCTGTTCAACTGGGTGTCTATGTCATCAGATTTGTTCTCTGCATCAAGTACCTTAGGCTTAGCGCAAGACAAAAAAGAACCACTGCTACCTGGTTCACTGTGAGCTCTTGCTGCCAAATTCTGTTCAGGAAGAGATTCACCAATTTCATTTTTCCTGTTAGAAATGTCCATTTGATCTTTTTCCTTAGAATGAAATTCATTATTTGCTTCAATATGAATACTTTCCTCAGTAACAATGCACTGTTCACTCTCAGCCTTGAACAGCTGGATTTTTCCAACTTCTTCTGTTGTAGATGCACTTGAGTTATCCCCAGGTGTTTCTATTAGTAAACTGTTACCGGCAGCAATGTTATCTGTTTTTGATTGTTCTTTCACTGGAACTTCAATTCTGTCCGACATTTCTATTGCATTTCCTTCTTTGTTTTGATCACTGTCCTCCTTTGGCTCTATCAATGTCAGGTCAGTGAAGTTGAAATCATGGGGAGGCACGGTGATGGAACTGATCTCTTTAAGCTGAATGAATTCATCAACAATGGCAGGGCCATTTTTATCACTAGATTCATTAGCTACCCCACTTTCTACCTGTGTCAATCTTGAATTGCTTACACCACTCATAGGTTCTTTAAAATCTGCTTGGATGACTTTGATGTTATTCTCTAAATGGCATTTCTTCACTTCTATTTCCTCTTTCTTATGAATACATTCTGATTCCAGTGGTAATTGGACTGTCTCTACTTCCTTTTCAAAACTCGGGGAAAATTCCTCATTTTTGTTTTCAATATTGTCCTCATTATTTTGTATATATACAGAGCTGAAGTACTTTCTTTTGACAAGTGATTTTTGTGAAGAAGACTGTGAGAATGAACATTCAGTATGATGGGAATCTATCTTTTCCCCAGAAGAGGTTTCTAACTGGCTTCTAAAATACTTGGAAGATCTTTCTCCTAATACTGAGTCCGTGGGACTACTAAAATTGTTCCCTCTTTCATGCCTGTATGATGTGCTTTCTGTTAATGATATGGAATGACAGGTTTTTGCTGACCCATTGCTATTTTTGTGCACACTTTCCCTTCTCCTCCTATTGGGAATTGTAACTTGTTCTTTGTACATTGCCAGAAACTGGGTCAGATTTGTATAGCTAACTAGTTCCTCATTATGTTTTATAGAAAACTCACCTAAATGAGTGAATAGATTTCTTGCCACCTGCAGCATAGCCTAAAATGATAAAACCATGTGTTTACTGCTTCATGTTTCTTAGTTTAACTTTTTAATCATTTGTATGTATTTTCAGCATTCTATTTTTTTTTCTCATTATTTGTTATAAAGATTGTTTTTTTTAATATTTTTTCAACAAAAAAAAGAACATTTTAGTAGATAAAAAAAATAACTGCTATAATCATTGTATAACACAGAAATTGATAGTAGTTGATAAACTAAATGACATAGTGTGTGAGACCTTTTGAGCACTGCTTACCTGAGTTTGAAGTTTGAGCTTTCGTTCATTTTGAAATGCTAATGTACTTGTTAAGACTGTCGATGTGTACTGGAAACACTGAAGGATAGTCTGGAGGTCTTCATTGGAAAAACTACAAAATATCATGTGGTGTCATTAACATGCCTATTGATGTTATAGGAACAGTTTAGAGTGAATTGCATAATGCCACCATGCACATATAGCCCTGTTTGTGACATAATGACACTTTCCATGTTGAGAAGTTTAGATACTAGGTCATATTGCTACCACATCAAAGGAGTTAATAGAGTTCATCTCACTGATCATGGAAAAAGTCAGCTGAGATATGTTCCTTGTGTTTTCTGTTGAGCTTTTATAAATATAAAGTAATGTGTATATCAAAGCTCACCTCAATGAATGTTATCTTTAGGTAAGGCAAAGTCTCACATCAAACATATGTTCTGGTAGTGTGTGTCCCTAAATGCAACATTTATGCAAGTTTGGTCGGAGTAAGGTTTTGGTATTAATTACTTAGAAATGGACCTTCTCCAAAAACTCTCTCTTGTTTACTCATCTGGAAAATGAAGGTCGGATCCAGAATCCAAAGCAAGTCTGGTAGCTTTCATCTCTACCTGAATAATCTATGCAATATTGATCTAGGTAGGGATCATAGTTACTTGGAAATAGACTTGCTCCAAAATCTTTAGCCTGTTCGCTCATCTGGAAAATGTAGGTCAGATCTAGCATCCAAAGGAAGTCTGGTTATGTGCATACATGTACATCCCTTGCAAGTCTAGTTAGGTGCATCCCAGAAGCATCATAGTCCAGGTAGGACTTATATTCTTTGTTGCCAAAAGTGTTGCAACAAACATGGCTGATATCGTCACTTCAAAAGTAGAGTGAGCATCATTACAAAAGGCCCATGGGCCATAATGCTCACCTGAGTAACTTTGGCCCTGCAGCTCTTCACCAGATTTTCCCCCTTGTAATACTTGTTGTGGCCCCATCCTACCCCAGGGGTCATGATTTGAACAATATAAAATCTATACATAAGTTTCAGCATTTCTGGCCATGTGGTTCTTGACAAGATTTTTAAGGATTTTTCCTACATGTTTCAATGTAAAATTTTGATTCTCTATTGTGGCCCCACCCTACAACAGGGGGGTCATGCTTTGAATAATTTAGAATTTTCTCTACCCCAGGAAGCTTCCACGTAATTTTCAGCTTTTCTAGCCCAGTGGTTCTTGAGAAGAAGATTTCTAAAATTCTTCCTACACATATTTCAATATAAAACTTTGATTCCCTATTGTGGCCCTACCCTACCCCCTGGGTCCATGATTGAACAATTCAGAATGTATACACTATCTCAGGAAGCTTCCACATAAGTTTTAGCTTTTCTGGCTCAGTGGTTGTTAAGAAGATGATTTTCCAATATATTTGAATATCAAAATTTGATTCCCTATTGTGGCCCCACCCTACCCCAGGAGACCTTGATTTGAACAATTTAGAATCTACACTGCCTCAGGAAGTTTCCACATAAGTTTAAGCTTTTCTGGCTCAGTGGTTCTTCTTGAGATTTTTTAATGACCCCACCCTATTTTTGTCTTTTCTTGATTATCCCCCCTTGTAAGGGGGCTTGGCCCTTCATTTTAACAATTTAAACTCCCCTTAAACCAAGGATGCTTTGTACCAACTTGGGCTAAACAGATGGAAGACAGACAATGGGAGATCAGAAAAGCTCACTTGAGCAAAATTATTATAATTTTTTTTCATTATTAGTATTTAGTAGCACAGCCTTTCTGATTGGTAACTTGGTGTAATCTTGCCAGAATTGATGCATACGGGCTTTGAAAATATACTTGAGAGAGGCCATTACAATTCCTGGTCACTGCAGCTATGAGGTCTTGTGTTCATTCAATGTGATTTACCGGTATCTCTGGAGACAATTAAATTTTAATGCAAGGCCTAACATTTTCTGTAATTCAGGTCTGGGGATTGTGCAGACCAAACAAATTTCTGAATTCAATTTTCCTGTTTCCATACAAGCATTTGTCTTGATGAATGAGGAGTTGCATTATCTTAAAATATAAACTCTGTTTCCAAAAACTTTTGCAACTATTGGCCAAAGATGGGTGTCAATATACTTCAGCGAGTTCATATTACCATCAATAGGCAAAATCATACCAATTCAATCATAAATTATACATCCCAAAACATGCAACTTACTTTTCAGCATCTTTTTTATTCACAACACAAGCTAAAGCTATTAAACCATCACTATTTCTGCTAGATACTGGAACACATAACATGGACTTTAATTTCACTCCTACAAAGTTTTCTATTTCTTTCCTTTTGTCCTAAAAAGAAAATGCTACATTAATAAAGAATTAGAGAGTCATTCTTTCTTCAAAGGAATACTGTTTAGAAAAGTAGTCTAATGTTTCTTAATTGCAAGTTGCTCATATGAAAGAGGTCTGAAAATACACTCTAGCTAATAAAGCAGGTGCACTCATATCTATAAGAGAACTTAGATCTGTTTCTGGAGACAATCTAAGGTTATCAAATGAAAGCAATGAAATATGTTGAGTGAACTCTCAAGTAGATATGCATCAAACATGTTCTATAACCATGGGCACTTTCATATAATCTATGTTAAATACTGTAGATGTTCTCATGAGGGGACAATTCACATAAAATTTGTGATCTGTCACAACACATTCTTTAAATCATAATACCATATATGACATTATATATGATCAATCTTATTCCCATTTTAAGCAAAAATATAGGAAGACCAAGCTACTAAAATTGCAAAATTACGCAAATTTTCCCATGTTTACAATATACTTTAAAGAAATTTCTCCTTACTTGAAAAAAGAAGGCTGTTGCATCAGATGGAAAGTTAATTTACATTAAACTCCGACATGATTTTCTGAGAAAAAAAAAATTACCAAAGGTACATCTTCTAACTTCATTGGTTTCTTTGAATCTAAAGGTAAACTAAAAACACTATTTTGGCCCTGAAAAAAAAAATAAGAGAGAAATTGATATCAAATATGCAAAACTACATATGTATTACTTCATAAAATATATATAGAAAATATCACTGCATTTGATAAGCTTGCTTTAACAATACTTGTGAAGGTTTTCATAATATGAACAATAAAACATGCTTGTAGTGAAGTGCAAGGGACAAGCAATTTTTAATGATTTTAAATGTGTAATTTACTATCTCCAATATTAAAGCTTTTTTAAACTACCTTGAATGAAAATCACTATGCTGTAAGTATGAATTCATTATACCCTTGTTCGCTGTAACCAAGCATGTTTTACTATACAAGCATGAAACGAAAGTCATGTATTTTTTACCAATTAACTAATGTACATCATCATAAGCAAGCATTTTTTTGCCAATGAAATTTTTACGAGTGTTTTGTTTTCCATACAGTTTGCATTTGTTGGTGAGCCATTATCATTAGTTGCCATTTGATCACTCTGATCAATAATTAGTATTTCATTAAAGTCTCTGCACCAGTGATCAGAATCAGACAGGATCACAATCAATAACAGGGCTTCACTTTTAGGTGACACACAGTCTCTCTGAACATAACACTAAAGCTATCATCTGGGAAATCCCTGAGGAATCCACTGGAAAAATTCATGATCTCTTTCCTCAATTATCTAACTACTTCAAATGGGTGTCACAGTAGAGGAAATTGATTAGTTTGTTCCAAAAAATAGTTACTTTTCTACTGGTTGTAAATTCAAACAGCCATAAGCTAAGCATGGGTTTTTATTTATCTGAAATTTTATAACTCTACAATCATTCAATTTCACTTCTGAAGTCACATTTTTGTTTGAAGGCTCTATTATTTTTCAGGAATGAAGAGTTGTAAACAATTCACACGAAGAAAACACTTTTTATATTATGTAAAAGTTCTAATCCTGTACTTCTATTGGTGTTAAACTTGTTAGAACTTAGCTAGCAAAATCTTATTATGTATTTACATTTTAATAAGACAACTTTGAAGAAGCCGGACATCAAAGTCTGTAGTCTTTTTTGTTGTTTGTGTCAGAGTTGAATGTTCTCGACACACAGCTATCAAAGCACATAAAACGAGATTTTAAAAGCTTAAAGAGACTTTTCTCTCTGCAGTACTAGAACCTTTATAAAATTACAAATTATTTAAATGTATATTTTACACTGATTTAAATACTTTTTAGGAATTGATGGAGTACTTAAACATTTATCAAAACAGAATAAATACAAGAATTACTTCCTGATACTCTGCAATCTTTTTAGGAAGTTGATGGTGACTATATCAGTAAAGCAATATCACAGAGGGATAATCTCGGATTATCAGGTATCTCGAAGTTTCTTTCTCAGTCCCATTGAGTTCTAGCTGCAGAACAATAGCTCTCCAAAAAAGAAAATTATTGACAGACCAGAGAGCTACAGTGCCACCCATTGCAAACAAAAAATTGTTCTGTTCTGTGTTCTTTTTCCATGTTCTTTTACTATTTCCACTACAAAACATTCTTTGTTATTAGCCTTACTGGGCCTGAAATTGAGACCATCAAAAATTTCGCCTATTTATACTGACATTTTGGGTGCCAAGATAATATGACCCAATGCTCTTCGTGAAAATGTAGTTGATAGAGGTCTGAGGAATTTCTTTTTAAATCGTGCAGCTGTTGAGGTATGAATTTAAAGAAATCAATCCAGAAATGGGTGCATTTTTTGTGTGCAATAAATGTAGATTTTTCTATGGGTGGTACAGAAAGCTCTCTGGTCATTCATCTTAATTTTTTCAAACCAGCAAGCTACAGATCTGCAGCCGAGTTTGAGATAACAAGGTTTGACTGTACAGTATTTGAGAAAGCAAAACAGGTCTTTTTAAAATTCTACTTTGAACATTTTTAATTATTGTATCTTCTACATTACTACTGCAAGCAGAGCATGGACACAAAGATGCTAGTACCCTTGTCCCTCCACTTTCAAAATTGGAAGGGGCACTACACCCCCCCCCCCCCTTTCCTGTGACTACCCCCATGGGTACCTATATTGACTAATATCAATTTTTTTAAAGTTGGTGGCTAAGAAAAATTTGCCTGGTGACTAAAAATTTTTACTGGTAACTTAATTTTTTTTATCAGGAGCCAGCTGGTGCTGAAATTTAGAGTTCACTTACAGGCCTGATACAGGATATGTATACGGTTCTATGACCACCAGGTCACAATAAGACCTGACAGTTTTAACAAATTATATAATGTAATTTAAATTCCATCAATTTACATTAAAGAAAATACAAATGGATCCAAGAGCATTGTCCTTTATCAATTATAAGCATCCCTAACCAATATCAGACAATAGAGAGCTTTTAGTGCTTTCCCAAATCACAAAACAAATACACAATAATTTTATAATCATTTTCCTAATAGCTTTGGAAGTTGTCATGATTTTTGCTTTTATCCAGATATCATTGAAGCAAACTTGACATTTGCCATTTACTTCCGAGACAAAGGCTCCAAGACTAGCTTCCTACACCAAACGGCTCTTACAAGCATGAAATATGTCTCCATTTATAAAAATATTCAAGATCCTACTTCAATTATATCAGGCATACACATATTTGATCTTGTTTTACACTAAAAATTGATGGACAATAGGCAAAAAAAAGATGTTGCTTCCAAACCATTTCCCACTACAAATCAATACTCCAAGACGACATTATCAAAGGGTAAAACAAACTCAAGAGACGCCTGTTAGAAGTCACTTTTTATTCCTAGCTTTGGTTAAATTTGTTAGGAACTTGAACATTTACAGTCAAAGCAGTGGATGAAACATATCATTATAAAGTCATCAGCCAAAAATATTTGTAAAAAACTAAAAATCAAAACGGCCTCCAGATGTTAACAAAAAACTGTATATAATATTATAATGAAATCTTTTATCTGCTCATTGAATGCAGATATTACCGAGTTTTTTAAATACTGGTAGTTTATCTGTGATACTTTGAAATCACTCATTTCAATGGGGTTGAATTTTCGTTGTTTTCGTGGTTTATGTCTTTAATAAACTGTAAAACTTGAAATGTATTACAACACTGCATTTCTTCAACCAATGAATTCCCTTGAACATATTGAAGCAATATTTTTTCCTCAAACCTAAAAAATTTGACCCCTCAAAAATATGTGATTTTACAGCCATAACCCTGTCAGCAGTAAATTTTGAGAAAATCCCATGTAAACAAATATGGATTGGAAGGGGAAAGTGCAAACAAATGATCACAAAACAAACATATATGTGCTATATGATGCAAACATAAGAAAGATGGACATTGTTAGATTGTCAGGTTTTGTTCATAAAAAAATTAGAATTATCTTAAATTTTGTATAGCCTGAGCATGTATGTTGTTCAATAAAAATATGAAAACTTTAATATTGAAGAGACACTTGAAGAATAAAAAAGTAGCTGTGTGTTTGATTTTTGAATGACATGAAATGATTTTAAAATATTGCAAGAAATAAAAATGGAGACTGAGCCCCCATGTGGCAACTTATAACGAAGGTTAAAGTGTCTCAAATGCATGTCAAACTCCAAGGTCAAGAGATAAAAAATGTTGGTACCTAAAGAAAGGTCTTGTATCAAGGAATATACCTGTGAAATATGACAGCCCTAGCACTAACTGCATGTTCATAAGCTATGGCCAAGGTTAAAGTTTGGTAAAATTTTTGCAAAAGTGGGTCAAACACCAAGGTCAAGATCAAAAAGTAAAATAAGTTGGTACCCAAAAAAAGGTCTTGTCACAATGAATACACGTGAAATGTGAAAGCCATAGCTTCAACCAACCAAAAGTTATGGGCAAGGTTAAAGCTAGACAGACAGACGGGGCAAAAACTGTATGCCCCCGAATCTTCGATTACGGGGGCATAAAAATATTGAGAGATCAGAGAAAATCAAAGTTAAAAGATTTTTTTAAGTATGCCTTAAAAAAAATTAGAATTATTTTTTAATTTTTTTTTCATTTGTTACCTAAAGGAATCATGCTTTGCATGTAGGTGAAAAGTATACAACTAAACTGTGGAATCATTAGATTTCATGGTGGCTCAATTTTTGTACCTCTCATCCACCACTTAACATCATCCACAAATTAATAAACTATGATTACAAAATCATATTTCTTTTAATAGATATAAGAGAATACATGAAATTATGTCCCAAAGAAACTGTAAAATTTAAGAAAAACAAGAAAATTGGCCCCCATGAATTTTATTAATTCAACAGTATGTCACTGTCATTACCATTTTCAAAGCACATTTACCAATCGTTATATAGAATATCATGATGCATTCTTCGTTATATCAAATTTGTGCATGTGGAAAATACATTTTAAAAATTAGTCTTCCTAGAAAAGCAACAAAAAGATACATTTCAAAAATAAGATTTGTTAAGAAAAAATGTTAGTGGTAGTGACCAAGTGACTATTGATGTTGCTTTTTTGCCATCGACTGTGGCCATGACAACCCTTCTATGCCATTTTTTTTATGGCTGAATATATGGCCAGTACTGTTGTATCAATACAGAACAATATGCTATAAAAAAAATTATCAAATAAATTTCTGGATATAACAACAATAATAACAAAATACTTTAGCATCTCTATCCCTTACTATTAATGAAAGCATTGATTCTCAGTATCATATAGCTCACTTTATCAAAGTGTCTATATGCCTCCTCTTTCCTACCCACTACAAACAGAATTTAAGAAAGACCTACACTAAGATTTAAACCAAGACTTGGAGCATCACAGCTTAAGCTGTCTGTAAGACAAACACTTGGTAGGATATTGATTCCCCTGTTTGAACCTAAAAAAAACATCAATTGATCATCAGAAGATGATTTGTCTATCGCCAGAATTTTAGATGAGCATGAGAGTGATGAGATTTACAAGTTCTAGTAGACTGCCCAGCTAGTAAACAGCAAGGTCTTAACCCAATACACAGGAAACAAACACATAACACTACTCCTCTTTACTACAGAGAAACATTCCTACAACCAGTCTTGTTTTGGTACTCATGTGAAACTTTTAAGGAAAATGTTATCTTTACTTAAAACCATTACAAATCTCTTTTAAAAAACAAACCCTAACACCAATTAGAGCTTCGACACTCTTCCCCGAGTAATGTATTCTCATTACTCAAACATTTTACTTCTAGGGGCTGTGGAATAACTGCAGACTAAATCAAATTCAGATCATTAGAAACTTCAGTAATTGGCTTTATTTGCAATGGATTATAGACTTCTGACAATTTCACCATGACTAAGATCTGTCTGAGGAACTGCTATGCAGAACTGTGATGTAAATGATTTTTTTTAGATATAAGGATAAAGATCTATATAAATATCAGACTTTTGCAATGCATTCCCACAATAAGTATCACAGTACAATTGCATGTGACAATTTGATTACAAAATGAAAATATATAGTTTTACAGTAAAATTCACAGACTTACAGGAAACTTGACTTCTTCCTCTAGGACAAGTCCTCCAATAACCTGAAATCACAAACAGTCCATTATTACAGTATCTCTTATCACATGGGGCTATCCATATAATCATCGGTGGCAGATTTAAGGGGGGAGGGGGGGTTCTAGCACATGTGCCCCCTAGAATTGTCATATTCAAGACAAATCATGCTTCCTTTCAAAGACATAAGTAATCATTACAGAGTTCACCTCAACGAATGTTGTCTTTAAGCAAGGCAAAGTCCCACACTTAACTTACAATTTAGAACTGTACATCCCTAGATGCAACATTTATGCAATTTTGGTCTAATAGGGCTTGCAGTTACTTGGGTGGGAACGGACTTATCTAACAACTTTAAACAAGTCACTCATCCAGAAAATGTAAGTCAAATCCAGCATCTGAAGCAAGTTTGAGAGTGTTCATCCCTTGATGCGACATCCATGCAAGTTTGGTTCACATAGACCTTATAGACCTGCTCCAAAAACTTAAAACCCAGTCACTCATCAGGAAAATGTAGGTCAGACCCAGCATCCGAAGCAAAGTCCAGTAGTGTGCATCCTTAGATGAAGCATCCATGCAAGTTTGGTCAATATAGAGCTTATAGTTACTTGGAAATGAGATCTGCTCCAAAAACTTTAACCTGGTCACTCATCTGGAAAGTGATACACTCTGAGGACTCCAGATGCATCAACTGACAAAGTTTGATGATTCTAAGCTAATTAGTGTCTGAAATATTTAAATTAAGCCATGAAATTGCAAAAGTAGGTCAAAGTGACCTACTTTTTGGTTGACACACTCTGAGGACTCAAGATGCATCAACTGACAAAGTCTGAAGATCATAAGCTTCAAAGTGTCCAAAATATGCCTCTAAAACAATCTGAAAATGAATACCTGTAAAATTCCAAGAGTAGGTCACTGTGACCTACTTTTTGATAAATCTGTTTTAAGGCCCAAAGGTGCATCAACTTATAAGGTTAATGATTCTAAAGCTCTTAATATATGAAATAATGACCTTTAATGTTAAGAAAATGATTAGCCATAAAATTCAGAAAGTAGGTCACAATGACCTACTTTTTGACTGACACACTTCAAGGTCCCATGATGAATAAACTGACAAGTTTTGATGATCATAGGCTTCAAAGTATCCAAGTTATGCATCAAAATTAAAATGAATACCTGCAAATTTTAAAAAGTAGGTCAATGTGATCTACTTTCGAGTCAACATGATATAAGGTCCGAAGATGCATCAACTGACAAGATTTGATGATCCTAGGCCTTATAGTAGGCAAAATATCAAAGATTTAACAAAACGTAAATTTTGAAGTAACCTTGAGATCATGTCCTTTGCCCCAGTGTGATGTCTTGAACAATTTTTAATCTACAACATATTATCATCCTTGTATGTAAGTTTGGTGATAATCTGCCCTGTGGTTCCTGAGAAGAAGATTTTTTAGCAACCACTACTTTTGTTTTTATTTCCCTAATTATATCCCCTTGTATTAGGGAAACATCCCTAGTTTTAGTATAAATGAAAGCCCTTGGGCCAAGGATACCCTGTGACAAATTTGAAAAAAAATGACTAAAGGGTTCTTGAAATATAGCCCATTTTCCAAAAAGTTTACACACACTGCACAAATGGCCATAGCATTAGCTGAGCCTTTGGCTCAGAAGAGCTAAAAATGCTGATAAAGTTGAATACTTCTCATCAATATGTATCAACATATAAGGTTTATAATAAAATTATCTTGAAAAGTTTCTTTGAAACTTAGCTAATCAAAAATTTGAAAAATGAAGAGAATCAAAGGAAAGGTCAAGGTCATAAAATGTTGATGCAGTTGAATAGCTCTCATCAACATGTATCAGCATAAAACTTTTGATAAAAATATCTTGAATACTCTCTTTGAAACTGAGCTAGACACAAATTTTTGAAAAGTGAGATCATAAAATACTGATGCAGTTGAATAGATCTCATCAATATGTATCTGATTCAGGCTTAAGAAGTTTGATAAAAACGTCTTGAATAGTTCCTTAGATACTAGGCTAAACGCAAAGTGTGATAGAAGGACAGAAGATGGACAAACACTATATGACCCGGCCATATTCATGCTGAAACCATAAATTAAGAGAGATGTTTTAAACATACATTTTATATAAAATCTAAATTGTGTAAATCCCTTTGAATATACACACAAGATATTTCATTTTCATATGGAGTGTAATTCATGCCTACGGTACCAATTTCATCAACGATCGTTTGCATGGTCCCGCCATTTCCATGAGTTTTTCTATCACGGGTGTCACTAAATTATGCAAATGTGTTTTCTTTAAAAAGAAATAATCCTAAAAACTAATTAACTGACTTTAATTTTTTTGAAACACATTTATTTACAGACTGACCTTTGAAAATGTCAGTAGCAGGTTCAGTAATACGTAATGTGAATACCCGATAACACGTGGACTTTTGCACTTCCAACTTTTTCTACAGCATATGTCATTCTTACTATCAAACTGTGACTTTTCTGTATTTTTCATGCATAGAATGTTAAAAATTTTGGCATGTAAAGATAGTTTCCTATTTTAGTACATAAATTTACACATTTTCCTACCATATATTGGGAAAATTTCTAACCTTGCATGATAAAATAAGGTCTATACCGTAAGGGCAAGATCCACACCACTGAAAAATATCGTCTGTTTTCCATTTTTTTTCGAGAAGAAGCTTAAACAGTGGGCAGTTCAATGTCAAGTAACTATATCGTTGATATTATATTTATGTATATCTTTCTAAAATGTTATAATACCTATTCCATTTGCAGACCATAGAAAATTTGTATACATATATATATAATAAAAATTTTTAGACAGAATAGTATAGTAGTCCTGATTTTTCAAACATTGATTTTTGGCAATTGTTTCAGCTCCACCGTTTTTAAAGCGCTAAGCATAGCTGAAGTACTTTTTGGTCACTAGTTGGATTTCTACTTTCATCTATTGCCACTGCCACCTATTGGCCTTATTGTTTGATTAGTATGTAATTCCAATAGAGACATTCTGTAGTACCTCATCTGTGGAGGACTAATACTCAGACTTACTTGACAAAACAATTCTTGTGTTTCTGGTACAACCAGCAGTAAAAATGCGCATTCTGCATTGGTCTGATCCTCCAACTGAAATAAAAAGATTGTGAAATCTTTCTGGCATAATTGTCAATCTTTATTCATTAATTAACTTAGATTAACATGGAGACCTGTCTCAGATTTACATAGGCATGTCACCACAGGGTTGCACATAAACCCATCGTCAGGTCATAAACAATCAACGTAATTTCACAAAGCCTCATAAGTGGCTTTTTTTTTTTTGCATTTTTGACAAAATTTAAAAGCTTTTCGAATGAAAAATATATTCATCTTTGATATTAGAGATTTCACAGTTCCAAAATTTGTTGGTTTGGGTCTAATTAGTAAATTTTCGATTCTGTTTTATTTTTCCCTCTGTTTCAGTTCTTTTTACTTTCATGAATTAAACTTCAAAAAACTATTTGTTACACTTTCAATTATAAACAATGTGACTTTGAATCTTTTAAAACATCTTGACATATCGATCTACTAGGCCAACTATTAGTGACAACATGGAAACTCTTCTGTAAAATGATCCCATCCTTTTGTGGCAAGTATTTTGTCATGGATAAAGTAGATTGAGTTGAGCATTTCAGCTGATATTTTAAACACTGTAATCATTATCATTTGCAAGTCCACACTTTTGATTTCAAAGCCATTTTGACCCAAATTGAAATTTGGAAAATTTGAAAAGTCAACCAAACACTTGAACCATGGCTTTCTGTCATTTTTGGGAACTGTGACAGTTCTATTTGTTATTTTTTTTTTAGTTAAAAGTTTGGTTTAAAAAATCCTTCCTACAAAACTAAGATTAAAACCAGGTCTCTGACGAGACTGTAGCTCTACTGGTGTGTACTCCTAATACAGATGTCTCCGAGTAAAGTCTACTTGTGTAAAAAGTCTAATCAGACCAAAACTGTAGGAGGAGTAGCGCTTTACAAGAATTCAAAGAAATTAATTTTTGATCAATGAAGGCAACATCATTTGTAGAAATCAAAAATTGATTTAAAAAAAAATATGCATTTTAGTATGGTCTACTTGTGGATGTTGTGCACCACGTCTTATCCAAACTAGACCTAAGCTGTAGGAGGATTAGTGTTTTGTAAGAATTTCAAAGAAATTTTTATTTACAGTAACCATTCAACGCCATTTGTGGAAATCAAAAACTGATATACAGAATTATGTTTCTTAGTATATTCAACCTGTGTACAAAGTCTTATTGAAATTAGACAAAAATTGTAGGAACAGTAGCATTTTGAATGAATATAAAAGAAATTTCTATTTTTAGTAACCATGACAAAATTGTTTGTCGAAATCAAAAACTGATAAATAGAATTATGTATCTTAGTATATTCTACTTGTGTACCAAGTCCTATTGAAGTTGGATGGAAAATGTAGAAGGAGTAGCGTTTTGTAAGAATTTTAAAGAAATTTTTATTTTTAGTAACCATGTTAACACTTTTTGTTGAAATCAAAAACTGATAAACACTTACATATCTTAGTATAGTCTACTTGTGTACCAATTCTTACTGAAATTTTCCAAAACTGTAGGAGGAGTAGTTGAAAAATTATTTAAAGACAAACAGACAGACAACGGACACCTTACCAATGCATAAGTTCTTCTGGTCTCTGACCAGTATAACTAACAAACATATACACATGTACATACAAAATTGTTTGCTTCACCTAAGAAACTGCTACACAGACTGTGCAGTTATTTTATAACTTCTCTGGCATGCCTAACTTGTGCTCAACTTACTGTATTTGCGAGACGAAAGTTTAAAAGAAACTCAAATTTTACACATACCCTGACATATCCTGTTTAAACCATAACAATGTTGTGCTGTAACCATGAAAGGAAATTACTTACAAATCGAATGACTTTTAGCTGAAGTCTCGATGCATCTTGGTCATAAAGATCACCTAAAACATTTAATAAATAAGTAAGTAAATAAATTTTATTTAAATTGGCACTGCATGTTCACATTATAACAATTAACATGAGCTCTGCATATTGAGCTCTTTAACCAACTGTCATATTAAATTTTTGTAAATTTTATGCAACAAATAGCAAAAGTGAATCTATTTAAACCACAAATATGATAAAAAACCCTTTTTTCTTGTAGTTTAAATAAATTTTACATCATGTTTCTTGTTACTTTAGATAATTAACAATCGATTGGCATTTCAAAAGTATTCTATGCAATATTAACTATATATTCATAAAGAAATAACTCAAATAGTGTCATAATAACTGTCAGATGAGTTCATTAATGGAATCTCTTCAAAAGAAAGGTGACTTAATAAGGACTATAAATCACAAACATTACAGAATATCACCACACAGCAATGCAATTTTAATCTGAAGCACCACTGTGACATAATCATTCTGTAGGATAATATTGAGCCCTAGGTGTTAACTGTGCCTCTGTAATTGAGTTTTTCATTTCCGGACACTAAATAAACCCTGCTTCATGTGGATCACTCTGCCACATTCTTTCAATTAATTCTCTAACAGAGTTTACCACAGTTTACAGTATATAAATATGCCAACTTTTGATAGTGCCCATTTGACCTTTGTGTATGAACCATTGGATTTAGACATCAGTAAACTCTGTTCTCATTCCAAATTTTAATGTTTTACAGTGATGCAAGGCCACTATCATGTTATTATCGGTAATATTTTATTTTACAATATATACTGTAAATGTCTTTAATTTCATGTGTTTAATATTTCAGGATTTCCTATGTTGGTACATTTCACAGCAGTTTTAATTTCACGGTCACTGAATTTCTTTTTACTTTTATTTTTGCAAATATTGTAAATTACTCTTAAAACAAGAAAGTTAATATGAAAAATTATTTACAACAAAAAACAGATCCAGTATTCAACTAACTGAAACCCGCCATTGTTATGTAACTCAGATTTCTTGTGATTTTCTTTTTACTTTTTTAATGTTACGGAATAGAAAAAGGATTTTAAAGTGTATAGATAATTGAATGCTACTTTGATTTGTCAACAAAATTCACAGTGGCTCAATTTTGCGGAAAATTCCTTGATCACAAATATAGTGAATTTGAAAACACCACAATGTATTCCACTTGTTCAGTATACAGTTGAACTTCGGTATCTCGTAATATCTCCAATACCATGGATATGTTGAAGTGATTTTGAAGTCCCTACCCTTTATCCTTTAAGTATTTTACCCTGGATTCCTCAAATCCTCAGATATCTCAAAGCTTTTTCTCAGATCCATTGAGTTCAAGATAATGAGATTTGACTGTATATCATAATAAATTGAGATACATATGTATCAAAATTCACAGTTTGTATCAATATAATCATGATAATTATGTACCTGGCCAAATCCAATATCTTCATTGTTCACCATTGATAGATTTGCACAGAAATTGCAGTTTACCTCACAAACATTGAAAAAAAATTACTCTCATTATTATCATGATTATAGGTATCTAATCTAAATATCTAGAACTTGAGTTTTTTTAAGATATGACAAGATCAATGTCATTACAATGTTAACAGATATATGTGACAGGTAGGACTAACTTTGAATAAATGACTGTAACAAGTTAACAATTACAGGAAAATATTGTCATTTGATGTAAGTTGATTATGTGACAAATTATTTATGAATTTTCTACATCCTTTAATTGATTATTATACAGCATTGACTGTATCTCATTAATGTATAATTGCCTGTTTACTTGGTAACTCTCTTAGATCAACTGTTTTTAAATAATAAATCAAGTTTACAATCTTAAAGTCTAAACTATTGTAGAAAATCAATATCACGTTTCTTTTCATCACAATTGTCTGAAAGTCACCAAATGTTGTGCATTTGGGATCAATAGCACACTGGAAACAAATCTTTAGCCTCATCTCAAACTGTGATTCTAAACGTACATATCTGGTCTTAATATGCATGGACTGGTAAACATCAACTTTACGATGGTCAATAGGCCAGTCTAATAGATGTTTGTACAGAGAGAAAGATATAAAAGTTCTTGTGAGATATCTCAAAACACAGCTCAACTGTTAAATAAGGACATTACTTAGGAATTAATCAATTATAAATATCCATTACAGACAAGCAGATCAATGCCTGCAAACCTTAGACAGATTAGGGAATATGCTGTCCTACGGATAATATTATTACAGAAGTTAACCAAGCATGAAGATCTACTGAATTGACCTTACCACAAAGTCGTAGTATGGCATCCTTGTCTCCCCCGCTGCCACCGGCTGTTGCTGAGTTGGGCATGTTGGAGGGAGCATAATTAGAGGAGCTGTCCCTGTGACATTTACAAAGTCTTCTATAGCACCCCACAATCTGGGAGAAACAAGAATGCATGATCAGAACCAAAACTTTTCACTTGACACACGCAAAATTAGGGCAGTGCAATTGTTATAAAATCCATAATATGAAATGTGGGCTAGATGACATCCTATATCTTCAATACACCATCCAAATATTGATACAGCCATACAGCTGTCATCTCACTCAGCGTCTAGAAGACAACATGCACACTTAACAATTAACCAGATCAATGCCCCATCAGAACTCCTCAAATTCACTTGCCATGGACTTCACACATCAGTTGCTCATTATGTAGAAAGCCACAAGGGAACTGACTCCAATGATTACAGGAATTTCCCAGATGTTATACTCCTGTTAAGCAATGGTAAGGCCTATGTTGTACAACTCTTGCACTTCTCTTTGTAGAACATTCAAATATAAAAAGTGACTAATTTGTTATTGATTACAAATGAAGCAGTATTGATGATGGAGCTGATAAAGTGATTTCAGACTCCATGCAATTCCCTCCTGTTCCAATGGTCAAGTCCTTATGACAGTCTATACGGGAGGGAGACTGATTTAAGTGCACTGAAATAAAGTTGGTTCTGATGTTTCAAAGTTTCACGTCATAGCATTACATGAATGATTTATCCCAGGTATTGACTTTCTCCACTCTCTCAGCTAATAGCTACACACATGAAGATTTAATGGTCCTGCCTTCATTACCTACTATTAGAACAAACTTCCATGTAACAATAGGATTTGATTGAAATTTCCTCAAATTTTATCGGCATAGGTATTCTCTACAATCAATAAATCAAGGTGACAGTGCCATTGAATCCCAATTGATGTAGGATCAGCAGAGCTTAAGGCAAACTGACAATGATGTGAACTTTGTCTTTATATATGAACATTGTGAACACTTTGACAAGCACATTCTAAAACATGCCATTTTTCATGTTTTTTCTCGGTGTTTAACAGAACTACACACTGGCAAATGTCAGAAATTTTAGTCTGTTGTATGTTAATTTCTCTTCAGAATATCCAATGTCTGATGGTTTAATTGACACATTCTGCATCTACAGTAAAATCTAAATGGTTAACATGACATTATAGAATTATAAAATGATTCATCCAATATGTGTTTTTCTAATGAATAGTTTCAAAACTTAACTGAAATGAAAATGAACTGCAACAGACATATTTTTGTTTTGGAATGATAGTGATTTGCATGTTGCCAACCTATACATATATTCCACAGATGTCATATGTGCAATAACTTCAAATACCTCATTATATTCAGTCTCTTTGTTTAGGAACTCATAATAAATCTCATTATACTCAAGGTCCTGGGAAATAAGAATACTAAGTATGTTGTACAATCTATGTACAGTAACTATATGTAAATTTAATTTTCTAGTATCACATTAAAAAACGTACATATTAACAATATGTCACATATTAAATTTATGTTATATCAGTATTTCATGATTAGCATGTTGTGAAGGTATTTATCATTATTTTTATTTTGTTTCAGATGGAAAATGTCAATACCAACTCAATTAGACACAGAAATGCCATGGCAGCTTACAAAATAAAAAAAACCAACAACATAGAAATATGTCCATAGGACATGAATGCTTGATATGCCTCTAAATTAAATTCTCAAAATCATCATCTTGCTGACTTTCAAGGCAAAATCAGTTGAGAATGGCTATCTTACAGTTTTTTTTTTAATCAACCAATAATTTAATTACCCCCCCCCCCCCCCCCCCCGACAACACACAGGTTTAGCATTACCTATGTAAACACGGCTTATTCCCCGAACGGCTACTCGCCAAAATCAACATCTAATTATTACACCCAATTAAGGGGCCCTCTAAGGGGTACAGGTAGATTTACCTGTATGAATAAATTACCTGAATTTCAAATGCATATAAACAGAACAATCTATCAAGTCATTTTTAGTTCAATATATCATGTAAAATGGTTTTTTTTTAATTTTTGATTTAATTTATCTATTTTATTTATTTTTATTTTAGTATTATTATTATTTTTTTTTTTTTTGCTGTTAAATAATTTCTATTTCTATCTAAGGGTATACAGTTAAGGTATTTCAACCCTCATAATTTATGGGTTTTAAAGTAGAAAAACTGCACTAATTTTTTTTATTTTCACTTAATATAGTTTAAATTAGTCAATAACCGCAAAAGATATGTAAATTGCCATATTTTTTTTTTCTAAGATGTACTTGACATAAAAAACAAAAGTGTATGTTCAGCATAAAAAATTGTACATTTTTAGTAAACATAATAAAAAATATATTAAAACTGGTTCAGTTGGATAATTCGGATGCTGAAAGTTCCAAAATAATTGTCACTTTCAAAGTATGTTCCGATGCTAGGTCCAAAATAACTGTTACTTTAAAAATATGTTTGAACTGCGAATATCAAGGAACCATTTTACATTTAGAAATACAATAAATAAAATGCCTGAATGAAGATACATGAAAAAAAGTTCTTGCCCTAAGCAACATTTTTAAAGAGTGAATTGTTGATTAAATAAAGAAGTAATCATTTTTGAAATTACTAAAAAAAATTTTCTTACGCCAATTGAAAAAAACATTCTTCCAAAAGATGCATAGCTATTGGGTAAAAAGTTAAAATAATTAATTGATAACAGTTTTGGCAAAAACATATGACACCTCAGGAAAGTGGAAATACCTTAACAAGTAATAACTTCCAGGCACAAAGTTTCAGGGGGGGGGGGCTGTCTCCCCCCTCACACTTTTTCCCCCCAAAATAATATACTATTGAAAATCTTTACTGAAAGGCTGCCCCCCCCCCCCCCCCCCCAAAAAAAAAACACACACACACACACACATTTTTTCTTGTGGTCATTAAGTCAAGGAGATTAGGTAATGTATTTAAAAAAAGTTGAGAAAAGGTTGGACCCTCACTTCAAGTTCAAAAATTCCCCATCAATAGGATATAACAATTGAAAAAAAAAATTATTAAAGGTACAATATTAAAGGTGCAATAATACAAAGCAATGTATAAAATATGTTTTAATAATATTTTGAAATTGTTTGTTTAAATTTATTTATCAGATCTTGAGGCTTTTTTATGTACTTTTTTAATGAAAAAAAAAATGAATTTTCATATCCTTATTCATCAAATACTGGTTATCAAGGTAAACACAGGTAAATCTACCAGTACCCCTTAGAGGGCCCCTTAATTGAGTGTGATAATTACTTGTTGTTTTTGGCGAGTAGCTGTTCGGGGAACACACCGTAAACACCCACTTAACATATTGACTCTAGCCCCCCAATATTCACCATTATCCAGGTGAATTAACACCCTTGATTGGTGTTTATGCAAAATCAACACTTAGTGAGATCGAGAGTAAAAAACAATGAAATATGGGTAATGGGACCTAGGTCTTGGTTCAAGAGATAGAGAACTTTAAGAGATGGGAAGTTCGATTGATTGGGAGTAAATTTTCTTAGTTACCGGTATATAGAGAGAAAAACGGGACCGGGGTTTTACTTCGAGAGATCAGAGTATGAGCCATCGAGAGTCACCGGTATGTGTTTTAATAAAAAAATTACTTTGAAACTGAGCTTAACACAAGGAAAAGGAGGTCAAAGTCACAGGGAATGTCAAGGTCAAAAAATTATGCCACACTCAGATAGCTCTCAACAATATGTATCAGTGTATGAATTTTCTTTAACATATCTTGAACATTTTCTTTGAAACTGAGCTCAACACAGGGTGTGATGGATGGAAAGACAGATGGAAAAATGGAAGGACAGAAGACAAGCACTTTATGCCCTGGTCATATTCATGGATGAATGAAACTAAGGCGTAGCCTAATAAAACATCAATACTAATAATAACATTGTTTTTATTACATTGAAAAAATAACAATTCTTCAAGTATGGAAGCATTATTTATCCATTTTTTCTACAGTGACTATAGGTCAAGATCGTGACACACCCTAAGGTCTTAAGCAATCTTTGTGTGAAGTGGAAACTCCCAACACTATTCTCCATAAGAAAGATACAGATCGGACACAAATTGTGAACATTTTCTTTCAGTGACCTTGAACTTGTCTAAATGACCCTGGGTCAAGATCATGACACACCCTCAGGTCATAAGCAATCTTTATGTAAAATGGGAACTCACCAAGTTTATCCATTAAGAAAGATATGGACCGGACACAAATTATGAACCTTTTCTTTCAGTGACCTTGAACTTGCCCAAGTGACCTAGTGTCAAGGTCGTGACACGCCCTCAGATCATGAACAATCTTTGTGCGAAGTAGTAGATTCTAATATTCCTCCGTAAGAAAGATATGGACCAGATACATTTGCACAGACAGACTGACAACTAGAGAGCTAGACGGACGGACAAGGTGATTCCTATATAACCCCCAAACTTTGTTTGCAGGGGGTATAATAATTTTTAGTATATAGAAAGAAAACAAAAACAGAAAACTGACAATTTCAAAGTAAATATATTCCAATATATATATTATACAATACTTCAATCTAGAAATCAGCCTAATAAAACTATAACATTGTTATGAAATATTTAAACTTCACCATCTTACAAACTAAATTCCTGTCATTTACCTTGTGTTTCAGTGGAGTAATTTTGTTTATTTCTACAGTAGCACTATCCTCTATCTGTGGAAATAAAGACAAAAGTGTATATGACAAATGGATACCCAATTCATTATAGCAAATGGAATCATGTCATATCTATCAGTATGTCATGTTTCTTGTACAGCTGAACTGATCGGTATCTCGAACACTGATATCTCAATACCATGGATATGTCAAAGTGATTTTGAAGTCCCAAACTCTTATTTCTTAAGTATTTTACCCTGGATATCTTGAATCCTCGGACATCTCCAAGTATTTACTCGGTCCCATCCAGTTCGAGATAACGAGGTTTGGCTGTATTACCAAATTCCTCAAACTCATTCAAAATCAAGTGCAACATACAATAGAGGCCCATGAGCCACAATGCTCACCTAAGTCCCCTTGACCCTCTTGTTCTTCATCACAGGAATTTGAAAAAATTAATTCATTTTTATTCACATGAAAAATTCTTTTGTCATATTTTGCAATCTCCATCCCCCTCCCCATCCTAGTCCCAAAGGGTCATGACATAACCTAACTTGTATCAATACATCTTGGGGATGCTTCAATATCATTATACTAAAATGGCCTCACTGTTCATGTATGCTTCCTGATTTTAGCCTTACTGAAGCCCAGGATATACTGTTAACATAACGGTACTTATTTTAGTGCTAATCATACTTAAGTGCCTTTCTCGCATGATTTAAACTGACATTTGTGATTTTTAAGACTCAAGCACACTCATTTATGATTGTGCTTATCAGCTGAAAAGGATGATTATGCTAAACTTTGAGTGCACTAATTTTTGTATGTTTACAGCATTATTTAACAAAAACCACACAATTTTGGACTGTTTTCATATGAATGCTATTTAGTGTGGCCCAGCTATTCTTTAAAAGAATGTTCAAAAAATAAAATCCTTTTTTATCTTACTTTTAAGATATTGTTACCCTATTGTGGTCAAACCTTACCTTTTTCCTACATGATTTTAACAAATTTGAATCTTCATTACCTGTTAATGCTTGCAAATCATAACCCTGTTGTTCTTGAGATAAAGATTCTCATATATTTTCCATATATATTCCCATGTTAAACTTTCTTAATTATCTCCACTTGAAGGAAGCATGGTCCTTCATTTAAACAAACTTGAATCCCCTTCACCTAAGAATGCTCTGTGGTGAGTTTGGTCGAAAATGGCCCAGTGGTTCTGGAGAAGAAGATGAAATTAAGACAAGAGGCCCATGGGCCACAGCGCTCACCTGAGTAACTTTGGCCTTGCTGTTTTTCACCTGATTCCCCCTCCCCCCCCCCCCCCCCGTACTACTTATTGTGGCCCCGCCCTACCCCCAGGGGTCATGATTTAAACAATTGGAATCTACACTACCCCAGGATGCTTCCATATAAGTTTCAGCTTTTCTGGCCCAGTGGTTCTTGAGAAGAAGATTTTTAAAGATTTTTCCTATATTTTTCTATGTAAAACTTGGATTCCCTATTGTGGCCCCGCCCTACCCCCGGGGGTCATGATTTGAACAATTTAGAATCTACACTACCCCAGCATGCTTCCACGTAAGTTTCAGCTTTTCAGGTCCAGTGGTTCTTGAGAAGAAGATTTTAAAAGATTTTTCCTATATATTTTAAAAGTAAAACTTGGATTCCCTAATGTGGCTCCGCCCTACCCCCGGGGGTCATGATTTGAACAATTTAGAATCTACACTACACCAAGATGCTTCCATATAAGTTTCAGCTTTTCAGACCCAGTGGTTCTTGAGAAGAAGATTTTTAAAGATTTTTCCTATATATTTCTATGTAAAACTTGGATTCCCTATTGTGGCCCCGCCCTACCCCCGGGGGTCATGATTTGAACAATTTAGAATCTACACTTCCCCAGCATGCTTCCACATAAGTTTCAGCTTTTCAGTCCCAGTGGTTCTTGAGAAGAAGATTTTTAAAGATTTTTCCTATACATTTCAATGTAAAACTTTGATTCCCTATTGTGGCCCCGCCCTACCCCCAGGGGTCATGATTTGAACAATTTAGAATCTACACTACCCCAGCATGCTTCCATATAAGTTTCAGCTTTTCTGGCCCAGTGGTTCTTAAGAAGAAGATTTTTAAAGATTTTTACTACATATTTCAATGTAAAACTTGGACTCCCTATTGTGGCCCCGCCCTACCCCCGGGGGTCATGATTTGAACAATTTAGAATCTACACTACCCTAGGATGCTTCCACATAAGTTTCAGCTTTTCTGGCCCAGTGGTTCTTGAGAAGAAGATTTTTTAATGACCCCACCCAGTTTTTGTATTTTCTTGATTATCTCCCCTTTGAAGGGGACTTGGCCCTTCATTTTAACAATTTAAACTTCCCTTCACCCAAGGATCCTTTGTACCAAGTTTGGGTAAAATTAGCCCAGTGGTTCTTGAGAAGAAGTCGAAAATGTGAAAAGTTTACAGCCGGACGGACAGACGGACGGACGGACGACGGACAACAGTTGATCAGAAAAGCTCACTTGAGCTTTCAGCTCAGGTGAGCTAAAAAGTTTATGAAGACCAAGACAACAGACAAATGGATGGATATACAGACACACAGATAAAACAATATGATCAGAAAATTTTACTTGAGCTTTCAGAGGTGAGCTAAAACTTGTAAATAGTGCATGCCCTATTATGTAAACATCTTATTTGTTAAAGTTAACATAGTGCTGGAATTCATTTATGAAAGATTTAAGAAATAACATCACATAAAACTTGTCAATGTTGAAGTTTATTAATAGCTAGAAGGCAGTTACATTCTATTCCAATAGGGGGAAAAAAGTTCTCTTTTATTTTGTTAGATTCATATCAATGTAATAGGAAAGTTGAAGTACCTAGAAACAGAATTTAATTGTGTTTCTGTTGTAATGGTGACAATTCTTCATCCTTAAATCAATTAGGACAGTGATTTCTTCAAATTTGAAAGATTCACAGGAACTCTTCAAAGAATCCTATCTTCTCTTTATGATTTATAGTAAAGAACAGATAATTCGTCAGACTATTTTTAAGCAGAAATGGATTTCCCAGGAGAAAATACCTACCACAATTAGAGCCAATATTTTCTGATTTTCTTCATCTGTTACAGGCAGACAATAAACTAAAGAAAAAGAAAAATGATTAAAAAGCAAAAAAATGGAATATTAGTCTTAAATCAAGACTACACTACAAAATGATTCTCTTAGAATGCATGCTCAATCTGCTGTAAAGTATGAGCTTCAACATTATAAATAAATAATATATATACATATACATATTATGTATACTTCAACTGTTTACTTGTACTGCGGTTCAGACGTGTAACTATTTTACCATTTTTAAAGACTACTGTAGATCACCTGATTTTAATGAGACCTTTTTTTCATGAGAAAGGTATTTGGTATTTATATAAGCGTTACAAAATTTTCACAAATTCTGGTTTATTGTTGTTTAAATCTATACTAGTGAAAATATACACAAGAATGAAATTTTCCCTATCAGACTGTCTCGCATAGTTACGCAAAAATAAAGTTCTTGTGAATAAAAAGTGATTTATAACATATTTTTGAGAGGCAACAGCGACCAAGAGAGTGATTTTGATGGCATCATTTCAAATTGTTTATCTTTGATATCGATCACTAAAGTAAGTTAAGTACAGTAAATACTGAAATTTCTGGTCTATTCGAGTGGGGCTTATGACACAGGAACAAAATTTGAAGATGATGTCCACACAAATATTCAATAAGCCTTTAATCTTGAACATAAACATTTAAGTATCAAAACACCATTGTAAAGTAAATAGACAGTTATAGAGAAGTCCTGAGGACATGTGAAATTACTTCCCTATATTTGTGATTCGTTATCCGTATAACAAATTAGTTAAAGTATATATATTACGAATTCGTAATATGCATCTTTTCCTTCAAGTTTGACTACCAAATAAGTTCTAGGAGTTACTAAATACAAAATATTCCTTATGGTACTAAAGATTTCTGATGAATTAAATTTTAGATCTAAATACTTACGAAAAATAATATGTCAGTTCAATATTTTGCATTGAAAATTTGTTACAAAATGAAATTTTTGCTATTTTTAACCTCTGTGGGACACAAAATCAGTTCACTAAATCTGTAAATTTGTTATATCAGCTTTTGTTATGACCGTAACATTTTCCTAGGATTTGTTAAAAATTTCGCCAGGGATTCAAAAAACTTTGCTGTATCCTTAAATATGCTATATTCGTGTTCATATGAAATGAGTTTTACTGTAATCATCACATGGTATGAATGACTTTCAGAAGGATTGGCAGGTATTGCACCTTCGGACGATCACCATTTAAGAAGAGAAAAGTAATCAACAGGGACACGCAAAGGAAGTTTGAGGTATTTGTCACCAAAATATAACATCAGGCCTAGAGTGATTCTGTAAGTGACAGTCAATCATACATCTTATTACGATATATTTCTCGAGAGAATGTTTAGAGAGTACCCGGGCATATACCGCCCGCACTGTAAATGCCCGAGGATTACTTTTGTGTTCGTGATATCACAATATTTTTCTGTTTTCTCCATTCTTAATGCAGATCTTACAAGCTAGACAGGCTGTACTGTGCAAAGATCTCGGGAAGGCATATTTCCTGATATTCAGTCAATAATCTATAATTATAATTTATAACGTATTCCACGTTTGACATTGTGCTATAAACTTATTTTTTTACATTTATTGTAAAAAGTTCATCTCGAATCCTTTATTTTTTTTGTTGGCACTCAGGAAGTGCTAAATTTTATCCAATGATTGGGTTGAATATGTTCCTCAGTTTAATGCTATTTGCAAGATCTAGAATTTATTGGGACACTCCTTTTCTATGCATAATGAAAGTGTAGTTATGTCATGCCAAAAATATATATATATCTCATCTGCATTGACAAATGATTCTTTTTACTTTGTAATTTCCTATATTGTGGAATGAAATATGTTAGTCATATGTAATGTATCAGCAATACTACAAAAGTTGTACAACTTGTATTTAAAGTAAATATCTGCAAACAACTGAAACATAAAACATTAATGGGCATATAAACTTACACTCATTAATCATATAGTAAAAATTCTCATCGATTAAAGCTTCATTTATGGCCATTTCTATTGATTTTACCCAGGATAGAATTCACACATTAGACTTCCCATCTCACAGCTTTAGAATGCCACCCTCAAACTTTCTTACTGGGAGATAGAATAAAGAGAGAATCCCAAATTCACTTTGCCAAACAGATCAATACACTTCTCCAAGGATCTCCCAAGATCCACAAAATTGACAAATAATCCTAGCCTTCACATACTTAAAGCCATACTTTTATTTAATAGAGATGTGACTTTCTTATCTAGGGAGATTTTCCACAGAAATCAAATGGGAAACTGCATGATCAAATATATATAGACAAACTTAATCAACAAAAATTCATCGGACTATGGCTCTTCAATTTATTCAAATTATTCTTGAATGGAAAGAATCCAAAATGACCATTTTTTTTTTCCATTTTGAACATCAGCTGACTTCATTTTGTGAGAAACTTCTGCAAAGGAGTACCTATATGAAGATGACTGTGTATCCCCATCCAGTGGTGTTTATGACTTTTATCCACTTACTACCAACAATAACAGCGATAAATCAACAGTTTATTAGCTTTCATTGTCAAAGAAAATTTTTTCTCCTTTTAAACTGTGAATTTTTCTTTTAATGGGTAAGAGTTTCAGTCCTGCCTCTGGTTCTAGCTTCTTTTATTAGCTATAAAATTATTCAAATCAATATGGCTGTCTATAATACCTACTTTCTCTTAAAGATTTTTCTACTTTCTGTTTTACTTTTATTGACATAAAGAATACAGAGTGGTAAGTGGCACCAAGTTGACTTTTGACAGAGACAAAACCGAAAACAAATCATGGGGCACACAGTGTCTTGTGAAATGTTTACTTGATTAAATTGGCCTGGACACAGTTGCATTGTTTACATTTAAAATTTCTATTCTTATTCAAAAAATAAAACCAGCTACATGAATTGAACTTACATGAATATTCTTAGAATTCAATGGTAAAGACATTCCTCTTTACAACATATCAAACATTTGTTTTTTTTGTAAACAGGGCACGAGCTCTGTTATTGTTAATGTTTACATTTCATGGGTGTGTTTAATTTGTTAAACTCTGCACACATGACTGAGCATGGACTGACAATACTGGTGAGTTGGTTTTGCTTTCTTACATTTCTACTCTGAATTTTCTGGATTATAGTTTTAATATATTTCATTAATACACAACAAATTTTCTACTTTTTTTAAGTATTGAGGATAAAGTTTACTTTGTGAAAGTGTAAGGATGCGTCAATCAAACGCATCCCGAAATACTTAGTTTCAATAATTTCCAGATAAAAGAAATTTCTGAAAATGCTTTTATTATATTTCCGCGTGAAATGCTACAGCAACAGATAAATCATGATATTATACAGAAAATTTGAGAAAATACCGACATCAAATCTGTGTCCAGACCCCTTTAAAAAAACTTAAAAAATAAACAATGATTTGATAATAAAACAGCCTGGACAATGATAGCATTAATGTTTTAGATATATATGCAAATTCTCAAAGATTATTTATTGAAATATGATGGGTCACTGATGTTGTACATGAAGATTTTTAATTGTTTTCTGTCACTGATTACACAGATACCTAAGAAGGCCTGAAGTCTGATGTATGTATACCTGTTTTGGGGTTCCAGTTAGCTGGGAGCTTACACTGGGCCCGTAACACTGCTATAACTGGGTCCTCGGCTACATCAGTGCTCTGAACATGAAACTGTTGAGTCTCTATAGTTTCCCTGTAACATAAATGAAAATGTATTCAGGTGTTTTTTTAATTTCAAATTTAGCATTACATATATACATGTTTCACTTTGCTTATAATCAAGTAATCAATATACACAAATTAAACTGATAGGAGTATATTTTTTTTTTGGCATTTGATAAACAATTCACCAAGATTTGTCTTTTAGAAAAATATGTACATAAAAACATAAAGAACACTTAAAAGCCCCAAGGCAACCTTATTTCCATAAAAGATTTTATTTCAGTAGGGCAAAACAAATGGATAAATCTCCTTCCATGTCATGTATTTCATCAGACCTAAACTACTTGTCTCCCTTGAAAGCTATAAGGATATTGTCATTTCTCAAGCTCTGTCTACATTGCTGTTAATGATTAATACTTGATTAGTTTCTCATTTAACATAGAGTCATTGGAAAAAAAAATCTTCCAATTGGGTACATTAGACTATAATGTACATGTATGTATTTCTATTAAAAAGAAAGGATTGGATTCAAAAGTACATGTACAGAAGTACTGTCATGCACTAATTAGCATCTTAATTATAAATCACAGTCTCTTATTAATCCTGACGTTATTGATATTTTGGTAGGTAAAAAGAAAGTTTTTTAATTACAAAATGAATATCTTTATAAAACTATGCTGCATGGTAAGTATTGATCACTGAAAGCTGGTGCAAATTAATTACTGAACAATTTAATTTGTACAAAATGACATAAATAATTATTGTGCTATACAAATTAACTGTGCTGTCCCATAGACGGCATTGGACAAGAAATGCTGTCTACTTTTGCCATATCTCCACTGAGCTCTTTAGCTAAAAATATTGGAAGGAAGCATTTAGCAATTGCAATGTCTACATAGAGGACTACTATTTTCTTTCTTTTAAGGAAATTTAACAAAACTGTAATCATTTAATGTGATTCTTAAATTGTTTGAACTGGGTGTTACTCCAAACCTGTAGCTTATTAGCTATTCCCAAACAGAGTCCACCATAGCGTTTTATATCATCAAACAGTGTAAGTAAAGAGCAATAACTCTTCACAGATTTTTCTTTCTTCACAAACCTGACAATTCCATGACTTGGTGCGACATGATTTTTCTCCCTATCAGCATACAGCTCTCCTGTCTTCTCGTCAGCAATATAAACAATGGAATTCACCTGTTAAGATTTAAAACTAAAGTTATCGCTATATAATTTATAGTACCATAATAAGTACTTGTATTAAAATCATGCAAAATGGCAAATTCATCTCAAGTTCTTTAAGAAGAATCAATTATACAAATACCCCCAAATTATAGTAGACACACCAAAAAGAATTATACATTTTAATTTTTTAATTTTCCCCTATAACCATCACATAAATAAATTTGATACACCAAAGACATCAATATTGATTAACAACTCCACAAATGGCTGGTTTATATGCAGGGCTCTCACACCAGTTTTTGGGACTGGGGCCGGGGCCGTGAAAATTGGGAAAATTAGCGACCTTTTGAGGAAATTTGGGAAAATCATAACTAGACAATATCCATTAAATTCATTATATATTGAGTTTTTGGTGGTTGTTTTCGACTAAATTTCTGTTTTGTAATATAGAGAAATATAAATAACAAGTTTCAGGAACTACATATTTTACTACTTGTTCTTAAATATTTTGGGAATTGACCTATCGGGAAAATTAAAACATTAAATTGGGAAAAAAGGTACCTTTTTTGAATTGGGAATGGGGCCTTTAAACGGCCCCAATTATAGAGAATCGAGAGCCCTGATATGACAGACACTGCATTTAAAAAACTAACTTCATAGGATTTAAGTATTTTATTTGAATTTTATCTCAACTTTAATAGTGTATTATTTCTATGTAAGGGTATATTAAATATCTTAATATCCTGTTTTCAATCTTAATGTTAAATAAATAAATAAAATAATAAACAACCCAAAATGATTCAATTAAATATAGGATAATTATCAATGAAATCTTAGACAAAAGACCTACTATGTATCATCTGTTGCTTTTGAAGCTCACCTATCTTGTTCTTTGAAATAAAGAGATTCATTTGAAAAAAAAAATTACAAACATTATATTTTTAATATGATTTAAAGATTAAATATATTGGTTTGTGTTTTCATTGAAATCTATCAAAGCAGGTTTTGGTATTAAAATTCGACATTTTCGTCAATGCAGAGAGACTCTGTGTTAATTTATTATAATTCCAAGGTTACATATTAAAATACAATCTCCTACATTTCGCACATGCTCCAAAGAAGATAAAGTAATCTGTGGAGAATTTAAGTTAATCAATGCTCCTCTTCATTGGAAACTTGTCCATTAAAGTTACAGCTAACTAGTCTCCTGTTTTTCTATACACCAATTCCAATTACAACATTGCTTTTGATGACAAGAAATTGTCTAGCTGAATTTAAGCTGATTTCCTCCCATTGATTTTTTTTTTTTTGGCTTTCTTCAGAGAAAATTGGGCAAACAAGAGTTAGAAACAAGGTATTGATTTAATAAAAAAGACTCATCAAATCACATTATTGCTTACCATTATCAAAAACCAAACAAGATATAGCCCTTTTTTCATTCCAGGCTTACCAAGGGAAAATGACACTTCAGTAATTATGGGAAAACTGGTGTGTCAAAGAAATGAATGAAACAAGGTATTGATTTGCTAGAACAAAGCTCATCAAATCGCATTATATCTTACTTCTATCATAAACCAAGCAAGGTTTTATCCTCTTTTAATTTTAGCCTTACAAGGGGGAAAAATGACATTATGGTAATTAGGAGAGTTCTAGTAACATCCAAGGAATAAATCGGATCATCAAAGATATAGGAGATTGAGAAGTGCATTGTTTTTTTTTTTAACTTTCACAGACATATATTATTCCTCACAGTTTTAAATCAACTGGGAGTTTAAATCGATAGATTACACTAACCTCCATTTATACAGTAAAACTTGGTTATATGGAAGTCACTGGGACCTGAAATTTTGCTTCTTTATAACCGAGACTCTTTATATCTGTTTAAGAAACATACATGTAGTGAAAAGACCTCTAAGCCAAAATGAAAAATACCTTTGTTTCCCCTAATGTGACCGACACAATTAAATCCTGCCGACAGAAAAGTTTTTTTTAAAGAAGATTATTCAAATTTTTTTTAATGTTTATCAACTTTTATAAAATACAATTTCATCAAAATCCGTTCTTTTCAGAAATTCAGAATGTATTTTCATAGCTGCTGTCAGAAAAAATTATTTACCTACCTACCCAACTTCAGATTTTAGGGTCGGGTTAGGGGAAACCAAGACATTTTTATGATGGCTCTACAGGATTTAAAAAAAATTCTTATAACAAAGATTTCCTCAAAAACAAGTTCTTTATAAGCAAATTTTACTGTATCTATATTTATATCTCCTTGATCTTTCATAGATACATTGTTTTATATATATATATATATATATATATATATATATATATATATATCCTTTCCAAGAAAATAACACAAGTATAAAGTATAGAAAATGTGTCATTTCCTGTGCTAAGGGTTTTTTTTTTCTTCTTCTCTGCATTTATCGAAGTTTCCTATATTTCTGATAACAGTAAGAAATGTGATTATCTAAAAAATCAGATAAGTGTTGACATTCCAACATGTACTCATTTACATTTTAGAATACCTTGATTATTAAAATTTTATTGAAAGTGTGGAAATTAAGTAAGTAGATGTATAAGTAACTGTCATTTTTGCAAAAATTCTATTGATAAAGCTAGTGGACATTCAGTAAGAATAGTAAGCAGTGAAAAAGTATGCTCATAGTAACATTAAACCAAACTTTTATGCAGAAAAACCAGTGAACTACTTAATTATTTCCTGGGGTAGATGTATAATACTTGATGAATTTTTAAGCATCTATTCTTACTATATGGAGTTATGGACAATATTAGAAATTATTGCTAAATTATTTTATGTATCCGTACAATGCCAATTTCTTTAAATACTTTTATTATTTATAGTTTTTTTTACTCCGTATTCTTTATACATGTAGTTTTAAACACATGCCTTTACTCTAGTATTTTTCAATACATAAGGTGCTTCAGAAATGTATTATCATATTCGCATCACAGTGACTGTTAGCAAAGAAAAAGTCTGGTAAATACAGAATTAATCACTACAAGCATTTTTCTATCAAAGGGTTAAGTTTATGCTGTATTGTTTGATGTAAATACCCACAATCCCAAACTCTCAGTTTGAAAATTTATTGGCTGAACTTGTGAAATAAGCACAATGAAATGCTAGACTATATGCTTACGTTTCTATGAAGCAGGGTAGTGAGGACTTCTCTGATTGTACTGTACAAGTCTCTAATCCTTGTCACATTGTCCAGAGAGGATAACGCCTCCTACAACATCATAAGAAAAAATTAATTTTGTAACAAATGATAACCCTGAGCTGAAAAAAGACATCTATCTATCTATCTATTATATATATGTAAGAGACATAATAAGAGGCCCATGGACCTTGACTAAGCTGAGTATCGCATGTTCATTATCATATTCATGAAACATGTCTCATAGGTAGTCAGGAAGAAAAAAGGTTTTTAAATTGGGATGCTCAATCTTAGGCCAAAAAAAAATAATAGTCTTGTTTCCTGCTACCAGCCTGAAAAAATAGGGTAGGTAGGTAGGAAAATTATTTATTTTATTTTATTTTTTTCTGATGGCATTTTTTGGATATGAACTAATACAAGATCAAATTAAACATGTCACAGGTCAATATTGTCTTTTAAAATTAAATTTCATGTCTTTTTTTATGCACAACTCAAGGGTATTTTACGAAAGTCCATATTTTAAAACAAGAATTTCATGAAATGCTTGTTTTGTGTTAACACCGAAACCGATTATGGCGACAAAACGATGAAATACCGGAAATTCCCGATTTTTTTTCTTCCAAAACTGAAAAAAACTTTAGGGTCGGGTGCAAAAAAATAGGGTAGGTCGGGTAGCAGGAAACAAGACTATTTTTTTTTTTGGCCTTATCAGTAAACTGGTACATCTTGAACTTTTTTTTGTGTGATATGTATTCTTTAAACATATTTTATTGAACATAATCAAGAATTATTCATTGGTGTTATAAAAAAAGGAAAAGATAATGACCCCCTAATTGTATACAAATTATTTCTGTTCCAGCTTCAATAAAAATACTGTAAAAAACTAAACATGTGCGATATGTATCGTGATACAGAGACTACAATACAGGTATCTCATTCACAAAATAAATTGCTGAAATAGTTGAAATTTGGTACCTTGAAGACTGATATCTCCAAAAACCATGGATATGTCGAAATTATTTGGAAGACCTAACCCCTTATTCCTTAAGTATTTTAACCTGGATATCCCGAATCCCCTGATATCTTGAAGTGTTTTTCTCGGTCCCATTGAGTTCGAGATAACGAGAATTGACTGTAATTCATTTATTTGTTCAAACTTTTGAATTACTGGATGTGTAAAACAATGGTATCACTAATATCACGACATGCTTAAAACTTGTCACAACCTAACAGTATTTAGACAATATTGTCACATGTCTCCATTAATTAATTAAAAGTGTTTCAGTTGTGTTAACAGCACAGTTTAACAGTACACATTGTAAGGTCCACATGCAAAATGCATTTTATTTAAAATACATTACCAATTTAATCCACCCTTGACACAAATTTCATAACTTGGTAATTTCACTGTTATTTTTTATCATCATCATATTTGTCTTCAGATCAAATGTTAGCACAGAAAAGGTCAGGTAAAAGGTATTTTGACAGTAGTTAAGGTTATTCAGAGAAAAAGAAGAAAAATGTTTTAAAGTTTTGAGTGATGCATGCATGCATCACAGGCTGGAACCCATAACAATAGGTTAAGTGAGTGAGTTGAACTTAAAAATCTGATGCTTATAACATTGGGAATTTAAACAGCTGATCAGGCCAGTTAATCAATCAAATTAACCCTAATTCATCATCCTCATCTTTGCTCTTTATGAGCAGCATATGTTCTAAGGTATAAATTGATGAAGATGCAAAAAACAGACACGGCATATGTTTGAACTGAGCTTTACAAACACTTAAAATGCACTTCAAAATGAGCAGCATTATAGCTATTCTACTGCCAGGAATCCAGAAGACTATCACGTACAGAGATTTTTGCTCTGCAGTGCACAATGTGAAGAACAGGAACTCCATCAGCATATGAAGTCTGCTGTTTACCTAAACTGTCAACATATTTATTGATGAAAGGTTGCCATTGTTTACAGATCACACAATAGAAGAGCTCTGATTAATTCCACACTGATCTGTCTCAATACAAATATTAGCTTTACATTGTAGTAACTGATTTATCTCAAACAGTAATATTGACATTCAAACAGATTGAGTGGTCATTATTCACAGTGTGTTCAGAAACAATTAGCAGTATTGAATTTTTATCTATGTATGTATAATGTGAATTAATAAAACTAGCAATCAAGATAATTATATTATTAAGAAGTTTTGTTTTTATCATTAAAAAAATACATAAAGAGAAAAAACTGTAGGACTCTAATGCCTATAATTGCAATTACTAGATAGATCTGTAATTTTGTGTGCTTTAGCATTCAGAGGGGGGATTTTTGTTAAATAAAAATATACTGTGATATATTTACTTTTGTTATCTGAAAATTATTTAAATAAATTTGGTTGATTTGTGCCCTAAAATACTGATAACACTATACTCTCAAATGAAGGAATAATTATGAATATGATGTTTTCTTAACTCTTCAATCACAATTAATGTGAAAATTCACAAGACTGATATTATAATGCATTTTTATATGTCTGTGCATTCTATGCAACCATTGTAATTGTGTAGGTTTACAGATTTTTCCATTACCACATGAAATAAATATTTACAGAGATCAATAAGACTAAGAGTAGATCATTTATAACCTTTATCTAGGTATTTGTTCACAGTTGTCAATTGGTTATCAATGCATTGAGTGACACAAGATAATTTGGCATATTATTATACCTGGCAGCTAAAAATTGTTTCATTGTATTACTTGAGTTTCCTAAATATATCAAATATCATCAGTGAATATAATATCGATAGAGCATATATATGTTGTTAAGGATCTCCATATAAGCTGAAACAAGCAGTTATCAGAGACCTATTCCAAGTATTTAATTGAGTTTTTCATTACTGCAAATATCCTCTTAAATATGCAGATTCAATGATTTACGAATTCTACCATTTTATCCACATCCTGCTTGTGGGTTCCATTTCAGACTGTATTTCTAGTATGTTATGTACTACAACTAGCAACTGATTTATTGATTCACCAAACATGTTGAAATGCAACCAGATTATATTATAAGCCACATTAAAGTTACATTTAAGACTTTTTCCTGGATATATACTCCCATGTGAAACTTTGAACCCCTATTCTTACCCCACATTAACCCCCCTCCCCCCCAATATCTTTAAATGGCCCATTTTTAAAGATTCATTTTCCTTCATATTCCCAAGGGAAATTTTGATTCCATATTGTAGTCACACATATCCCATAGGGCTACAATTTGAGAAAAATTGAATCTGCACTACAAGATGCTGTTTGCATATTAGCATCATCAATCAGTAGTGGTGTTACTATCAACCATTATAATTGAAAATCAGTAGATTGCTGGCATAATCCAAGAGCTCGATTTCAAAATTTTTCTTTCAATAAATCAGTTTATTTTTTATTTTAAATGCACAATAATTTCAAGCCAAATATTCCAGCCCAGATTTATCTGTTACTTTATTTGTAATGGTGCAGAAGTGTATCCATACCCTGGTAGCAAAGCGTGTTCCCCGGTATGGATTTGGATTCTACAAAATGAATTGAAAGACCTGCTGGACCCCCACAGAAAGTAGTCATTTACCCAATCTTACCATTTAATTAACTAAATTGATAGATTTTGTAAATGTTCGATTATAATCAATAATTAGTTAGTTACAGTAACCTGATTATCGATTATGAAATTCTTACCGATTCCCATCACTATCAATCGGAACTCTGCTGTATTTGAGAATGACCCCACCCCCAACCCCCAATTTATTCCCAGGAAAAACACTGAACCTGTATTGTTAATTCAATTGGCATCATAATTTCATCAATATTATGAATTCAGTACAAGATTACAGCAGACGATGGGCCAAATGCCAAATATGAAAAAGAAGACCTTGACAATTTGTCAGAATGGATTAAATGTATCAGTTGAATGTTGAAATATTGAGGGGCAATATGAAAACCATCTATCCTTCTGTCTTTGACAATGCAGAAGTGAAACAAGAATTAGATAGATTACATGATCAGTATGTTCTAGTCCCCACTGACAAAGCAGGTAACAACATTGTCTAAATACAAAAATCCTTACAAAGAAAGAAACATAGTGGGATTCAGTAAATGTTCTACCAATCCTCTTTCTTTACTCCTCACTAAAATATATTTACAGCAGTGAGGGAGAAACTTCAGGAGTGCTGTGCAACAGCATGCATATTCGAGAAGTGGTGTAAATCAGATGTGGATACTTAAAAACTCTAAGGAACTTTTAGAAAATTTTAAATCACAAAATTTGAACAAAATCAAAAACATCAAAACATATGACTTTTCAACACTTTAAACAACCATTTCCCACGATAAAGTAAAGTCCAGGCTTTTTAACATCACTGACAGCTTCTTTTTTGATAAAAATGGTACTAACTTGTAAATACACTTACCTTGTCATTGGTCATTTCAAAATTATTTTGTTAAAAAACATTCTGATTGTACACACAAGTACTCTGAAGTTGATACTAAAAAGATGCCTGAGTTTCTGATTGACAATATCTATGTAGTTTTTGGAGATCAGGTCTTCCAACAATCTGTTGGAATACCCACGAATACCAATTCCACCCCCTTCTTAGCAGACCTATTTTTGTATTCATATGAAGCAGAATTTATCAAAAAACTTCTGAGAAGAAGAAAACACTTGCTTGGGCCTTCAACTCAACATTTAGATATATCAATGATATATTATCAACAATAGCTACTTCCATTCATATGTTGACTCAATAAATCCCAGTGAGCTTGAAATAAAAGATACCATAGAGTCAGCTGACACATCTGTTTCATATTTGGATATTTTACGAGAAAAAAATTTAATGGTAACTTAACAACAAAGCTTTATGATAAACATGAAGACTTCAATTTCTCAATCGTCAACTTCCCTTAATACTTATGTAACAATATATCCTTATCACCTGCTTATAGGTTTTTTTGTCTCCCAGTTGATTCGATATGCAAGAGCATGTTCTACATGTACAAATGAACAATTGCTAAAATGAAGCAAGCTACTGACAAACAGATGAAAAAAGGATATCTACGTTTGAAGTCATCATTTCGCAAGTTTTATGGTTGATACAATGATACAATGACCTTGTCAGCAAATTCAACCTTTCATTAAGTCAATTGCTGGCTGACGTTTTTCATACTAATTGTTAGGCCATTATTTACACACTGAACTCTCTACGGATTTTTCTGTTTTTCCCACTCATGACAAGGAGCACACTGCAGGTGTGACAGGTCAGCAGGGGATGCTCACTCGTCCACCTGATCCCGCCTCTGATGTTTTTGCAGGTCCGTGTTTGCTCTGCTCCAAATTTGTATTGTATAAAGGGACTTTGAGCTTGAATACTGTTGTTCCATGTCTCGATTCTTGGGGGCCAATATTTCAACAAAACTGAATTTGAACAACCTAAGGTTAATTGCATATAAATATGAATAAGCATGGCCCTTCGAAAGAGCTAGGTTCACTTTATGCATAAAATGGCCCTGTAGATATACCAATTTATTGACTAACACCTTATGTTCCATTTTAAACATCAAGATAAAGTAGAGACTTAGTGCTTTCATTTCCTATTAAAATTTTTCTCCTCAAAGTCCAGATCTTTGAAAACAAGCTTTATGAAATTGCAATGTTCTTGAATTTTTAGGAAAACAGGTATATTTAAGCACTTTCAGAGAAGAAAAATTATATGAGTGCACCCTCTGATCTAAAAAATAAAACATGTTTTGTAATCCTCAGAAACGGTTCTATCAGTAAATAATTGCATATTTTACATCAGAGATTGCGCTGTATATGAAATATCAAAAAATAGCTTTAAAAATTGGCTGTTTTTTGTAGAATTGTTCAGGATATGAGGAAAATGACGTATTTCATGACGTCATAATGCATTGACTAGCCAGAAAATTACGTCATTTTTGGTAGATTCACAATCGCCAAATGTCTAAATGAAATTTAATGCATTGTCAACTAACACTAAGCAGCTTCAGTTTTTCAGAAATTCACAGGGCCAAAAAAGGCTCTAAGTGAACATTGTTCTTTTTTAAGATTCCCCCTCCCATATACTCATTAGAACAATATATAATCTACACTAAATCGGGAAGCTTTTACTTAAGTTTTGTCTTCTCTTACCTAGAACTAGAGGTTCTTAAGAAGATTTTTATGACCTCGGGGAATTTTTTTTTATCTGATCTTTTCTTGATTATCTCCACTTGGAAGGGAACATGGCTCTACATTTGAAAAAAAATTTTGAATCTCCTTATCCAAGGATACTGAGTCAAATTTTATTAAAATTGGTGTACAGATTCTTGAGAATAAGTTGAAAATGTGTAAAATTTACAGGTGGATGGACTAGCTGATAGACAGACAGATAGGCACCAAACAGTAGGTGATCAGAAAGCCTCACTTACACTTACAGCTCAGGTGAGAGCTAAAAACTATTTGTGTATGCAAATTATACATTAAATTCCATATTAAAGCATGGTGTAATTTTCTCAATGTGTCATTTAATAGTGATTTACTAAAGATAAAACGGGTCAAAAAATATGAAAATCTTTTTTAAATCTTTAATATTTGTTGATTTTCCCAATTTTCCTCAAATTGATGTCAATTTTCTCAATTTTACAGGAACTGACCCCTATGCCAATGAGTGACATGAGAGCCCCATCAGTTTTAAGGGGGGCACAACCGGCGTGTGCCCCCTATAATTGTCAAAGTTAGCGTAAATCATTTATTTTCGTCAAGAAAACGTAAAAAGGTCCACTCGATAGACCTCAATTATACCCTACAAAATCTCTAGAATCCAGGAGCTTCCGTGGCTTCGCTCTGGACCCACTGAGGGCCTCAAGGTGGCCCCATACCCCTTGCCTACTTCTTGCGATCCTAACTTCAATTCCATAAGCACCTGCCCAGCACCATTCAAAAACACTTGCAATGATAAATAATTTATCAAATTTAAAAATTTGATCTTGAAATTATTTAAAATATACTTTCTTGGGGATTTTCTTTTTTCTTTTTTGGTCTTATTAAATACACTGTACCGACTGTGAATTTAAATGAAATCACTGTATCACTGGAATGTAATGACCTTGAAGTGGACACACCTCCAGTATACATAACATTATATACAATCAATATGGAGTCATTTACCTTGTGAACATAGCAGTCTGGTTATTGTCTTACCTGGTCTAAGAATCTCTCGGAAAATGAATTTTGGTCAACAGCACCCTGGGCAAAATGACGGTCTCGATTACGGTAGTGCAGAAATAACGCAACAATTGTGTGACTTAAAACAATGCCCATTCTGCTTATGTTAATATCTTCGACCTTTTAGATACAAGTTTCATTGAGAAACACTTATGAAATCGTTCACACAACATCTCCACTTTACTTCAACATGCTTCTCTGTTTACAGGTCGATCATGATTACCCGTCTGCAGCAGCAGTGCCACCTTGCGACAAGCGGAGTAATTCAAGTGACCACTAACCCGATCCCGATTAAAAAAGACTGAAATATACTATTTTAATTTTTTAATCTTTAATTATTTAGAAATTTACGAAATATTGCCATTTGGCACTTAAACTACACTATCATGGGTACAGTGTACATGTTTACACAATAGGCCCTATATCAACTAAATCTGTAATGCATTAAACAGATTAAAAAAAAAAATAATCAATTAAATAAATTCAATTCATTCTTTTAGAAGATAAATTGTACGGACCCCAAACAGGAAATTATGTTCAGGATGAGGGAAGTACACTGTGTATTCTGCACAGCCATGATAATCTGATCCACTCGACCTAATTCGACACTATATGTCCACAGAGGAGATTATCATTCCAACATAGGCTTCCTGTTGACAGCTCAGAAAATCAGGAGTAAAATTTCTGAGTTTGAAATCCATAATATATTTTTTTTTATGTATGAAACACATCATTTTGTCTTGTAAGTAGTGACATGACTTTTTTCCCTATCGTTTATTTAAAATGCATTTTTTGGGGACATTTTTTTTTCATTCTTGATTTTATTTACATAAATCTTAATAAAAACATAGCTCAATTAGAAATGCAAATACGACCAGCATCTAACGATGGGAAAACGCTTGATTTATCACTATAAGCATAAAAGTTCACTGCAAGATTTTTATCGTGCAATGTAAATTTCACAGCTGATCAATCTTTTCTTTCGTTATAGCAATAAAGGTACACTTCATAAATAGTTTAATGTTAAGTGATATGATAGATGGCAATAGCTTACCATGGTGCGAGGACTATCCAATGTTACACGCTCACTCTCAGAGACTGAGCTGATAGTTTACTTTCGTACGCCCCCATGTCGTTTTACAAGTAAAGTGTTTGGGTTTGGTCACAATTCACTGAATAAGCTTATCAATTCACTGAAGTGTGTAGCCTATAAAGATTGAATGTCTGCAGGACGTTGATAGAAGGCATTACACGGGTCTTCAACAAACACGTTAAAAATTCGATCTGTCAGGGAGGAAGTTATTGCGTCAACCCGGCTATATGGATGTAGGAAGCCAAGATATTTCACCTCTGGTCTATACTACATGGTATGTCATTATATATCTACTTGAAAAAAGTAGATTTTAAATTACATCCCTTTCCTACTCATCATTGGCAAATGGAATAATACGTAAGCATATCAATTAAGAGAAAGCAATAAGCCATTTCCCGTCTCTGGAGTTGATCTAGCTTTTTGATATTTTGGACGTTATAGAGAATCGTCGCGGCCTCCTAAGTTCATTTCCCGGAGACCAATCGCAGACATTCAGACTAGATAAGTCAAGTTGGAACTTTAGGGTGAAAAGGAAACCGAGACTAATGAAAAGATACCAGAGTGTGGTCAATATCTAGGCAAATACGATTTAGATGAAGCTGATTTGAAATGACTATATTTGTATGGGAAGGGCCTTTTTGTAGGCTAGCGAACCGTTATACCTTAATTACTCATTAATCACACTAGGTATAATACAAGTATAAAGATCAGAGTTTACAACTTTTTCTATTTTTTTTTATTAAATACAATGTAAATATAATCAGATGAGGTTATAGACGGTATTTATTTTTTAAAAAAATTACAACCTTTAGACATCACACATGCAGTAGTTAAACATGCACGACCATCGACTTTGACTGATTTGTCCCTGGTAAACGATTTTTATAGTTTTGCGAGGTAGAATGATGGTAGATTTGACAAGAAATTCAATGGGAAAAATGGGCTCCTTTTATTTCGTTCATTCGTTGAACGTGAAGGACAATAAAAACTTGTTTTAAAATTCTTAAAGGATGTGAATATTAAATCGTAATTTTGCAGTTCACAGGAACAGGAAGAATAAGTCGAGAAACGAAAAATGATGTTGGATCGACTAGACCCGAATGATTTAACATAAAATGATATTAAGCTGCTAAATTATTTTTCCGTTAAACTATATTATAATATCGAATTTCTTTGTGTGAAACAATTCAAAATTAAAATATTAGCAATTCACATTACTTCTTAGGTTTTGGTTTGGTTTGTTTATTAGACCATACGGTGGTATATGAGGTACATGAACACACAAAATAAAATGTTAAATAAAAAAAGAGTGGTAAAACAGGCCAATAATTTTTTTTTGAACAAATGACTAATTGCTGTGAGTTGAAGGAACAACAACTCTGCAAGGAAGAGGAACGAACGACAACTCTGCGAGGGAGTTAGTGCTATTCATATTGTGACGATAAAGAATTGACATTGGTGAATAGTATACATGTATTTTATTAAATTTGTTTTCAAAATTTATCGCATATAATTGTGTTTTATACACTGCATTAGAAAGCGTTACCTAGAAATGTCATTCTTGAAAAATATTTTTTAAAAAAACATCAAACAAACAAAACAAAGCAAAACAGATAAAAACAACTGTCCATTCTTTTTCAGAATGGACAATTATTGGAGAGATAAAGTAAGTATGAATTAAAAACAACACCCTGCTAGTTTAAACGATAAATAAACAGTTTCTTGTATTGTACCATTGTTTCTGTGTTCCATACATTGAATACCTTTTTATATCAACTCTGACATGATAAGGAATAATTTTTTTGTTATAATATAGACATACACACGATATTCTCGGATCAATTATGAAAGCAGGGCTATATAAACAATATCACGTTCAGTATTCAATTAAATGCTTTGGGACCGATAGACGTAAGCTGTACATGATAATCCGTAACCTGTGGCATACAAAAAGGGGATTAAGATATGAAAATAATAACAGAATCCATTTAAAGAATTGTGTATTTCATGGCTGTGTATAGACACCATATACACGTAATGTCAAGCACCGAGTGATTAAAGGTAATACATATATAGGTCTACACTGAGTATACATACACTAATATTGACACCGCATTGGGAGTATAGACAAATACTTTTCAAAAAAAAAAAAATAAATTAAAAAAAAAATATATCAGAATAAAGTTGAGGTCAGTATGACACTTTATAGTTATATCAGTATTGCTTACCTGTACTCTAAAGGAGTTAATATATCTCCCATACATGTTTCTAACTAAAACTTCACAGTCGTTAAAGAGTTATTCCAATAAGTATCAGGCCATTCCAAATCCACATTGTAAACAAAATATTACTTGGGTGTTTATTCGCTAGTAATAAGTTTTACCCACACCTGATCATATTAAGTTGCTATATTGCTAAGTGTTGGGAATTCATGTTTCTAAGTCTTTAAACTCTTGAGTTTGTTCTTTCTGTACTGAATCTGTAGGTTATTTTAACTCCACTCAACCGACTACTCTTGTGGAAATGTGGGCTTTATTCCTGTCCAAGAAACTCTCTATTGTAGTAACAAGCATTAACTCTTTTGATTATGTGAAATAATTAAAGGAAATGATTGATTGCGGAAGATTGCTTTCGGAGATTTTTGTGTCCGATACAGAACGTCATAATTGACAGAGTGTCGGGAATCTCCTCAAATATACCTTGTTCCGTTATATTAGCCGTATGTCAGAAAGCGTGCTCATAATGTTGACTCAAATCCATTTCCAAATATAACGACTTTGGAATCTGTTTTAATGCACTGTTTTATGAGAATTGAAAGAGTGAATATAAATACCCTGGCGAGAGTTCTGCTGTAAATCTTCATTCTGGAAGGATTAATGTCAATATTTTTATAAGACAAAATAAATAGAGAATCTATTCATACCCTAAGTTTAATTGAATTAATAGCATTTAAAACCGTAACCCCACCCTGGAAGTTCTTTTACCTCCCACCACATGGAACATTGAAATTCAAAAGAGAAATCACTTTTTCTGTTGTTACCAATTCAATAAGTGAAAAATTAAAGATGGTCTGGGATGATATAAAATATTGAAAATAGGTCATTACTATTACGAGAAATTTCGAATCGAGGGAAGATGGGATACCAGCTACTTAACAAACTCCGTACAGTACAAGCAATCACTGCAAACTATGACATTAGAAAGAATGTGTTGCTCCTTATGTTACAACGAACAAAATTCTCCGTTACTGAAATGCTTTGGTGGTCACTTGTGAGCTTTTGTCGACATTGATATATCAATGATATTTATGGAAACATAGCAAATTTTGTCATTCCTTTAAAGTTTTTAAATTATAATCAAGATGTTTCAACTTTACAAGCTAAATATCCACTTATGGCATTTGGAAAACACCATACCAAAGTATTGAAAAATCATCATAGTGGCATTTTAGTTGTTATTTTCATGAAAAAAAGCCTATCTTCTTAAATCCTGGTTTAAAGTCACCAAATGACAATACAAAGGTACGGCAAATTAATATATATCATAGACGGGATAGGATGAACTCAGCAACGCTGGCACGACAAGAAGCATTACAGATTACTTTTAACTAGTATCTTAAATAAGATTTTCAGTATGATTTTATTGAAATATGAAACAATATACAGACATTTTCAAGAATAAAATGGCCTCAACCATTCTGCTTCTCAAAGAACAAGTCCCAAAAGTAGGACTTGTGCTATAGGTGAACCCAAAACACTTTGCCCTAATGATTTCCGGTGTCTAAAAGGGCAACATGGGCACCATTTCTGAGTGCCAGGGCGCCAAGTACAACAAAAAAGCAAAGTCATAATGCTGCTCACTGAATTTCACCCAATGAAATCAATGTGAAAGGAGAGACTACTCCTAAGAAAAGTATTTACAAAATCACCACAGAGTGAAGCACTTAATTCTCTCTCTCTGATCGAAGTTCAAATAATTTTTGGACTATATAACGTATGTAAATGCACATAATCCCTCAAAATTCAATTTAAATCCAAGTTCTTGTGTTGATTGCTTTACATTACAGTCAATATAAAGAAATGCTAGGTAAGAGAGGGGATTGAGTTCCTTTTTAATAGTGTTGAATGGTCACTGACAGTTTGGCGAATTTTC